TTTTTGGCATAATTTGCTGGTAAATTGTCTTGTTAACATTTCCCTTTAATATGAATAAAAATTCTATTGCATAATTGTTTTTTCAATGATCACTCTTATACTCTACACTGGCAATTTCCCATTACTTCCTATAGTAATTATCGATTTCCATCGCCATCTTTTGAAACGCTCCCCATTAAAAATCTACATTGGTTACCATGTGATTTTTTTTATTGATTTTAACTCACCAAAAGTCACTTTACCTCATATTAGAATTTGAATAAAAAATCTATTGCAGAAATGAATTAGGTCCTTCGTCGTTAAATTACCATACCTTTACTGGATTCCTAAACTTCATAAAATCCTTACAAAAAAGGATACATAGCGGGTTCCAATAAATGTTCTACCAAACTTCTTTCTTTACTCCTCACTAAAATATATATTGTAATGAAGGGGAAACTTCGGGAGTATTGTACAACAGTATATTCTAGAAGTGGTGTAAATCAGATGTGGATACTTAAAAACTTCAAGGAACTTTTAGAAAATTTGAAATCACAAAATTTTACTAAAATCAATAACATCAAAACATACGACTTTTCAACACTTTATACAGCCATTCCCCACGATAAATTGAAGTCCAGGCTTTTTGATATCATAGACAGCTGCTTTTTCAACAAAAATGGAACTCGTAAATAAACTTACCTTGCAATTGGTCATTTGCAAAATTATTTTGTTAATATGCATTCTGATTGAACACACAAGTACTCTGAAGTTGATATTAAAAAGATGCTTGAGTTTCTGATTGACAATATCTATGTAGTGTTTGGAGATTCTTTCTTCCAACAATCTGTTGGAATTCCCATGGGTACCAAACTCGCCCCGTTATTAGCAGACCTATTTTTGTATTCATATGAAGCAGAATTTATTCAAAAACTTCTACATGAGAAAAAGAAAACACTTGCTGTGGCTTTTCAACTCGACATTTCGATATATCGACGACGTATTATCAATTAACAATAGTTACTTCCATTCACATGTCGACTCGATATATCCCAGTGAGCTTGAAATAATAGATACCACAGAGTCTGACACATCTGTTTCATGTCTAGATATTTTACTAGAAAAAGACGTTAATGGTAACCTAACAACAAAGCTTTATGATAAACGTGATGACTTTAACTGGGGTATATATCTCTCAGTTGATTCGATACGCAAGAGCATGGTCTACATATGAACAATTTTTAAAACGAGGCAAGCTATTGACAAACAAGTTGATGAAACAAGGATATCAAACAGTCTCGTTTGAAGTCATCGTTTCGAAAGTTTTATGGTCGATACAATGACCTTGTCAGCACCTACAACCTATCATTGTGTCAAATGCTGACTGACGTTTTTCATACTAATTGTTAGGCCATTATTTATGCACTGAACTGTCTACGGATTTTTCCGGGTTTTTCCCCCGATCATGACAAGGAGCACACGGCGAGTGTGACCGGTCGGCAGGGGATGCTCACTCCTCCATAGCACCTGATCCCACCTCTAAATTTTGAGGTCCATTTTTGATCTGCTCCAAATTTGTATCGTTTTATTGGACTTTCAAGATTGAATACTGTTCGTTATCTTCTTATTTCATTGATCAATTATTTGATTAATAGAAAAAAAAACAGACATAATTTTCATTTTAAAACAAATTATTTACTTTATCAAGATTTTCAAACCTGATAATAGGCAAAATAAAATTACCATCCCCCAGAATACTTCATTATTTGATTCTATAAATAATCAGGTGAAGGAATTGCACATTATCTAAAAGATTTAGAATTTAAAACATTTCCGTTACCTAGTTACATGTACTACAGAAAGGCAAACCAGATTTAATCAAGTTTTCTCGAATTCTGTCAAAAAAGGTTCTCCAAAAGGAAGACTGAGAACGCTATGTGATGAAAGCCAAAAACAGATATATAGGGCTGAAAACCCTTCTTGGATCCAGAAAACATCAATATGTCATCAAGAAAACCATGTTTGAAGCAAGGAAAACAGCACAAGTTGCAGCAGAGATGATAAATTACAAACTGACACTGCTTGGTAAAAGTGAGACAAGATGGATTCAATCAGGACAGTGCAGACTAACTACTGGTGACTTAATGCTATATTTTGGACATGAAGAAGATAATTCAATGCATACATAGGGAGTGACAATAATGTTATCCAAAAAAGCAAAGGAAACATTAATAGGCTGACCAAGGAAAGTTTTATTTAGAACAAAACACAAAAGAATAAACACTAAATTATCATCCAGTGCCATATGCTCTAACAAATGATGCAGAGGAAGAGACAACTGATGAATTTACGACAGACTTCAAAGTGTTCTTGACACCCGTAGAGAAAGAGACGTCGCCATCCTGATGGGATATCTTGGACTAACACGGACTGTGCACTGTGCATATGAACGAGAATGGTGAAAGATTAACAAACTTCTGTTCACTCAACAACTGGTCGTTGGTGACATAATACTCCAACACAAAAACATCCACAAAGCCACAAGGGTATCACCAGAGAACAAAACCGAGAACCAGGTAGATCATATATGCATTAATAAATGGTTGGGATCTCTGCAAGATACTAGGATCAAACGAGCAGCAGATGAAATCTCAGACCACCACCTACTGAAAGATACTAGGATCAAACGAGCAGCAGATGAAATCTCAGACCACCACCTACTGAAAGATACTAGGATCAAACGAGCAGCAGATGAAATCTCAGACCACCACCTACTGAAAGAAGAACAAAACGAAGCTCAAGAAAAAATAGAAATAAACTTACAGAGACTGATATACAATACCAGACTCCTCAAATATACCCAAATACTATAGGAGTATAAGATAACACCGGCGGAGGAAGACCACCGACAAAAGAGGAGGTTAAAGCAGCCTTAAAACAGCTGAGAAATGGCAAGTCAGCAGGGCCTGACAACATCCTTGCAGAAGCACTAAAAGCAGATTTTGACGGCTCGGTCGACATAGATGTACTCTACGCGCTCTTATAAATAATATGATATAATTCTCCATTATATATGGGAAACTTAAATACTAAAAAAGAAAAAGAAAAAATTATTCCACAAAATAGAAATAGGGTTCCATATCAAGATTCCTGAAATGGAGATCTTAGTAACTGTGCCAACTATAGAGGAATAACGCTATTTTAAAATGTTCCAGGGAAGGTATCCATTCGGATAATAGTGAACAGGAAAAAAAAGAAGTGTAATGTGGCCAACAAGCTGGTTTTCTTAAATAAAAGATCTTGTACGGACCAGATACAACATATGCATTATCATTGAGCAATGTCCTGAATGGAATTCTTCCCTTTACGTAAGTTTCATGGACTACGAGAAAGGTTTTGACAGTGTTGACGAGGGGGGGGGGGGGTGAAATGGAAACTTCTGCGGCATTATGGAGTACCTGGTATACTTATACCTGTATATCAACAATTCTTATGAACACCTGGCATGCATGCATGGTTGACAACTGACGGAGGCACATTTGAAGTTAAAACTGGAGTCTATCAAAGATGTCACCCTTTCTGTTTCTGCTTGCAATAGACTGGATATTGAAATCATCCACCGACAATACCGCCGAAATATGGCTGAAATATTGCCGACCCGGCGTTAAACAATATGCAATCAATCAATCAATCAATCCACCGGCAATATAGGAGGAACTGAATACAATTGACACCTTGGTCGGCCAAGTAGGTAGGCCAAGAAACACCTGGCGGTATTTCTGGAAGTCGAAATCAAAGGGATTGAAAAGAACTAGAAAATTATTTCTCAGGATAGTGGGGTTGGGGGTGGGGGTTATGCCACGGAAGGGGTAGTAGGCATAATTAAGTAAGTATGTAAGTGATTGCAAAAGAATATCTAGAATTGAAAATATTTATGCGTCGATTTTATAAAATTATATCGAATAAATTTGATATTACATCTCGTCATAGGGCCGGGTATCCAGCAATTTATCCCTTGGTAGAAAAAAAAAATACTTATAGATAATAAAGATTAAAAAAAACAAAAAACAAATCAACTTGGGAATAAACATAAAAATTTAGTGTTTAATTAATTTGTCCTGTCCTAATGGAATTCGATTTATATTTCATTTCCCAAGGAAGATCACTCTTACTGCGTTAAAATACCAGGAATTAGTGTTTAAAGTATGAGTTATCCTTATCTGTCAAACCATCCTATCAGAGACGTATAAGAGATCTATTATACGTCTCTGATCCTATATCTGTATAAAGACTCTCTCAGCCCATTTCTCCCTATGCCACGAAGGTGTAATCATATTGAAAGTTTGATACGTTTATAAATATAGCACTGTAATTTGTTATAGAATATTTGTATAAATCATTTATTTATTTATTAATACAAATAATTAATTTATTATAACAAATTATTAATTTGAGTCGACAAATTATAAATTTGTTATTATAAATTTTACAAATTTGTCATAACAAACTGCCAGTTTGTTATCAAAAATTATTTATTTGTTATTACGAGTTAAATATTTTCCATAAAAAATTAGTACCTTATAATATTACAATTTACTTCTTTTTCATTATAAATAATTAGTTTGTAATTTAAAAATATTTATTTCAATTTTTTAACTAATAAGAAACAAATAAGTAGCTTGCATAAGCTTGTTATAAGAAGTTAGTTATTTGTAATAATTTAACAGGTTTATTTGAAATAAAGTAATGTTTTTTCATTTCAAATTAGGGAAATGTTGTGCAGTTGCCCTTGTAAGCTTTTGTAAATTTTATATGATTACATTCAAATCCCTTCCCTACAGTAAAGTGCTGTCAGACCTTTTTGTTATTGTAAGAGCAATATTTACGTGCATGCGCCTTTCTTATTTGGTTTGTCATGCATTACAAGTACGATCTATCTAATTTGTGACATCCAATCGACTTAGGTTTTACATTCAAACTTCACCTCGACCAGTCGAATTGCTCCACGTTTAGGACATAGGTTTTTACAGACGCAAGGTGTCGGTGTCATGCTTGTGATCTATTCTGATATTTGAAAATAATGAAGGTAATTTTGCTATTTAGATATTTTTAGCATGAAAACAATAAGATGAAAGCCCTTCAAATGGTCACTGTTGCAGAAAAAGCAAGCACATTTGTTTTTAGCATACGCCGATATCGAAAGTTTAGTCCGAACTTTCTCGAATTTATGCAATTTTAATTTGCATATTCCATGCAAAAGTAATAAGTATGCTCGTTAATTATTAAAGATTATTTTTATCCCTAGATATATCCATTGAAGATTTCTGAATGTTTTACATTGAATAGATATTAAAGAACTCAGAGACGCTTGTCAAAAAACATGCAGTACCTTCCTGTTATTCACACGGGGAAATGTAATTTTGTTTTAGGATAAAGTTTTGATATTTTGGACAGTTCAGTTGTGTATTCCGAAAAAAACTTGGCATTTAACACAGAACATAGGCAGGTGATATATCTATCGATATGGGGGACATTTTACTATTCATTTTCCTGGTTCTTGTTTTTTTTTCTTCATATTTTTCACTAGTAAACACATTAAACTGTGACAGGTAGTGGGGTTGTAACTTTGTACAATGATGTTATTACTTCGGTGTTTCAAGTAGGGATGGGAGGTATTGTGTTGTTACGCCACACAGATTGCATGACGGTCGTGCTAATTACAGCAACCCCAACATATTTGTCACTGACCCCCCCTTTTTTTTTTTTTAAAAAAAAAATGGCTAATGAAAAATAATATGATAACTCTCTTGTTCATTTTGAATAATTTCTCATTAATAAAACAACCAAGCTCATACTGAATTTTAATCATTTAAATTATTAATTTTTTTTTCTCCAGATGAAGTTGAATAAAGTGTGTGTTTTGCTGTTGGGAGTGTGTCTGATTGGGGCAGTGTTTGCCGACACCGATGAAGATGATGATGATGTTCAGGTTGAAGTGGAGGACGATGATGTCAAACCAGAAAAGGTTAATTATAGCCTGGGTGTATCGATCTAAAGTATAAAGCCCAGGGAGGTTAATTATTCCCTAGGGTTTGCAGACCTGTATAGATAGTTTTCAAATGAGACAATTTTGGCAAGAGTTATTTCCCCTTGGTCGCCATATTGGTGTTATACAAGCCCGTATTCCTTCATTATTCAACAAATTTAAACTTGTCATACTGGGCAAATCGGTAAAGATAACACATTTTTTCTTACGAATTTATGTTAACACAAGCTTCCTTTAATTCGTAATTTTAGTATTCTAAAGATTTTTGCCCTTACATTTCTGCCATACAAGTTTAAAATTGGTTGCTCAAAGAGAAAAATTTGCTCATTTCACCTCCAACGGGAAATAACTCTTTCTAAATTCAGGCCTATCGAAAACTATCTATACCAGTCTTCACAAAAACTCAGTTGTCCGAAGACCAAGGCCAGTGAATTTTGATGTCGGGTCAGTGAAAATCAAAATTCAAGATGTCCGATGGGCATGTAGTTTCTCAAAGTCATACACAATCAAAAATTTTTAAACTGTCTTGATTGCGTAAATTTTATTAATACATTAAATAAAAAGAACAAGGATGTGCTGGTGTATCGTATATTTATACGTAACAGAGATGTATTACAGTATATATATACTAACCCTGGAGGTAACAACTGTTAAAAAGGGAAATAACTAGTATCTATTAACTAGTACATAAAATGCTCAAATATCCTAAACAACTTACTGAAACATGACCAAGGGCAAAAATGGAGGCGTTTCTAAAATATTCATACAAGCATGTATTAATTTATAATTATGTATTTATTTTTTATAATTAAGGGGGCCAGTAAAATTTTTGGTGAGCCAGTAAATTTAGAAAGTTCACTGGTCCTACTGGCCAGTAAGTTTGAAAAGTTTTTGCGAAGACTGACATACTCTCCTGATTTACCTGTATGTTTTATGGTTTTTGACCCCCTTTATATTATTACCCTCATATTAATCTAAGATTAATGCCAAATCTCATAATTCCCACCATTTTCAGTACTTACTTCATTTCTAATAATGCTTAGAGCAGATGTTAGGAAAAAAGCAAGTAATACTTTACAAACATTTAAAATACAATGAGTAGATGCCGAAATAGATGTGTGCAGATTCAAGACTGAGATTTACGATTTAGTTTTGAAAATCATTCAGGATCTCTACAAGTGTTTTCATTTCTGTGTTGAGTATTAATTTAATTCACATCTTCTGCAAAATAATTTATTCTTTGTGAACTCGCATCATTTTCAACTGAATTTTTTTTCTTTTGATTTCATTCACAGCCGAAGTTTGTTCCTCCAAAAATTGATAAGAGTGTTCACTTTGCGGATTCCTTTGATAAAAAAGAGGATTTTAAAAGGTAATCGCATGATGCTATTAGAAGGTATGCCAGATTTGAAAACATCTTTATTGATAAATGTGTCTCTATCATAATTTAAATTCATTCTTTTTCTACAGATGGACAGTTTCACAAGCAAAAAAAGATGGAGCAGAAGAATCCATTTCAAAATATGACGGTATTGGTCAAATGCCTCTCATGGATACAGATTATCACATATTAAAGCAATAATAAAAAATGTGAATTTGATTTATAAAGTGATATGAGTAAAGATAATTCCCTTAAATTGACAGGTAAATGGCAGGTAGAGGAACCAAAGGACAGTGCTGTAGAAGGTGACCTAGGATTAGTCATGAAGGTATAAGCAGTGGTATTTTTGTATGTATATATAGTCATATTTTGTTGTAATGCCCTTTTCCTGATTTTAAAATGTTAGTAGGATAGCCATTGTAGAGAACGATCATTTCATTATTAGGCATTATTATGTGTAGAGTGATGAAAATATAAAAGAAAAGGGGTAATTTAACTCTTAAAAGGGACATTTTTGGATTCTCACTAATGCAAGAATTTGCATCCATATAGATGACAAAATCAAATTTAGACAACATAATTTATACTTATGATTCTTTAGATTCTGAACTGACAGGATGAATTTCAGTTCATGAGGTTTGATACTTTTGATCAGGGATCGAAATTAACTTTTTTGACTAGATATCTATATAATATATACCTGGAATGAAAAAAAGAGAACTTGATGACAATATGCAGATATGGCAATGTAACAAGGTATTGACATGGCAGGAAAAAGTTCATAACAAACAATATTTACATTTGCAAATGTTTCTCCTTGTGTAACACTATTTGAACAAGGCGTTTTTACACCTGTGTAAAACACGTTCGTCATGTGATCATAAATTGATTGTTTAGTCATAAACGATCTACGTAATTTCATAGTGGCGTCATAAGTGATCGACGTGTGTAACACATTCAATTTATGCCGTTGAGTTTTGAAAAAAATAAATCATTTATGGGTTTAAAAACTTTATTACCTTACTATTTGTAATAAATCAGTCACAAATGTAAATATAAGTAATAAGGTATCATTTTAAAAGTTTTATCGATATGTAAATACGGGTTGGCATGTGATTAAATCTTCCATAAAGCCCTTCGGGCTTTATGGGATTTGATCACATGACCAACCCGTTTTTATATCCCAATAAAACTTTTATAATGATACCTTATTTCTTAAAAATAATAAAGGGACTTGAACTGGACGATAAATGGAATGGGGATACTGTATGTACAAACTTTACAAAAAGAGAAATGTGGCTAGTTAAAGTTCTCTCTGACATAAATTAATGAAGTAATGTAAACTGTTACAAGTATTGTTTATTTTACAGTCTAAGGCAAAACATCACGCAGTAGCCTCCAATCTAAATAAACCTTTCAAGTTTGATGGCAAACCACTGATTGTGCAGTAAGTACTTATTATTGAAAGTTAAACTGATTTTAAAAAATTGAAACATTTCTAACAATAAAAAATAAAATCATACCAAACTTTCAAAATTAGTATATACTGAATTTTATTTTAAAAGTGACTTCAGATACAAATTGATATTAATAATTGACTGATTATTGAAGATATGAGGTTAGATACCAGAACGGTATTGACTGTGGAGGGGGTTATATCAAACTCTTGTCAGATGATCCTCTATTGGACTTGGTAAGCTACAGCTTGTATTTATGTTTAGCACAGTCTTACAAAATACTTTACTATAGATAGTTTTCATATGACATATTTTCCCTGCGAGTTACTTCCCTTGGAGGTCCAACTAGTGAATTTTCAGCTTTGAGCAACCAATTTTATACTTGTATGGCAGAAATATAAGGGCGTCTTTGAAATACTAAAATTGAGAATTAAAGGAAGCTTGTGTTAACATTAACTCGTAAGAAAAATTGTGTTATCTTTACCCAATTGCCCAGTATGACAAGTTTAAATTGGTTGAATAATGAAGTGATGTTTGTTTCAAACTTATTTTCTTTTTACACAGTACATTCATGTACATTTATGCATATTATGTTCTGCATTTGTAGAAAAAATTTCATGACAAGACCCCATATACGATTATGTTTGGTCCAGATAAGTGTGGACTGGATAACAAGGTATGTGATTTAAATCCGATTTAAAATTGTATCCAACACATACTTGTATATCCAATGCACATATTTGAGGGAAAAATAAGTGGGTCTATGGTAGAGGGGAATGGCTCAAGTTGGCATATACAAATTCCTGTTTCAAGGCATAAGTTTCACTTCCTGTTTAATGTAAAATCACGTCACAGCTGATAAGGCATCTGTGACCTTGATCTACCGGTAATATACCTAGAAAGAAGGTCATTTAGAGTCCAGAGATGTTGTATTTGATGTCGAGCTAATTCAGGTGTGACTGTTCTTTTTCAGCTTCATTTTATTTTCCGTCACAAAAATCCAAAGACAGGTGAAATAGAAGTAAGTTTTCCTTCTGTTTTGTAAGAAATGGTGGAAATTAGACCTTGTATAATGACTTTCTGAGTTATAGCGGTATGATTATCAGTATATTGATATGCTGTTTCTAATTTAGGAGAAACATGCCAAGAAATCCACTGCATCCTTAGATAGCTACTTCAATGACAAGAAAACTCATCTGTACTCTCTTGGTAAGTATTTATTATGGATCAAAACTTTTCTCATAATAAAGTTCGTTCTCTTTGCAAAAAGTATAAGGAATAAAATTAATAAGGTGGCAAGGAAAACTGAAAGTGCAGGAGCCCTATAGGAATCACATTGTCACATCCAGGACACTTTTGTTTTGACACAATAACTCAAATGTTTTCAACAAAATGTTTCCAAATTTTGTACAGAAGCACTATCAGTGTAAGACACCCATAAATTTAAGGGTCATTTCACTTCATCTAAACATGTGTATGAATGTTTATTTATGACACTGTTATTATGATGCAATAACTCAAATGGTTTTCAACATAATGTTTTCTTATTTTGTACAAAAGTATTTTACTGTAGGAGTTAAGACATCTACACATTTTGGGGTCTGTCCAGCTATCTTCAGATGACTGACTTATTGGCTCCTATATTTTATATTTACAGTGGTGAACCCAGACAACAGTTATGAGGTGTCAGTAGATGGCACTGTTGTTAATGAGGGGTCACTGTTAGAAGACTTCAGGTTTGTTTGAGGACTGCTCATCCATGCATTGATTTCATTTGTGGTGTCACCCCTCGATTTTAATACATGTTTACTGAACTCTAAAATTTGATTTGTTGGATAGACATGTAATTAAGGTTGTTGAATGGCTTTACATTCACCACACATTCAGTAAGGAAAAATAGCCATTTCGGCTTTCTCAATTCATTCTTCATGCTCATATTCTGTTCATGTAAACGAGAAAAATTGATGACTTTATTTTGTACAGCCCACCAGTAAATCCACCAAAAGAAATTGATGACCCCAATGACAAGAAGCCAGCTGACTGGGACGAGAGAGAAAAGTAGGTTACAATCTACACCTGAACAGACAAAACATTATTGTATGTGTTTCTACTGTTCTTAATCTCTTTTGTTATTGTTTTAATTCTAGAATCGCAGATCCAGATGCAGAAAAACCAGAAGATTGGTGAGACAATAAATACTATTAAAACACTAAAGAACACAAATGTAACATCTTGTAGTAACTCCTCAGAGTAAATTCTAATACTGTAAATCACTACAGTATATACATGTATGGATTCTTATTGAGTAAATCTTATATGTATATACACATGTACTGTCTTTATAATACATTGGAGCCTCATTTATCCAGATGCTTTGGTTCCCAATCAATTCGTCCAGATATGTGAAGCGTCTGGATACCTGAATTGCGCTGTTTTTAGTTATATGGCCTTTCATACCATTTTCAATAGTAAAGAATGTTGCTTTTAATATATCAATATGTTTTACTGTTTAAATACTTTAATATAAGTTAGTTCTACTCAATACTTATTTAAATAAATAAAAAAGTACATGTGTCATTGGAAAAAATTGTGTTTATATGGTCACATTAATAATTTCTACTTCCCAGTGTGTAATGAATCAACTTCTCCTAGTAGCCATGTCGGTACTGTCGGCAGAGTCTTATTTAATATGAACGCCCATCAATGCTAAATGTGACATAATCTGCGCATGTATATGAATGCTAATCGTAATCATCCAAAGCGAGATCGTATTAACGATTGTGTAATTTTGAAAGTGATTTTATAAATGTCATCAAATCATAGAATGCGTTTTGCGCACAAAATACTGTGCATAAAAAAAAACTCTGATGTCATGTCTATAAATACATAAAACCATGTTACGACTGTATTCTAACAGTAAAAGAAATATATTTGCCGACTACGAAAAAATTATCCTAGACTTATAAAATTATTTCCCTTAATTAATACATGTACGTATCAAAACCATGTTAGGGAAGCGAGAGTCTCGTGCGTACCTATCGACCTATAATTATAACAGGTCGCAGGTGGTCATCTCTTAAAACAAACGGCCAGACCAGTGTTTTTACAACAATCAACACCCAGATCAAGAAATTTGAGCAGACTTGACAGGCCAGTTAAAAAATTATCGTCTGGATAAATGAACCAAAATATGACGTAAAGATTCATTTTGTGGTGAAAAAAGACCGTCTGGATACGGAACGACGAATTCCGGTTAAAGGAGACAAAATAAAGTTAAATAATTTTGTTCCCATGAAAAATCATCCGGAAACTGAAGCGTCCGGATATCTGAAGGTACACTGTACCTGATATTTAATGCAAACTGTAGGCTTATTCATATGGAAGAATTTACAAAGTAATGCTGAATCACTCTGAATTCAAAAATTACAACAAATTTATACGGTTTACCATGTATTTTTATTTTCCACCTCTTTTCGTTTGGACTTGATTAATTTAGACACTTGTTTCTCTTCTTTATCTAGGGATGAAAATGAACCAGAGAAAATTGTGGACACAGAGGCAACCAAGCCTGAGGGGTGGCTGGAAAATGAGAACAAACTTGTTCCTGACCCTGATGCTGAGAAACCTAAAGACTGGTAATGTAATCTGAAGTGTTCAAAATATGCATGTAAATGAGAACAAACTTGTTCCTGACCCAGATGTCGAGGAACCATAAGACTGGTAATGTAATCTGAAGTGTTAAAAAAAGAATGTGAGCACTGTGGCCCATTGGCCTCTTGTTTTCCCTTAGAGACATTCTTTGTTGATTGTACTTATAATACATACTCTTTATTATTGTAGGGATGATGAGATGGACGGTGAATGGGAGGCGCCTCTCATTGGTGAGTTTCTCCACTAAATTATCACCATGTCTAGAAGGCCTGTAAAGAAATATAACATAAGCTAAACATTGAAGAAAAATCCATAAAAATGTAGAATCCTGTGTAATAAGTGGTTACAATTTCAGAGAATCCATTATGTAAAGATGCCCCCGGTTGTGGAAAGTGGGAACAGCCGATGATCAAAAATCCAAAATACATGGGAAAATGGAGACCCCCGATGATAGACAATCCAAATTATCAGGTAAGAAATAGGAACTACAGGTGTGTACAAAATTTTTTTTTAATTTGATAATTGAAGATCTGATGGTACATTGTTTAGCAGCTTGTGCAAGTTGTGAAGTTTCTTGGAGCAGTACTGTCGAAATTTACATAACATTCTCATTTTTAGCTCTACTGGTCAGAGATCAGAAGAGCTTATGCATTTATTAGGTGTCCGTCCGTCTGTAAACAATTTTTCAAATTGCTACTCCTCCTACAGTTTCAGCCCAATTTAGATAAGATTTGGTAGACAAGTAGACTATATCAAGATACATAATTCTGTGTATCTGTTTTTGATTTCAACAAACAGTGTTGCCACACTTACTAAAAATAGAAATTTCTTTGAAATTGTTACAAAACACTATTCTTCTACAGTTTTTGTCTGATTAAGATTTTACCAAGAAGACTATACAAGATACATCTTTGTTATAATAAGTTCACACCAGTAGAGCGAGTCTCATCAGAGACTTCTGGGTTAAATATTTTTGAAGTAACTTTGAACTGTCTCTCTAGGCCTGCAAAGTAAGCCCCAACCTAATGATAAAGAAATAAGCACCAGTGGTAGAGCTTCTTTAGGCTTTATAATCACTCAACAAGTAGCCCTTAGAATTTCTAAACACAGGCCACCACAATTATTGATGGTTGGATTCAGAATCTCTTGGTGGGGATAGCCAGGGTGCTTCCGTTGTTTGAACTCTGTTACAGTATCTCTGATGATGATGTCACATTTTTATAATGTCTACAAACTTTCTGACCTCCCTTTGTATGAGTTCAGAGGTTAATGTAAGTTTACTGTGTTGACACCAAGACCAAGAATGATTGGGTTACATAAAAATGTTACTTTCACTTGTATAATGATTTATTCTACATGGTAGTAAGTATTATGTTAAATTAAGAGGAGTGATATTTTCATTTCCAGGGTGTATGGAAAGCCAGAAGAATTCCAAATCCCAATTTCTTTGAAGATCTTGTACCTTATAAAATGAATCCAATTGTAAGTCTGTTTTAATCTAAATCTAATCATTTAACCAGCATATATAAATCAAGAAATGCAGGATAATGTTACACCAAGTTTTCTTGCATTTATCATCAGCGTTCTATGCAATTTTATGTTCATGCTAAATTTTTCTTGTATGATGCCTTTTTTATGTACTTTTTTCTATCAGAATGCATTGGGATTAGAGCTATGGTCGATGAATGATGAGATAGTGTTTGACAACTTTTTAATCACTGATGATAAAGTGGTGGCAGAGAGGTGGACTGAACAGACATTTAACGTCAAATCAGCAGCAGAAAAAGCTTCATCTGGAGGGGTAAGTACCCTAGTCAGTAAAGATGTAGTGACAGTTATGGATAAGGCCTCATCAGAAAGCGCAAATTGCCAGTCAATCAAGATGTAGTGACAGTTACAGATAATGCCTGAAAGGGTTAGTAACCTTGTCAGTAAGTATGTACTACCAATTACTGCTAAGGCCTCATCTGAAAGGGCAAGTAACCTTGTAAGGATTTAATGACTGTTATTGACAGTGCCTCTTATAGAGAGTAACTAACCATGTCAATCAAAACATAGTGACAGTTACTGACAGTGTCTCATTGAAAAGGTAAGTAATTTTTAGGGATGGGTATAAGATTTCGTATTGTGATATGTCACAATTTTTTCCCAAAAATATCACAATAAATCGTGATATTTTACTACAATTTCAAATGAATTTCCGTAATATTCCCGAAAAATATGCCATAAAAACTTAACTTTTCTTTATAAATTATTTATTTAATATAAAGAATGTTTGGATGCAGTTGTTTAACTGTTTTCAACATTTTTTACACTTCCTGTAATTGTCATACCAAATACCAGTATTTTAGTCTTCGTATCTTGATCACACAATAAAAATTGTGATATACCGGTATACCGATAAAATAGCGCATCCTTAGTAATTTTGTCAGTAGAGGTAGTAAAAGTTCTAGCATGGTAAGTCATGTTAGTAAAGATTTACAGAAAGTTAGTGACAGTGTCCCCGACTACCTCATCTGAAAGGGTTAGTAACCTTGCGAGTAAGGATTTAGTGACTGTTACTGACAGTGCCCCACCCTATAGGGTAAATGGCCTTGTCAGTCAACACTTAGTTCCTGAAGGTGCCTCACCTGAAAAGGTAAATTGCCTTGTCAGTCAAAGTTTATTTCTGACAAGAATCACTTGAAAGGGTAAACTGCCTTGTCAGTCGAGATTTAGTTTCTGAAAAGCATCATCTGAAAGAGTAAATAGTCTTGTCAGTCAAGACTTAGTTACCTGACAAGCCTTAACTGGATGGATAAATTGCTTATTCAAGGCATAGTGTAAATTATTGCTTGGAAGAATAAATCAATGTAGACTTGAGACTCACAGAAAAAAAAAAAATGAGCATTTAGACATGACAAATTACAGAGGGAAAAAAGGTGGCATTTAGTTCTACGTTTAAAATGTAAATACATTAGAAATGAAAATAACTCTCAATGCAGGTGAAATTTGAACCAGAAATATATTCATTAGACATGTGATGTTGATACAGTGTATATCATTGTTTTGGATTATTAAAGCAATAGAAAGATTTTATGCAATTTGGAAACCATTCAATAAGTATGAAGTACTAAACATTGTTCTGTATATTGATCTGATTGTGGACTGTTACAGCGGAGTGTAGTGGATGCCATCACTGACGCCACGAGAGAGAGGCCCTGGTTATGGGCCCTCATCTTAGTTGTGGTGGTCTTACCTATTGTTCTTATTATTGCATACTGCTGTATGTCAAAATCAGAGGTAAGGCCCAGGTTCACCATCATCTACAACTGCTTGCTTGCACACCTACATGACTTCTGTCCTACCTATAAGAGTTTTCTTTATAAAATGACTGTCAGACATGTTTTAATGGCATACTTTATGGACATGCAGCTCCAAAAACAGGATGATGATGATGATAATGAATTAAAAGAGAATATGTAAGCTTGAACAGTCTTGTGGTCATCAGAAGTCATGCTGTGTGTCCAGATAAGTGTAACTAACTATTCCCTTGCAAAACTGAATGACTTTCAGCCAATGGAATGGTTGGTTATATAGGGAACCACTCTGGGGATAAGTAAAAAGCCTCCTCATTAACTGGGTTTTCTATATTTTGAATTCATTAATTTATGTACACATACACTACTCTGTATTGAGGAGGCTAGGCTTTTTCCACTTGGTGTTGTGTGTGTGTGTTTTTTTTTAACCTGGCATGTTTTTATTTTTTCCTCCTGAAGGCTCTGGGATATCTCTCTGCACTGAAGGGGGCGGCTGATGACAAACCCTGGCTTTGGGCTGTATATGTTGTGGTCCTACTCCTCCCTATATTGTTAATTTCTATCTGTTTATGCCCCCGGAGTGGTCCTATAAAGGTGCTTAGTTTTATTTTTCCTCTTATTTATTCTTTCTGTCAATTTTTTTTTAGTTTCTGTTGATATTTTTACACACAGTCTTGTGTATTTATGAGCACAGTAATCAAAGAATTACTAATATTTAACAATATTTAGTATGTTTATATACTAAGCAACTTTTGTCTGTGTGAAATTAAATGTATGTAGGTCCATAGTTTCAAGGTTTTCAAAATTCTTATCACTGCATTTTTTTTTTTATAAATGTTAAATGAGTTTTCCTAATTTTTTCATGACTCTTTGCAAGTTTTTGTTTCTTTTGTAAATATTAAAAAAAAAGGGGGGGGGGAGGGAAGAAATGATAAATAGAAATGACAAACTTCTGGGTTTTATTTTCAAGTTTATAATCACATATCCTTGAAAAAAATTCAGTCAAACTTGCAGAGCAAAAATGCTTAAAATTTACATGTATACCTCCATGATTCATCTTTAAAAGTTTAATTATAATTGATTATGAATAATAATTTAAATACAGTATATTGCATTCTTCTCTTCAAGAAGTAAAATGATAATGCTGTAACTATCACCTATAATTGTTGAAATAATTGCTAGGATTATGTTGTAAATATAAAAACAAATTTTCATTGAATTATGAACACAAGGTATTGATCACTATTTCAGCCAGAAACTCTGGCAGAGGCCAAAAAAACAGACGCAGTCTCACCAGACGATGAACAGAAAGAAGACACAGGGTCTGCCGACCAAGAGGAAAAAACAGGGCCAGGGGGAGACAATAAACCCAGCACAAAGAAATCCAAGTCTAGTCTAGAGACAGCAGAGGTACAGGGATTTCCTAAAACTTTATAAGTAGTAGGGTACATCCTAAAACTGTATATGATCAGTACAGGAACATCCTAAAACTGTATTCAGTAGTGAATACCTTGATCAGAAATTTTAGTAGCTGTCTAAATATTGAAATTTTGGTAGCTGGTTAAATTAAGAATTTGAATCATGAAAAATCTGAATAAAAATGTTAGAGAAGAAAATTAACTTGAAGGGCTAAATTAATACATTGTAATTTAAAAAAGTTTGCTGAATGAAGAATTTTTATGATGTAAAATAATGTAGCTTGATGAGTACAAAATAAAGTTATGGAAAAGAACAGCTGATCAAAGAACTTTTGAATGCATGAAAGTTAACTTGCAAACACTTGTTCCGGTACTTTTGGTATGATTTGCAAAGACGTGCAAGTTTGTTCAGAATTCAGCAGATATGGTCTTCAGAGTGCAAGATGCAAAAGCTACAGCTAAGATGAAAGGTCAACTTTTTCAGTGTTCATAGGAAGATAATTTTAATACATTAATATTATTTACCATGAGGTCATTCATACTGAACCAGATTTAGAAAAATTGTTAATGATATGAAAATTGATCACAGGATGAAGGAGAAGACGAAGTAGATGAAGACGATGATACTGCAGATGAGGAAAAGAAGGAGAGTGGATCACCAAGGTACGTAAACATGATCTTAATAGATAACTTCAAACTTTGTTTTTACATGTATCTGCAAAAATAAGTTTTATACCTAAAATCTGATGATCACCAAGGTATGTAAACATGCTCTTAATAGATAACTTCAAACTTCGTTTTTACACATATCTGCAAAAATAAGTTTTATACCTAAAATCTGATAAAAACTGGAATTGTTTTAATTTGTGGAGGTGTTTGTGGACTTGTTCAATGTCAGACAGGAATGTAATTTCATGGGTAACTCATATAAACAGATGGTTCAATGAATCAATATGTTGACAAATTTATTGCTGTTGGGGATGTAAGGTTGACATAATCTACAAGCATTGGCCCCCCACAAACAATCATTTAAAGGGTGAGAGGAAAGATTTTTGATCATAACAATAAACGTTCATGAGTATGTTTGTAAATATCTTTCTTTTGTATATAGAAGATCTCCCAGAAAGAGAAAGTCAAGGAAAGATTGATAGCAGCATTAATAGAAGGAGTGAAAGACGAGTGACAGAATTCCTTGTTTTAAATGATTATATGCAATGCAGAGGAAGCAACCTAATCCATAGTTAAAAACATCTCTCAGTTCATGTCTGGCCAGGATTTGTATGCAGAAAAGTTGAGAATTTTTATGCATATGAACCCAGGATGTCATTTATTTAATGCTGAACAGTGTAATAAGTTATCATTTTTTTTTTACTTTCGTTTCTTTTCATGGATCAAGTGAGGAAGAATATATGTTTGTGGGTTGCGAATATTTTGTTTTACCATGTGATTAGATTGATGGATTAGGGCCCTTTTAAATGACTTACACTGGAATTAGAAATTACTTACATTCAGAATTAAAATTGACTTACCCAGGGAATTAGAGATGACTTAATTGTACAATAGAATTAGAGGTGATTTAGAGTGTTTTGTATTCCATCTCTGGTTTTCTGCTTAAAGTTAAATTAAAATTTTCCAAAATGCTTGCAATATTTGTTTTCTCAGACTTTCATCTGAATGTTTAAATATTTATGCATAGAAGTAGTATTTTTTTTTTTTATTGAAGCACACACTGAATCTGTATAAACTTTTTATATGTTGGTGATTATTGTTCTGGGGTTTTAATGATTATGACTGCTTGTTGTTCACATTTTGAAGTTTTAATGTAAATTGTCTTGTAAAATGTGAGTTGGTCATTGTATAGTGAAATTCCAGGTCTGTACTGTGTAACATAAATGTTTTATTAACAATGAAAAAGTATTGTATGATGTGTTGTTGAGATAGTTACGATGTTCGATGTCAGTAGCAAATGATTCTACATGATTTGCATGAACTTAATATAAATATATATAAACATATTCAGAAAATATTCTAATTGTACATTTTAGTTTATGATCTCACTTACATGTGTACTTATACTTCAATTAAAAACAGTTGCCATGAAAAACTTTTGACAAATACCATACAAAATTTGTTAAGGACATATGCAACGTACCTTACCTACTGATAATTTTTTAAGATATTTTTAATTTATGATAATAGTGCCATCAGATGTTCATAGACAAAAAATCAGCATGCATTACCAGGGGTTTTGAAAAGATATCAATTGATGAAAATTCTTATATAATTCAAAGAAAAATATACAAAAATTACTAACATATATTCTAGATGTTTATCCAAACTTGGTTTAGAAGAAGTGTACAACAGCATATATAGACATTAAAATGGAGCACACAGTTCCTTTAAGTATTAGAACTCTTCAACTCCAGGGAAAAACACAATAAAGTTCAAACAATGTTGTGTATGTCCTTAATTCACAAATGTTCCAATTCAAAATTATTTGAAATTTGAGAGTTTGATAATTAAACATAATTATATCTTATATCACAGATTGTATTATTTCTTTTCTTTAACCTGTTTGTACTTGAGTGGTGAGGTTTGATTGCTATCAGTTATTTTGTGAGAGCTTAGTGTCCAGCAACAAGTTAATGGTGAACATTGTCTTTTGAGAGTGGAGTGTCAAGCATAAATTATACGATGCCTTTTTAAAGTTCAAGTGTTTTGATTGTGCATATCTGTGCAAGGATATAATGGAAACATGTTAATATTTTTCTTTATATTTTCTAGTATTCATTGAAAATGAATGTCAGAATGTAAACTCTATATTCCAGTCTTGTATAATAGATTTAAATTATGCTTTCCAATCATGCCGATGTCTGTAATTTTGTTTGGTTGAATTAATCATTAGTAAGTTCTTTGTACATGTAGGTGAAAAAAACCATTATGAATAAACCAACTTATTTAAAAGATTTTATCATTTATTACATATAGTTATACTGATGAAAGGTCTAAAATATTCTTCCTGCATTTGATACATTAAAATCATGATCTTCCCTGATACTTGTTACATACATGTATGTCTGAATCCACCATTGTAAAGAGGGCAAGGATTGAAGGATGAAAACAAGTAATTAAAGTGTGTAATAATCTTAAGAAAGAAAACATGTACCAAAAAAAAATATCTAAAAGCAGAAGCTGGGTAAATTGTCAGCAGTAAAGGATATAAATATAATGGTTATAAAATATTCGGCAAAACTTGTGTATCAAAATATCCTCTCCTGTCAATACACATCACCTGAAACCAAAAACAAACAAATAACAAACTTGTTATAACAGTGTGAATTTACAAAATTCCCTAAATTATTTATATGGTTGATAATTGATTCAATCCTGCCTGTTTTGAAACGCTTCCAAATCATTGGGTATATAGTTTCCAAAAATTATACATTTATTACATTATTTATGCAAAGATTGTGGAGACCTCTAACATCTTACAATGGCAAGGTTTATCTTGTTTTAAGGTATGTCACTCGTGAAATTTGTTATATCAAGGATTTTTTGAGAAGTATATTTTGGATAAGTACTCATATATTATGACTCAAAATCGCAGAGAAAATGGGGGGTCAGTGTGCATCTAACTGAGCTACGGTACAATTAAGTTGACCTTTTTGCACTTAAATTGTAACTCTTTGGTTAATCACTTTAACCGTTATCATATTTTATAAGATGTAACCATGGCAATAAACATAATCTTATTTTACGTAAAATAGTTTGAATAATATTTATCATTGAACAAATCATGCAAATTAATGCGCGTAAATTATTGTGACCTTTTTGCACTAAAAAAGTCTCATATTTGGGGTATTAAAAATCTAAATAGGCAATAGAATATTTTCTTGTATCAAACTTTTTACGACTTAAGTGCTGATCGGTCAAAAGTATCGAGTAATTTAAAATAATGAAAGAAAAAGATAGGGTCAGTGATGTAAATTTTGAAATATTGGTCAAAATATGCGATTTTCAGGCAAAAAACTGTGTTAATTTTATCTCGACTTCCTTAATATATCTTCATTTCTTGGCAATGTTTTTTGAGCGAAGGTGTAAATTTTGTTATAAAAATATAAACTGAGACCTATATTTAATATTCCAGGCATATCATAACGGAAAACATTCTCTGAATAAAAGCATGTGAGGCTAAAGTTCCAAGATATTAAATTAATAAATGTGTAGATTTGCAGAATTTTCTGCTAAATGTCCTTCCGCCACAAGAAATAGTCCCTTATAAATCTTGCTTCTTTAGGAATTTTTGAGCAGTTTTTTAATTGAATGTTGAACATTTTACATTGTTTAATTTAAATATGATATAAAGATTGAATTGTAATAAATAGTTTTTAAGTAAGAGGTTCTGACTGAAATTTTCTAAAAGGCTGACGAGTGACATACCTAAAGTACCTCATATTTTCGTGAGTTTTGATGTACTTTTATAATCCCCGATGCTATCCAGAAGGCAGACTTCCCAGTACCAGAGTAAATAGGCCGACTCAACCACTGCTCTCACGTATGCCTGTATCCAAAACAAATATTAACACCGTAAACAATTCTATTGTAAAACAAAGTGCCCGAAAATAGATGAAAATTAAAAAATAAACCAACATTGATAAAAGTCATGTTAACTGTCTTTTCTTTTGAAGCATGTCCATGGTGATGTGTCTGAAACGAAAAAGAGGGGAATTTCATGTCAGCTACTCAATATTAACTAAAGATCATTTTAGCAAAGTAACGGGCATGCAGAGATTGAAGTATTGGTAGGTAAATCAGGCAATGAGGTGGAGTTTGTTGGGGGGGGGGGGGGGTAAGATGCACAAAAAGCACAGGTTAATCCGTGTGTTTAAGTCTAAATCATTACAGGTCATAAATAATTATGTCTGTTGAAAGTTTGTTTCAACAAAATTTAGTATTATTTTTGTTTCTATGTCCTTTAGAATGGGGCTAACAGTTTTATATCTATGCAAAGTTTAAAAATAAGACATAATTTTTAAAAAGTTGAGTATTATGATGATAAAGCACCCCAGGTCCTTACTATATTGACAAGTGATTGTTCTCCCAAATTTGGTTTCTTATGTAGCTGTACAATTTATTAAGCAGCAAAAAAAACAAGAGGGTAGTGGGCCATAATGCTCACCTTAGTAATTTTGGCCCTCTGTTACTTTAATACGATGACCTTGTCTGTAAATACAACCTATCATTAAGTCAAGTGCTGATTGACGTTGTTAGGTCATTATTTACATGTACATACTGAATTGTCTACGGATTTTTTTCAACCATGACAAGGAGTAAACGGCGGGTGTGACCGGTGTCGCATAATTTACGTTCCGGATACTTCGCGTCCCGGCCGGAACCTTAAAATCATAATATTGGTTCCGGATTTTACTGTAAGTTTGGTTCCGGCCATGGCTGCAATCTCCGAATCGCGGTATCTCTCAATTATTATCTGCCAGTTTTCATTCTACACTGAACCATAGATTCTGAAGTAGTTTTTTCCTTGAGGATTAAGCATGGCGCAGCGGCATGCCATTTTCATGTGGCGCAATGTTCTTTTTATAAGACGTCATGCCCTTTTTGTACAGCCATTTTTAAAAATAAATGAATGAATAGCCCAAGTAAAGATCGTGAAATATACGCTTTCTGATACATATACACCGAATAAAATTTGGTCGCATGAAAGGCTTTGTTTATCTAATGCATACAAATTAAGTCCCTTTGTTTATTTAGTGCATGTCAGATGTGAATTTCTCGCTTGAATGCACGCAGACCCGGTATTTTCAGGGTAAAGAGGATAGAAGATAAACTAGACTGAGATTACAAAAGCCTAAAAAGAAGCACAATGTCAAAGATAAATTCGATCAGTAAATTTTAATTTTATAATCTGATAAAGTAAAGAATTAAATACAAAATGGTATATATGTATTTACGGAGATGCATTCTCTGTTTAAATGATATTACAAGTGTTGCGAATTCCACAATGTCGAGCCTCGAATACATGGCTTCCATTCCTCATAGATATTATCACTTGGCATGAAAATATGATTTATATTCCATTAGAAATAAACAAACATAAAAAAAAATATAATTGACTGATGAAGATAGTTATATAGTTTTTGTGATAAATTAACAATTGCGGAGAGTATTTTCAAACATAATTTTCCCGATATATAGATTACCATAGAAAACATAGTTACTATATGCTTGTGCCCCCTCTATAAAAACGTCTGATGACCTTTTTTTTTTTTTTTTTTTTTTTTTTTTTTTTTTTTTTACTTCTCAAGGAATTTTTGGTAGTTGATAGTGCCCCCTCAACTGAAAATGTATGGCTGTGCCCCCCCCCCCCAAATTGAAATTGCTTCCTACAGGCCTGCATGTACAAGGTTGTTTCTTTTCCACTTTATTACGCGTACGAAGAAAAATTAATTAATTTATTACGAATAAAAATTAGATAACGTTTCGGGTTACAGTTCCTGTGTATTTTCAAACATCTTTTGTTACTAGGATGTTTCTTTTTCACTTTATTACGAAGATAAAGAAGCCCGGAACTAAAATTATGGTCATAATTAACGTTCCGGGTTACAATTGCTGAGAGTATTTTCAAATATTTTTCTTACTAGGTTGTTTCTTTTCCACTTTATTACGAAGATAAAGTAGCCCGGAACCAAATTATGGTCATAATTAACGTTCCGGGTTACAATTACTGTGTATTTTCAAACATCTTTTGTTACTAGGCTGTTTTTTTTTTCACTTTATTACGAAGATAAAGTAGCCCGGAACTAAAATTAATGTCATGATTAACGTTCCTTACAATTGCTGAGAGTATTTTCAAATATTTTTGTTACTAGGTTGTTTCTTTTCCACTTTATTACAAAGAAAAGGTAGCCCGGAACCAAAATTATGGTCATAATTAACGTTCCGGGTTACAATTGCTGAGAGTATTTTCAAATAACATTGTTACTAGGTTGTTTCTATTCCACTTTATTATGAAGATAAAGAAGCCCGGAACTAAAATTATGGTCATAATTAACGTTCCGGGTTACAATTGCTGAGAGTGTTTTTAAATATTTTTTCTTACTAGGTTGTTTCTTTTCCACTTTATTACGAAGATAAAGTAGCCCGTAACCAAAATTATCGTCATAATTAATGTTCCGGGTTACAATTGCTGAAAGTATTTTCAAATATTTCTGTCACTAGGTTGTTTCTTTTCCACTTTATTATGAAGATAAAGTAGCCCGAAACCAAAATTATGGTCATAATTAACGTTCCGGGTTACAATTACTGTGTATTTTCAAACATCTTTTTTTACTAGGTTTTTTTTTTCACGAAGATAAAGTAGCCCGGAACAAAAGTTGAAACTGATTCGTCGAGAAACATTTGTTAAAAAACACTATTACCCGCTGAAGGTGTATTTCTTGTGACAAGACTTTCTCTAGGATACCAACAATTTTGACCTTGACCTTGGAGTTTGAACTATTGAAAAAAATTAACTTTAACCTTGGCCATAACTTTTGACATTTGATGCTAGGGCTTTTATATTTCACATGTATATTCCATGTGACGTGTCCTTTCCCTGGGTATCATTGATTTTGACCCTTTGAGTTTGAACCACTTTTTAAAAACTCTAACCTTGGCCATATATAACTTTTCTTGGGCTTTCATATTTCACAGGTAATTTCATTGATACAAGTCCTTTTTTGGAAAACAACATTTTGATCTCTTGACCCTGACCTTAGAGTTTAACTTGCACTTTAGAAACTTGACCCTTCACAAAAGACTGCCGTACGGGAGCATCAGTGTTTCACAAACACATTTTGTTTTTTATTACTTCTCACTTTACCTAATGTGTTTATGTTAAAGCGTTTGAACTTTTTTTTAACTATTAATTTAAAACAATTCCAGAATTTAATGTGAGCATGTAACCCTGTCTTTGACACATATATAATCTTTCAATTTTAGTCTTAAAAGTTTATTATTATTTATTAATTGCTTTAGACATATATCTTATCGCATTTCAACAATTATAACAAACAGTGCCAAATAATACATAATGGCATTGTATGGTAGTTTTTATAGATTACACAATCGTCATATATAATGATTTCATGGAGAATTACCATATCATATAAGAAAAAAACTGTCTCTCAGCTTAAAAGCATAATGGATATATGTCCCTAAGTTACAGAGAACATGGACGTTGTGAGCACTTAATAATTGTACAAAGAAGATGGGCGTGTTTGGTGTATGATCTGCAGGAATAAGGTGTACGAAACATTTATGATTAAATGTCTACGATTTGGTCGGCTGACCACAGCTGGACATACTTTACAAAGTTACGCACATAAGAAAATGTTACATTTAGTTTGAAAATACTTTGTCAAATTTAATATATCAGTCCGCCTATCTTAATAATTACTACATGTAAAACTTAGTAACGCTTCACATAAATACTAAACACCTACAGGGTATAGTTAAATGCAATTACAAGTACATGTATATATTAAAGTATCAATAGGTTGGAAAGAATTGCTTTCGCTTTCGGTGCAACAGAACCAGAATTTATCTATTTGAAAATAAATCAGTACATAAAATTAAACTGACAAAAGAATTGATTGTTTGCACAAAAAAAATATTAACGCTCTATGCGAGGATCGAACCAAAAACATTTCTTTTCATTGCACTGGACTGGTAACGAATACTAATAAGCTATCACCGCTACATACACTTTATGGTTTTTAAAGCGACAATGAAGCACCGCATTTACACATTGGAATTTTTTTGGGAAAAAGTTCATTTTTTATTGTCTCTGGGTCTTCTCTCCATTTTTTACAAATGTTAGTTAGTTTCTTTGAATTAAAATGCACACAAAGTTCGTCATATTTTGCTGGCATTACATTAATTGTTAAAAAAATAAATTTTATCCGAGCAAAAAAAAAATCCACATTTTTTTTTATTAAATTATTACAGGAAATTGTTTTTCTTCATATTAAATGCTTTATAATTTTTCCGCTGAAATTAATGTCTATTCACACCTTTGCAGGTCCTTCGCCCACACATCTCCTATTATGTTCATTCATGTATTGTGATTTAATTATATATTTGGCTTTACAAAAACGCAATGGGTGTTTGAAAAAATATATATAAAGATATTAAAATATTATCCAATAATTTTTTTAATCGTTAATATAATTCTTCTATTAGCATTACCAGCTGATCAGGGTGCCCTTCGCCTAAAACTCATTTAAAATTGCGGAAATGACACAGCGATTCGCATGACTGCATATTGTATCGATAGAAGGGAGTCATAAAACAACAAGATGGGTATGTCAATGTAAACAAGTTTCACACCTTCGCGTTCTTTTGTTTACAAAGAAACAACATAATTACGTATAATTCCTTGAATTATATTATAGCATTGGTACATGTACATGTATTAAGACCGTATACTGGGACTTCTTCTAAATCGATATACGTTTAAATCCTGCTGCATCGTATAACCCGTTAAGAGAAAGAAAAAATCCAAATTATTTGTAAATATTAATTATAAATAAAGTTTTTAAAAGGGTACTTGGATGCCCGGAACGTTTATTATGGCCGGAACCAAACTTACGCGGGCCGGAACGTTTATTATGGCCCGGAACCAATATTATAGGTATTTAGCGTTCCGGCCGGAACGCTAAGTTACCCGGAACGTAAATTATGCGACACCGGTCGGCAGGAGATGCTCACTCCTCCATGGCGTGATTCAGACAAATTTGAATTTACACTATCTCAGGAAGCTTTCACGTATCTCATCTTACCAAGTCAAAGGTTTCTGATCCACTCCACTCCGCTCCGTTAAATGTGTTCCATTTGCTACTATGTAGACATGTGGAGCGGAGTGTATCAGGAACCCTTGACTTGGGAAGATGACATATCTGGGCAAGTGGTTCTTGGGAGAATGATTTTTTAAGACAGCCATCCTTTTTTTTTTACTTTGTTTTTTTTTAATCCGTTCACCCAAGAATTTGATTGAAAATGACAGACAGACGGAGGGCACTTGAACCTTCTGTTCAGGTGAGCTAAAAAAAACTTTTGTTTGTGTTATTCCAAGTTTATTTACTAAAATTTAGTAGGCACCTTTTGAAAAGGAATACTGTTGTTACTCATTTTGTGTTCAGTATAGTTTATAGTTTTGAGTCTAAACAGTAACGAAAAGTTTTATTTTTAAAAACCAACTTTTTTTTTTTGACACAGCGGGTGTAATCGGTCGACAGCATTTTATTTCCGGAATTGTTTAAAATATTCAGCTTTTCATTTCCGACATTTTATAGTTCTCATTTCCAACATTTTACAGTTTTCATCTCCGACATTTAAGTACATTCCCGGCAATAAGAACAGAATCGAAAACTTTTATTTTAAGAATAAATCATTGATATCCAACATAAATTCGGCACAGTCACTGGCACATAATTCAGTGGACATTAATTTTAGTGAACAAAAATTGCATGCGCGTTCAAATCAGACAAAACTTTTAATTAGACTTAGTGCTGCATTTATATACAGTATATTGTAATATTTTTATTTAAAGACTTGTAACATTTATATCTTGTTAAAATTTTATTTCCACCTTCTTAGTTAACACTAAATTGCCGGAAAAGTTACTGTACCTCTAAAAAGTCTGGAAATTAAAAAAAAAATAAATGTCGAAAATGCAAATTTCCGGAGATGAAATGAAGCGGATCGGTCGACAAGGGATGCTTACTCCTCAGGGCACCTCTAGAGGTTCGTGTTTGCTCTGCTCCAAATTTGTATTGTTTCTTTTTGAGCTGGATTACGGTTTGTTGTCTCCATATTTTATGTAAACCCTACCTTCTGGTTAGAATCTCCATTTGTTATCCTCGCCGTCTTCCATTTTTGGTTCCATTTTTCCTGAGTATATAGCAACAGAGGTAATGACAAGTATAAAACAACAACAACAACAACATCAACAACAAAGGATGTTAGATTTCGCAACATCTGACAACAGTAAGCAATTCTCCCATCTCTTATTCAAAGAGCGCCAAATTAACATAATTTGAAATATAATTATTTGAAGATATCGCTAATTACTGTAAAACACTATAGGCCTATATATTCCTGGGGTCAAAGAGCCATAGCTGCCTTACCGACGACAACGGCCGACTCAAGAATTTAAAAGGAAATCACCTGTTTCTATTTATAGATATACTGTACCTTTTCAATTCAAGGGCAAACTATATCTAATATGATTTGAGGACGAGTGTTGCAAGTATGTCAAATGACAATCATTTTACTTGTTCAATACTCTAATTCTGAGACAAAAGATTTACGCAGAAAATCAATAAAAATAAAACAAGTTGCTATGAATTTGCAAACTTTAATAAAATAGTTAAGGACCGTCTTTTCCCGAGATACTTTCAAAGTGTAATGTGTACATTATATCTTTCTGAAATTGTGTATGTTATAAAACATAATTAAGAAAAACGTAGAAAAGATACACAAAGAAAAAAAAATTAAAAAAAAAAAAACAAATGGGAAAATGTGGGGCTCGAACTCGCAATCACCATATTTACATTCCAGCAATCATACCGCTGCGCCAACTAAGTCAATAATGTCAAGTTGATAAATTTAAGACAGATTACTAAATCTTACGATTATATGAGAAGAAAAATTTAATATATATTTTCATCATTTCCAATAAGAAGACCACCTTTAACCAAAATTATCTAAAGGGAATGAAGTGCAGACATATCCAAATAAAATTATTCAAAAGTTGTTTTTCTGGTTAAGGGTGGTCTTTGGCAACAGTTTGTCATCGTTAGGTGGATACCTCAATATTTACTATATATTCTATACAAACTGGATAATTTTCAAATTTATCATATGAGGGAACTATTAACATTTAAATATCATTATTGTGTGATTTGGTTTTACACATGTATAAACTAAGACTGTATGACAAAATTTTGGTTAAAAAATTTATTTAAGAAAATTACTAGTAGAGTAGGCGAAAATGCCTATCAAATGCGCTATGGCTCTTTCGTGGTTTGATGAAAAATCATTGGTTTATAAGGATTTCATTTCATGGTTGTAGAAAAGTTCAATTGTCACATATTTGAAATACATTATTAGGGGGGACATGAATTTGTGGGTTTCTTCAAAACACGAGACCCGCTCCCATCCACACACACACACACGAGCGCGATAAGTAATTCCATTAATATTGTTAATGTTACGTGCAAAAAATGATGCAAGCATCCACAGGCACTCGTTTCTGTAATAATTTTTAACCTATAGTATAATTATTATACCATGGGTTAAAAATCATTCGGGAGAAACAAGTGTCTGTGCCCTCACATCAATTATTACTCTCATCAAATTCATGCTCGCATCATTTGAATTAATAAGATCAGTAATAACATTGAATAGTGCATCAAATGAATTGATTATATTCGCATTAATTATATTGCTTTCATCTATGAAGATTCTACGCAAGATGCGTAGCTTGCCCCCCCCCCCCCCCCCCAACCTATACCTACAATGACTTTCTGCTGATCTATGATGTTGTCTAACTCTCTATCGGCAATGTCAGCTTTATTAAATGGGTTGTTTCTGCCAATCCATGTTTGGAAAAATTGCTATAAAAAATCAAAAAATGTCCTTGCTAACATATGACATGAAATGTAAAACATATAATACTAATAGACTGTTTCACGGTAACTGCAGTACTGCTCTTTTGCAGGGCAAAATGATATAGTTTGGTGAAACATGACGTAAAAGTAATTGTTAAATATACGTCATTTGATTATCTGTGGACAAAAAATTTCGCCAAAAGTTATTATTTTGCCCTGCATAAGAGTAGTACCGCAGTTACCGTGAAGGGGATATATAATAGTCATGCATATGTTTGAATGATATGGCTCATTTTAATGAAAATAAAAACACACAACAAGAAAACAAAAACAACAACAACAACCAAAACAAAAAAAAAATTATAGATCTATGGGCTACAATGCTCACATCAGTCACTGTGTCCCTGCTCTTCAGCAGACCCCCCCCCCCCGGGTAGACTTTACTTTACCGGTCCCCAGATCCGCAAGATCCGCGCGCTCATTGCACTATGACGTAAGATTTACGTCACTCAACTGATTACGGTTGATTTTGCACATTTTTCGACTGGTTAGGGTTCGTCTTGCACCCACCTGAAAAATTAGGGTTAGTCCTTGCATAAGTTTTCGACTGATTAGGGTTAGTCTCGCATCCATCCGAGAGATTAGGGTTAGTCCTCGCACACGGGTTAGTCTAGCATGGTTTAGCATCCGCCTTGGAGATTTGGGTTAGTCCTCGCATACCATCCGAGAGATTAGGGTCAGTGTCTTGTTCTTTTAGATTAATTAAGAAATTCAGTTGCATCCGTATTTTTTGCAAGATCTTTATTCAGCTTCAACGACAACTCGTTGGTTTGTTTACATGAAAAAAAAGGCTAAGTACGAAAGAAACGGCACTAAGCATGCGCCGCACGCGCTTCGTTCACAATTATTTTTTGTCTCCTTTTCACTGAATAAATAATATTTATTACTTTTTTCAGAGAACGAGGTTTAAAAACTTCGTTTAAAAACGAAGTTTGAAACTAAACCTTTTACCGTAGAATTCGATTTTGGGGTCAAAAAAGGCTTAAAACCTCATATTTTAATTTTTTTTCGATCGCTCACGCGATCTCATATATACTGAAGTCGCCTACGGCGACACTATAGTTTAGCGCGTTTTTCTGGGGACCGGTAAAGTAAAGTCGTTCCCATGAACAATCTACACATATAAATATATATGTACATGTACCTTTTGCTGGCCACCTGTCATAGACTGGAGTGTGTCGGCGTCGGCTGTCTCTCTCTGTACTGCCAACCTTTGAATTCTCGATTCCAACTCCTGAATGGCTGTCCGTTGAGTCTCTTGGGCACGCAGCATCTATATATTTATACATGTATAAGTAAAGAATGTTCAGTATTGGGTTACAATGCACGGTGTAATTTTAAGCCCAGCACCAGTGTATCCGTATACGTCGTAGCACCCACTACTGGTTTTTATATACGACTTTTATGCTATATAGGATACCACTAACCTGACGCATCCCCATCTTCCTCGTCCATCTCGATTTATTTCTTCGACCTTTTAGATGCATCTAAAGTAAATAATAATGATAATAAATTACTTCACTCCACATAGTAGCATATAAAACACATTTAATCTTTTTAATTTGCCGTCCTCCAGCCCCGTAATAATGTTACAAGGATGGATAAGACTGACATTGTCAAAAGATGAACATTTTTAACAGGAACATACTTTACCTGTCTTGTGTCTGTTACAACTTGCTTTTCTTGTGCACGTAATTGTTTATCTGACGTCACGATGAAACGGCTATGGAAACGTCAGCCAACATACATGGCTAGATTACGTTACGTTATGTTCATCGAAGTTTCACATTAATTTTATGCCCGGAATTCTCAGCTTATTCAGATTCAGTTCAGGATTATTAGTTTTATTACTGTCTTTTCCTAATTTGATGGACCTAAACCACAGGTTCTTGATTCTGTAATAAACTACCGTATAAGTGGAATTTTTAGCGAGAAGTAATTTTAGCGATTTTTAATTACAGTAACCTGAAATGTGGGAATAAATTGTTTGCGATATTTAATTTAATCTCAACACCCTTGCTAAAAATGCCAAAATTGAATCCTCGCTAAAATTTCTGCTTATACGGGTATTAAAATTAATATCGGCGTGAATCTGGGATTTTTTCGGGGGATGGAGGGTGAGTGGGAATTGGGGGGGGGGGGGCTACATCAAACAACTTGCTAATACCTGAAAATCATATTTATAAATAACTCATTACCATTTTAATAAGGATCGGTGTTTCCTAGGACGGCCAAGTTCATGTTACTTTTTCACCGATTGACTGAATTTAATTTAGGAATGACTCTAATTCTTGGCCAAATTATTCGTGTATAACCTGGTTTGGGTCAGTTTACGCTTTATAATCCGCGAAGCGGATTATAAAACAGCGTAAACTGACCCAAACCAGGTTATACTCGAATAATTTGGCCAAGAATTAGAGTCATTCCTTATAATTTAATTTTAAAATCATTAAATAACTATGGGTGTAAAATTTCGTTACTTTTTATTAGTTCAAATTTGCCGCTCAATAATACAACCATAGTAACGGAAGTAACGGAAGTGATGGGAATCGAGGGGAGGTAAAAACTGATACATAGGCCTAGCAGCCATGTTGTTTGGTTACATGTGGTGAGATCGAATTATTGTTTGAAATTAAAGGTACATTTATTAAATCTGGAATTTTCCATGAATCCCGAGGATTGGAAATGAGAGGATTGTATGGATACGGATGATTCAGCTGGTTGTCAGGGGGATGTGTCCCCATACCAAACCAGGTTATACAGAAATAATTTGTGTTCCTTTTTGGATATTAACCAATCAGAGGCTAGAATACAAACAAAATAAAATTATTAAGAGTTAACGTAGGTCGCGGGTTTGCAGGCCTTTTAAAAGTGTCCGAAAACATACCATGAAAATTAGTTATATGATTCCTCTACCTTTGTTTTACATTCTCTGAAAATTTTATAAAATTCGTCTGCATCGTTTTTATGTAATTAAATCCCAAAGATGCCATTGTTGTAGTAACATTTTCGACGCTATTGTATTGAATTATATAGGAAAAACGTCGATTTCGGCTCGTTTTCAGGCAAGATTTTTTTTCAAAAAATATCATTAACTTTTAAATGGTGCAGACGAAATTGTTCTCTCTTTGGTATCTTAAAATAGAATTGATTTGAAATAAATCTATACGAAAAAATTAATATGTCTTCGGGTTTGTTTTATCGTAATTTAAATGTAGATAATTGCTTTTATGTTGCAAAATTTAACATTTTTAAGAACTACGTCATAAAATATCGCGACGTCACGCTTGACGTCGTGAATATCGATCCGGTATACTGAGCAGAAAAACAAATTAAAATATTTTTAATTCACGTCTATCTGTTTTCATATGACCCACGAATCGTATCATTATAATTCAATAGCAATGAAATGATTATTAGACATGTTTCTCTTCTTATATTCTTTGTACGTCTCATATTCTTATATTCTTTGTACGTCTCATATTAGTGAAAATTATCTCAAGGGACGTAAAACGACAATCGGTCCTTTAGTTTCTTTCTTTCAATGTATTTTCTTTATGTGTTTTTTTCTTACCGTTTCTTTTCTTTTTGTTTTGTTTTCTTTTTCGTAGATAAGTATCCAATATTTGGCTGTGTATTTTTTCAGCGTGTTGGCGGAAAACGATTATCCTCGAGTATACATATGAAATGTTTTTATTTAGAACATTCAACAATGCGCTCATAGCTACGATAACTTCTTAATGAATGAATTTCCGCCAAATATCGTCCCGGCTAAATACATTGTATTTTCAGTATATATTTAAAAAATGTTTTTATTTATTTTTACATACAGACAGGGGATAACTCAAAAAAATCTGAACTTTATGATTATATGTATAAGAATAGACAAACAAAGAAAAAACAAACAAACAAACAAAAAAAACAAAACAAAATTAAAAAAAAAAAAACAAAAAAAAAACGAACGAACGAACGAGGCATTTTTAGAGAGGTAAATGGGACGAGAATCTAAAAATTAATTTTATCTGACGTAATCAACAAGCAGATCTTTTTTTTTTTTTGTTTCAAAAGACTTTCAATGTACATAACATTAATTTGACTGGTTGGACATGGAAAGCAGAGTAGCGAAAAAAATCTGTAGATAACAAAGCCGTTACTTACACAGACACTTGGGGTATTTACCCCCCCCCCCCCACTTCATTTTTTTTTTCTTTTTAAGTCTGGGGTCGAGTCACCCTTTTCTAATATGTACTATATGTTATCAATAATGTAACCCTTTTGTCTCTTTAAACTGTTTTTAAATATATTTATATATCGTTTTCGACTGATACATAAAAATGCCCCCTCCCCCTTTTTTTTCTTTTGAAATCTTGGGTCGAGTCACCTTTTTCCTATTTTTGTTTTCTAACATGTACTATATGCTATCGATAATGTAACCCTTTTGACTCTATAAGCTGTTTTTATATATATATATCGTTTCGACTGATACTTAAAGAGAGAGATCTTCTCGTCGTTTAACTCACTTCTTAAACTTATAAACTTCGCATGATTATTTATCTAAAGCATAAGAAAACATGAAATATGCAGACATCAACATTTTTTTTTTTACATATTCTTCTTCCGTTTCATATTTCCATTTAATTTTCATGTGCCCCGATTAGTAAATATTTCGATTAAATCACCCGCATCTAAGGGCATCTTTACGGCCTAAGGGTAAATTGTCGGTATTAGAATACAAAAATAGGAAAAAGGTGACTCGATCCCAGATTTAAAAAGAAAAAATGGAAAGGGGGAATCCATATCTAATGTGCCTGTGTTTACTTACAGGAGGTCAGTGTCGCTCAAAAAATGCATTAGTTTATGTTTCATAGTACCTTAGCAGTTTTTAATTTGTGATAAACCTTTAAATATATTTTTAAAATGTCCTTTTTAAAAATAAAGGTTAAACTTTTAATTTAATAATTGTATTTGCAATTGATTATATAATGATTTCTTTATTAATTTAATTCAAATACGTTTAAAGGAAAAGAGGTCAGTTGAAACTTGTGCCCATATCGTTTCGCGATACCATGTGATATCTAATTAATATTGTATCGACTATTCAAATCGTAAAAAGCCTTCACTATTTGTGATAAGTTGTGCCTTAAATAATATAACAATAAAATACCAATTCCAACAAAAGTTATAGCTAGATAATGATGTACTGAAATTTCCTTTTCATTGTGACGTCATAATCAAATGTGCACAAGAAAGTCGCCCAAACCATATAAATTGCGTACCCAGTTTTAATGACGTCAGCAAACCCGCGACCTACGTTAAATACAGCTTCATTATAGTTTTTTGCAAATGTGAGTTAAAACGTTTGATACAGTATTAGCTTATCTAGTTTTAATTAATACTTTTTTAACTAGATGACATACTAAAGCGATGCATTTTCTGAACGCGTATTGATTTAATTATAAATGTGAGAATTTATATGAAAATTTTGCATCTATCTTTCAAAAAAAATTGTGACAGACACGTTCCATATGTTTTACTTGTTCAAGCAGGTCCGCTAGGAAAAATTTCAGTTCACATTTTTTTAAAAAGGGGGGGGGGGAGGGCTTCTCTGTTGTTATTTTTAGGGAGCATAACCATAAATAAGCTTAGTCTTCTATATTGTAAAGAATACTGGGGAGGAGACCTAATACACATGTAGTATAGTTTAGCTTTATTTTCAATCGTAAAGTTTATACTAGCAAAATTACGAGAGACACACCCACGGTTCCTGTGAAGTCAGCTTAGTATCGTAAATAGAAATACGTTTTCAGACTTAACATGTGCCCACCAAAAAATTTCTCTCAGTATTAATGATGTTAAAAAGAACTATGGGCGAATAAAAAAAAACCCTTACATATTAGGTGAATTCAGAATAGAATAAAATATTTATTCAACCGATTTCGGCCCACAGTGGAGCATCATAATGTACAATGTCCAAAATCATAAAAAAATTAAGAAAAAAAAGAATAAAGCAAAACAATTGCATTGTATGAGGAACAGAGAATTATAGCCGTCAACTCTAACAAAACAAAAATTGCAAACAAACAGTATATGTATAACCACTATGTGATATATTGTGCATGTATGTTGTTTTCTTATCTTAAAATTTTCAATTAGATGTTGGATAATACAACAGCAAAGTCAGAATCTTCATTTGGCATAATCCAAGTAATGAGGTAAACATTGTTAAGCTGAGTATTTTAAAATTTCGAAAAGTTTCAAAGATTTTATTGAAATCTCTTCTCTTGGACAAATTTAATGTGATGGAAAAGAAGGGGGTTGACACCATTACAAGCAAAAATGTACAGAAAATCCACTTGTTCACTCAAGTAAAAAAAAAATGTACAAAAACGAGAGAGAGAGATATATAGAGAGAATGAATTTCAGATTAGGGTAATGAAAATCAATGCATTGAATTCACACTACCATGTATTTGTCATTGATAATCATATGTCACTGTTAATTTGCTAAAGTATCAGTTTATATGAAACGTCAATATTCAACCAAGATAAACACTATGGTTTTGAACATTCATATCATTATTTTTCATCAAAAACTATAAATCGAAATAAAAGTATCTGGATCAAAACAAACACCCAGAAGTATCTGTTGAAACTGTAGCATTACTGGTTTGTACTTATAATGTTGGAAATGGCAACCCCCTTTTGATTTTGTATTCACAAAATTGAGTATCCTGATACATTGTATTTTATAAACATGTACAAAGTTTTATTGAAATAAAATCAAAACTTAAGAAGGAATGCCTTCGGATGCCACGGGATTTGTGTCCATTCTGTTTCCAGTAGAATAGTGACAAATGCAGTGGCTTCATTTTTTCTTCAAGAGTTCAATTGCAACAGAAACATTCCTCCCAGAAGATCTATCAGTACCAGTTACATGTAGCTCTGTGTCACCAAAGGTCAAGGACACATCCACTATGCGGTCAAGACCACCCGTTGTGTCTGGCATATCAACTAATAAAGTTCCAATTTCCCTGCAATTTTCATCAACATATTTTTGGTCTGGGTTGTTTGACTGGCAAAATATAACTGGCATTCGCGTCATATCTGGTATAACTGGCGACACCTCTGTGTTGACCTTTTGACCTACGCGGAATGTTTGACCACTTTTAGCTAAGACGTTAAAAACGTTCTTGCAGTATGGTACACCCCCTATCTCCTCCCTGAATTCAGAAGGGTCACCATCCAAAAAATATCGAAACTGTTTAGTGCCATACGTAAATCGACTGACTCTTTCTGACACAATGAGTGGGTTCTCCCCAAATAAAACAGCGCCCTTTAGGACGGCTAGACCTGCATCTTGAGGAATTACAACTCTAAAATCCTTAAAACGCTCTTTTACTGTTCTCTGAATAATTCTGGAGTCCGAGAATCCACCAACAAGCATGATATTTTGCAAACCTCCAGTGACTGGGTCTGAAAGCAATTCCCCAATGTGATGCAAAATACTGTCCACGGCAGGCTTAAACATGGAAAAAGTAACCGATATGTCAAATCGAAGTTTTTCGTGTCTCATATCGACTCTCCCCTTATAATGATCTGAGGAGTTTACAAAATCGGACAACTTTTGTCCTTTGTTTTCCTCAAACAATTCTAATAGTTCTCCTGGAAGATTTATTGCAATTTTCTTATTTTCGTCACCTTGTAAGTTCCTTTTTTTCTGTTCTATCTCTCGTTCAAGGTCCAGGTGAGCCGCTGGATATTGCTCCTTAAGCCCATCCATCACTTCCTTCCCGACTATTCCTTCAATGTACTGATAAAACTGTTGATTGACTCTCAGTCCTCCCCATGCCCCGCCGCTGGCCTTTGTAATTTCCCTCAGAGATCGGTCATCCAAGACTTCACGGACCGTTACGTCCACAGTTCCACCTGTAAGGACGAAACAGATATCTGTCATATCATGACATAAAAGGCTTCAAAGTAAAAAGTTCAAGCATATTATTCAAACACCGCCAAAATTAATGTGACGTGTCATTCACTTAATGTTCAAATTATTTTTTATGTACTTATTTCTTTTTTTTTTCCAATTGTAGAAGAACTTACCACCTAAATCTACGATCATATACTTGGTTCCAGGGAAAAAAGCAGACAGACGGGACTGATTCATGTCTTGATCTTGATGAACTTCCACGTTCATTTCTTTGACGTAGACAGATGCAGCCTCCGGTTCCAGCGCCAACAGCAGATTACCACCCTCGATTCCTGCCTGTAAATAGAAATAGTTATTGCGACACCATTGTAACTGTAGAAATGATTTCAACATTAGCATGATGCCATCATATCTTGTATTGCAGACTTGTATATGAGGCATTTTTAAGGTCGGGATAACAAACTAGATTAAACATTGTCAAAATCCCATGTAATTTAGCTAAATCTCCAATCAAACATGCGTAAAAGTTACAGTTTGGGGGGGGGGGGGGGCTTTATTTGAATTTCAATCAATTGTTGCTTTGAGACTATTGTCGACTTTAAAAAAAATATGTAATGTACGGAAGCGTATTAGTATCACGTAATATATTTTTTTTTAAGTTGGTAATCATATTCCAACTTTAAAGTTGGCTTTTCCAACTTTAATCTTGGATTTTCCATCTTTAAAGTTGGTTTTTCCAACTTTTTAAGTTGATAATTTCAACCTTAAACTTGGTTTTTCCAACTTTAAAGTTGGTAATTCCAATTTAAATCTTGGCTTTTCTAACTTCAAAGTTGGTAATCCAACTTTGAAATTGGCTTTTTCAACTTTAAAGTTGGTAATACCAACTTTGAAATTGGCTTTTTCAACTTTAAAGTTGGTAATTCCAACTTGAGTCTTTGCTTTTCCAACTACAAAGTATCTGAATATAACGCATAAAGCGTTATAAAAAGATGGACATGACAAGATTAAAGTTGGAATTACCAACTTCAAAGTTGTAAAAGCCAAGATTAAAGTTGGAATTACCAACTTTAAAGTTTGAAAAGCTAAGGTTAATGTTGGAATTCCCCATTTAAAAGTTGGAAAAGCCAATTTTTAAGTTGGAAAAGCCAACTTTAAAGTTAAAAAATCCAAGATTAAAGTTGGAATTACCTACTTTAAAGTTGGAAAAGCCAAGATTAAAGTTGGAATTAACAGCTTTTAAATTGGAATTACCAACTTCAATGTGTGCAAGATAAAAAAGCTTGGCCAAGAAGAAAGATTTAAGAAATCAGAAATCTACAGTAGACTGGCATTACTTCTATGATTATTTAGTGTTTCTTCCAATAAAATAACTCATTACCCTTTATAGTTCTACATAAATTTCTAAACATTTTTCGACTTTTTCTGTGTGTTAGCATTTTTAGCCAGTTTATATGAAGCACCATAACTCAAATAATTTGAAACTAACTGTTTACAGATGAGGGTCATGGAATAAAGTTTCACAGAAAAATTTGCAATTTCATAATTTTTGAATTTTTATTATTAAACTATGTTTCTTAAATGTAAAGACTGTAAATGGAGCATCTCATCTAGGTATATTACTGAAGATAAGTAATTTAGTTGGCTATAATCACCATTTGTTAACATACAATGTCATGTATTTTAGTTTAAGTTTAGAGCTGTTAAGTACATTTTACACTTGTGAAACAAAGACTGAGACATAAACTATGGATCAGAGTTGTTAAATACATATAGATTATCATTGTTAACTATAGTTTATGTTTTTCAAACTATTATAGTTTACAACTGGTAAACCTATAGTTATAAAGTGTTGAAGTATGTTTAGCTCATTTCTATGAATTTGGTATGCATAAATTTGATCTGAAGCGATGTCAATTGACTTGTATAATACAGTAATACTTGTTTAGTACGAACACAGATATAGTGAATATACGGATATAGCGAAGTTTTGTGCAATCCCTGGCAAAATTTTAACAATTCCTTGTAAAATTTAACAGATATAATGAACTCGGATATGGCGAATTTACGGTTATAGCGTCTGCCGAACTGATTTTGTGTCCTCTAGACGTTAAAAATAACGCACTTTACATCTTTTATAACTAATTTTAATTGATTTGAAACTTAAAATATTGAACTAAAATAATTTTATAAGTTTTTATCTTTGAAACTCAATTCAACCAAAAAACTTTTGAATTCCAATATAAATTTTATATAGTATACTTCACTAAATACATTTGGTAGTCAAACTTGAGGGAAAAAAAAATCTATATTACGAATTTCGCTACAGGTGTATATATACTCTAAGGAATTCGTTATATTTATATTACGAATTACGGATATAGCGAGGTAAATTCAGAGGTCCCTAGAACTTCGCTATAACCAAGTTTTGCTGTATACATACAGCTGTACTTGAAGTCTTTGTTTTTAAACTTTGGCCAGCAACTTTTAAAACAATATGAGGGATATTCTCCATGATGGACCACAGTATTATTGTAGTATTTACTTACTTTCTCTGCAGCTTCTCGCATGAACTGTTTAGCAGGTTCCTCCCAGATGGCAGGAACTGTTAAAACCCATAAAATGTTATCCTCTGTATACACTGTATCAACCTTCCTCTTTTTTACAATTTCTAGTAAGTCATCTTTCATATACTTGATACAGTGTGTGAAAATATCTTTTGCTGGCATTTCAAAACCTCTTGAATCTTTCAACGCTGTGTCACTGCTAAGTCCCTGTGATCAAAATAAAAGACGCAAAACTAGTATAAAAAAAATTCCCTTAAAAATTGAAAATTCTAGGACAAAAATGCAAAGCACCCACTTCTTGATTGTGGAGAAGCATCTTGAAATGTCGGAAAAAATGCCAGTCTTCCTCCAGACCTTCACTTGCAATATCACTGTATTCATTTTCTGCTTGATAACCAAATGACTTGAATTCTCCGTTTGCTCGCAGAAGAACACATGTCGGGGCTTTCTCAGATGGCAAACAACTACTGCCAGCCTCTTTATGCCATGATTTGATGTACATTTTCTTTGTGGCCTCGTGCCTAAACTTAAAGGCATATCCTGAGTATGTGGTGCCAAAGTCCATTGCAGCCACAAGCATTTTACTGGACGAGTTGGGGTCCGGTTGCTGTTTTTCTTCCAAACCAGAAATTGCCTCATGTGGCACTCTCTCCTCCAACCCAGACATCACATTCTGTTGTCTCTCTTGTAACCCAGACATTTTACTTTTTCATACTTCTTCCAAGTTGGTTACTTAGTCTGCATTTTATTCTTTCTCTGTTTTTCTTGCCCATGAGAATTTTCCATTGTCAGCTGACAATTAAATTCACTCTGAAAGAAGATTGTGAGTCTCTATAAAGTTGTATGTCTGTTGTCTAAAAGATACTTTGTTAAACTATAGAGTACAATAATTTGAAGCAATTAATGAATTAAAATTAATTTTACTTAATCAAATTTACATGAGAAAATAAAGCTATTTAAATTGGGTGCATGTTTTTTTTCCCTTTAAATAAAGGTTAAAAAAAATTTTTATTGCTAATTAAATTTGAACATAAATAATCACTTTAAAAAATTAACATATTGAAAATTTTTTTTAAATATGTTATAAAAGTGCACATGCCAAATACACATATATAACTAAATAGTGTATGTATGTAATCTGATGAGGACCGTCTATGGCACGCCAAATTCACAAAAATGAGCTAATCATAGTTTCACAGTTGATAAACTAGGTTTATCGACTGTAAACTATAGTTTACAGACCGTAAACTATAGTTAACGATGATAATCTATATTTCACATATGTAAACTATAGTTTACACGATAATCTATGTTTCACAAGCGTAAACTACAATTAACATGGAAAACAATCATTTGCTACTGCAAAATATAGTTTATCTGATAAATATAGTTTCACGATTTGTAAACTATGATTTACAACTCTAAACTATACTTAACAAATGTAAATTATAGTTTAGGCTTTGTAAAATATACACTGTAAAAATTGTGTTTAGGAAATAAACACTTCTGTTACATGTTTAGATCTAAACATGTATAGTATTGTGTTTAACAACTAAACACTTAGGTCTTAACATGTTTTATATCTAAACGCATTTAGAAATTAAACACGTTTTACTGTAAAGTGCAGAGTTATCTTCCCGGAAATGACACACATATATTTGAACGTTAATTTGAGCGGCTATCTAAACAAAGAAAACACAACAAGCTAAGGTGATGTATCAATGAGAGTTATGACAACCCAATTCAAGGAATAACCATGACGAAATAGTGAAATACGTGAAAGGGTATCTTGCTACTGCAATACATTAAAGGTTTGTTTTCTTTTTCTTTGAATTAATTAACCACGATGAGCAATGTAAATAAAGTTGACTTGGGATATCTTGAATTCGTTAATAGACTTGTAGGAGAGGAAATAATATTCAATGTCATTAAAACATCTATGTTTATATCAGTGTAGTTTCACTAAAATTTGAAGAATTTTGTTTTTCTAAGTAATGTAAAATATCAGTGATAGTGTACTTTTTCTAAAATCTGGCTTTCTCTCCTACAGGTACTGTAGTCCAGATCGAACTCAGAATACACCTATCAGAGTACCTGGTGTCATCTTCAAGTGCAATTTTGTTGTTCCATAATGAGCACTTTGAACTTCATTTGTTGGAGACTACTGAGTTAATTCGACAGTGTTTACAATTATCCTCGTGCATTCGAAATGGATTACTTTCTGGCAGTTATTGATGCGATGTAGATTATAATATGTGGTGCCTTGGGACTTGCTGAAAGTTAATAAAATTTGATATTTTTGTGATTGACATGAGGAAAACTCTGCAGCCGATTTAAATTATAATGATTATAATATATATATAAAATAAATATACATTTTGTATTTTTAATATAAAAATTCTTTAATAAAGCCTTTTAGAAATATTCAATGAAGTTTTGATATTAAATTGTCAGCTTAATATTATTTTCTTATTAATTTTAAAGATTAAAAGTTTGTTATCTATGAGTGCGTTATAAATTATGTGTTATTCTGATTGAATTGTTGATACTTATCAAATCTTTTCAATTCTATCTCCTACATTATTTGTGTAAATTAAGTACATGTACATCGCACAGTGGCCATTGTATTGTATAATTAAATTACATATCCCCACGTTCAGTGGCTTTATGGAAAATAATTAATAATGGTTACATATTTTGAAAATTTTGACAATTATGCTCGTTTAAAAAACATATACTTTTTGTGCCTAAATTTACTAGAGTGTTTTGTTTTTCTGCAGGTACAAATTATACTTATGATGTGTTTAGATATTAAACACATCTGCTGTTATGTGTTTAGAATTTAAACACTTGTGTTTATGTGTTTAGATATGTTTAATTTCTAAGCACACAAGTGTTTAAATTCTAAACACTTTCTAAGACATGTTTAGGAATTTACATGTTTAGAAATTAAACATATAAAAAAAGAGGTGACAAGAAAGTGTTTAGAAAAGTGTTTGAATTGTAAACACATTTTTTACAGTGTACTTTACAGACATACAAAGCGCCAAATTCACAAAAATGCGATAAACATAGTTTTACACTTGAGAAACACAGTTTAGGAACAGAATCTCTTATTTTGTATCGGAGATGCACAATTTTCTGTGAAACTAGATTTCACGACTCTAAACCATAGTTTACGATCAAAACCATAGTTAACAATAGTTTTTTTTTTTTTGTAAATTATAGATCGGCTAATCCTAGTTACAGCATTATAAGATTTTGCTATGTTACGACAATTGTTGTCAAATATATATGCATGTATTTTTCTTGTTGGCGTTATAAGTAAATGTTCTATTATTTTAAAGCAAATCTAGTTGGAAATAAAAAGAAAATTATTGATTAAAATTTTATTTTTTTGATTTAAAAGAGAAAAATAGAGACCGAAATGCGTGATCTGTCATTAATAAAATACATGTATATCTTATATTCATCTGTAAATAAAGACATAACACAGTACATGTAACATTGCAGGCGCGGAATTTATTTTTCAACACTGAACCGAATTTCTTCATACATAAATAAAAGTAGCCTTTCACGGAACAAACACAACAAATATTTGGGACTTCTCTCTCATTCTCTCTCTCTTAAATTCAAAGGAGGAGGTTGAAACCCCCACAACCCTATCTATATCCGCCACTGCATTTCCTCTCTTTCAGTTTCTTTGTTTTGGTGATGAGATGTGGCGGGAAAATGCTTGGCACATTGTAAAACGCGCTTCACCCTCCTCTGCTTGAGCAAAAATCTCGTAATATTCTGTCTTTTAAAAAATTAAAATTTTATCATATTTCTAAAAATTTCCCCATAGGAAATGTATATATACACGACATTTTAAAACAAATACAATTAATCCTGTTTAAATAGAGAAAGTAATATTGATTATATATAACTCGGTCTTTGCTTTAGATAATGCCCAACACGTGTCCTTAATATTCAAACCTATACTCCATTATTGCTTCTCGCGATTGGTGCCGCGAAATTTCGAATTGAAAACTATCGTTAACAGTTAACAGGTGTTTAGATTCATAAACTATATTTAACAACTCTTAACTATAGTTTACGAGTGTGAATTATAGTTTATTACGATAAACTATGATTGGCAAATGTGAATCATAGTTTAGCTCTCAAAACTATAGTTTACGATCAATAAGTATAGTTTACGTCTGTTAAATATAGTTTGTGAGTATAAATGACAGTTAACTATAGTTTACAACCGAAATCTATGGTTAACGAATGTAAAACATAGTTTATCTGATAAATATAGTTTCACGATTTGTGAAACTATGATTAACAACTCTTAACTATAGTTCACGATTGTAAATTATAGTTTACAGATGTGAATCTATGTTTATCAACAAAATCTATTGTTAACGTTTAATTACAGACAGATAAACTTAGATTAGCATTCGTAAACTATAGTTTACAACCGTTAAATATAGTTTTACAGATGAAAACTATAGTTAACGAATCGTAAACTATAGTTCACGGTTTGTAAACTATAGTTTACAGTCGATAAACCTAGTTTATCAACTGTGAAACTAAGTTTCGCTAATTTTTGTGAAATTGGCGTGCCATAACCGTCTCTTCAGGTCGAAACTGATCAACTTAATAAATTTACAGCTGCATTCTCACAAAGTGTTGGTGATCAGTTTTATGTCTTTTAGTTCATAATATAAATAAAACATTTACACTAGCTATGGTACAGTAACACATACTTAAAGTTTATATCTTTCTTATATTTTTACTAATATAATATTGAATGATTGCAATAAGGCATGCAGTAATAAATGTCCATGTGATCTACAGTTTTATATACCGGTACCTTCATATCATCAGGCATCGAATCAATATTTCTTCTGAAATTAAACTGTGCAAGCTCTTACGTAGCTGCGTACAGAATAGACATTTAGGGACGGTAGAACGTTAAATCACACTTAGGCCTACTACATCAAGCATGACCACAACAAATGGTTACCAAGACCACAGGAAAACTGAGGAATATTCATCAATATTTACTAGTCATTATTCTATTCTATCTACACGCCAAGTGTGTCAACTAAATTAACCCTAACATCATTTAAGTGATACAAACCTTCTACACATAGGGGAAAACATTGTTTACGTCCGAGATAAAACCGAAAGTAGAAAAAATTCCAAAGGTTCGTCATTCACCTTGATTCATAGGCAACTATTTTTAGCTTGGTGTTGATATTTTTTTTTTCTTTTTTATCATACCTAGCAAATTGAAAAATATATCCCCCCTTTTTTTTGGGGGGGGGGGGATCAACTTTAGTTTCGTTTCTGATGTGACCTTGGCAGACAGGGAAGTGATTGAATACCTCGAGAGTCGGCCATCTTTTTATGATGACTTTACCTGAACTTGTATGTAACATGACGTAAAGTACATGGTATTGATTATGTACCGTAATACACCTGTTTGTAACCAGGTAACTGTACAGTAATTGACTATGATTACATGTAAGCAGCTGTCTGTGTGTTTATCAGTGTTTATAGTCATACTGTGAATATTCCTACTTTCGTTTTATCACACTGTCGATTGCCTCTGAATATGCGATGTAAACTTTATGCATTAGTTTGTCAATGCATGTTTAAAAGAAGACTAGAGCTTAACTTGTTTTTAAATATTGAAGAGAATCCTCTTAAAATGATTTTGCTATATCTTGTCCACTTAAAAAATAAAACCCATCCTTTTGGAAACTCCCTCCAATAAACTGATAAAGTTTCATATTCTCATCATTAGTGAGCTTCCCAATCCTTGTCCACCAATAACCCTATCCACGTTCCTTGTTGCAAGTTTATTGTAACTGTTGGGATTTTTTTTTGGGGGGGGGGGAGGGGTATTTGGGTGCAATCATAGCCCTCTTAAAATCATTGGTTAGGTATTTAACTATAGATTTTGTTTTATCTAGTATTTTTGAAAGAGGGCACATTTGAAATTTTATAAAATATATAATTTAATGATTATTAAAATGAATTTTTACATACTTTGATACATTTCTTAATAGTTCCTGGGCATTATTCAAAAAGCCATTTATTGACCAGCACTAGATGTAAATCCCCAGGACTACTTTTGTGTTTGTGATGTCACAAAGTATTTTCCAGTCCCTCCATTCATAATGACATCAGGTGCATGTACATTTGACATCACAAATATCAAACTGGCAGTTACTTTAATTTCTTTGGGAACATATTCTTGTATTTTGGTGGAAAAATATAATGTTTTTATGGAAGATATTTAGTGTTTTTCTATTCACTGCCATTATTAAACATGGGAATTAAAGTTTTAAACCCTCTGATTTTTATATTTTGCTCTCTGCCCAAGATTAGTACAGTAAAACTTGTCTAATCCGGACACCAATGGTTCCAAAGAAATCGGTCGAATTGGACAAATTCCGGATTAGAAAACATATTCAACAAAGGAATTTACTAAAAAGGACATCAATTTTACATCGTTATAGGCAAGATTTTGAATTACTCAACATCCAGATTAGACAAGATTCACTGTACATCATATAAGCACATGATGGTGTGAGATGAATTTTCCAGTCAGCAACCAGAGTTTTGACACTGTTTTAAAATACAGAGATAAAAGAAAACAAAGACACACATGCCATGTGTGGTTTTGAAGATGAAACAAACAGTTTGCAAGTGCATTTTCCCTCAAAGTTGTAAATGACTGCAGTTCTGGGGAGGGGGGTAGTATCCACACAATTTTGAGTTAGATACCTTCTGTTATTACTATAATATGGGTTAAAAAATTTATTATAGAAACAAGTACCTGTGATATATAATGAAGGACTCTAAATTATGTGACAAAACTAATAGAATAACCGTCAGAATATTTATTACAGAAAAATGGACCATGCACATTGTTCTTGACAGACATAAGGTAACTCGATGGTTACTCCTTCTCCGGCAAGACAAATATCACAAGTCTCTGATGGTAAGTTATCAGTTAAAGAGAGAGCACCTTAAGCTTGGCTTGTCTTGGTTTGGTTATCAATTAAAGAGAGCACCTTAAGCTTGGCTTGTCTTGGTTTGGTTATCAGTTAGAGAGAGCACCTTAAGCTTGGCTTGTCTTGGTTTGGTTATCAATTAGAGAGAGCACCTTAAGCTTTGCTTGTCTTGGTTTGGTTATCAGTTAGAGAGAGCACCTTAAGCTTTGCTTGTCTTGGTTTGGTTATCAGTTAGAGAGAGCACCTTAAGCTTTGCTTGTCTTGGTTTGGTTATCAGTTAAAGAGAGCACCTTAAGCTTGGCTTGTCTTGGTTTGGTTATCAGTTAGAGAGAGCACCTTAAGCTTTGCTTGTCTTGGTTTGGTTATCAATTAAAGAGAGCACCTTAAGCTTGGCTTGTCTTGGTTTGGTTATCAGTTAGAGAGAGCACCTTAAGCTTGGCTTGTCTTGGTTTGGTTATTAATAAAGAGAGCACCTTAAGCTTTGCTTGTCTTGGTTTGGTTATCAGTTAAAGAGAGCACCTTAAGCTTGGCTTGTCTTGGTTTGGTTATCAGTTAGAGAGAGCACCTTAAGCTTTGCTTGTCTTGGTTTGGTTATCAGTTAGAGAGAGCACCTTAAGCTTTGCTTGTCTTGGTTTGGTTATCAGTTAGAGAGAGCACCTTAAGCTTTGCTTGTCTTGGTTTGTAGGGACATAGTTGAATTTTATCTGTTTTATTTATAATCATTGTTATTTGTTGTAGACTCTGGTATTGGTTCCCTTGACATGACACAAGGTAAATTTTTGAAGTTTCTTAAGACTTGTACATGGAGTTCATAAAAATTTCATGGAATGGGGAATTATTTTGACATTATTTATGTTGTGCATTTAAGGATGGACATTCCCATCTATTTAAACCAAACTTGCATTAAGTTGAAGTCCTATTATGTTTGGCCTGTTTATTTTGGAATCTGACTTTTCCTCCACAACTGAGTGGTCATTGACAACAATCATACAGTTTGGAGATTTCCCAAAAATTGATAAATTTACATGTTCAGAATATATTTCCACAAATTTTTCCCTGCATGGTATCACCTAATTGAGTTAAGATTAGTTCATCCTAGGTCAGGATCATCAAGGTATTAAAGGAACAAGAAGTTGTCATTATAATGCTAGTATATAGAGTCATTAATGACATATTTGGTGACAATAGAATTATGTGTACATAATTATGTTTACAATAATTTCTTCATATTATTGATTACAATTACAAAAGAAATTCCATTTTAGAATGTCTGGATGAGTTAGCAGTCAGGAAATCATTTGTATTCCTTAAAGATAACATTATTTATGAAGTTCTCCAAGATGATTTAAGACAAGAATGTTTAGTGAGTGAAAAAGAGGAAGAAGAGTATGTCTGTAACAAACCAAATAGGCAGTCAACATGTGAGAGACTCATTAAGCATATCATTAAGAAAAAAAGGTGTGAAAAATTTATAAATCTCATGAACAGAAAAACTTGCCATGTTCATGTTGCCAAGAAACTTATGGAGGCTCGTAAACACATTGAAGAGGAGGCTAAGAGAGGTAAATATCAAAATAAAGTTTGATTTTACTTTTTACGTAGATCTTGCAGCTGTCTGTCAGTATGGCTCTCTATCTTATTTATAAACTTCACACATTTTGACTTAATTCTCTTGACCATTGGACCAGTTTCAACAAACTAGGACTAACTGGGTAGATGAATTGATTGAACACTTTATTTGCATGTACTTTCACCCATTTCAGTAAACAACAGTGATTTCTTTTCAGCAGTATTTAATTGTCTTTGAACATTTTCCTGATATTGAGAATGAAAATGATAAGCTCAATTTGTAAACCTTATGATATACATATATTTTTTTTTTAAATGTCAAAAAAAAAAAAAATCTTAGTGCCTAGACTCCAGAAAGTCCTAAAAATCTTCTCAGGAACCAATAGGCCAGAAAAGATTGAACTTATATGAAAGCTTCCCAACTTTGTGTTATTAATACATGTAATTCAAATTAGTTCAAATCATGGCCCCCAGGTGTTGGGTTAGGTCACAAAATATTTTAAATTTTCTTCTTGAGAAAAGCAGGATCATGATTAGTCATATTGATATGCAGGCATCCTTGAGTAATGCAAATTTAAGTTCGTTCGAATTTACATGGGAATATTTAGGGGAAAATATTTAGGGGAAAATTCAAAATTTTCTTAGAACTCAAGAGCAGCAAGGTCAAGATTAATGCAAGCATCCTCAAGTAGAGAAGATTCCACTTTGTATATATATGGGAAAAATATCTTTAAAAATCTTCTTCTCAAGACACTGGGCCATAATTTTATAATAGTGTTGTACTTTGCATGCACTATGCCTAGTAGACAGGGTTTGACACATGGTGCAGGAGCTGGAGGCGAGTGCACTATGTGTCAAACCCTGACTTCTATTTAGGCATAGTGCATGCAAAGTACAACACTATTGTTATTATTATGCTGACTGTTGTATAAAAACAACAATATTTTCTCCATTTCCAATGCTTCATGACCTCTTACATTCGTGTTAGTACACCCCTATTATGACGTCACGTTGTGCTACATGTACGTCATAATCTTTTTTCTTTAATTTTGAATGTTCCATATTCAGATAGTTTCAGAGAATTTTAGTTGAGTGAAGAGGAAAAAATTGCAAGAAACTATTTAAGAAAAATTATTTTGTTTATTTTTTTTTTTTTAAGTGTACAATATTTGAAACTAAGTTTATATATATTATAATACAGTACTTATTAAGATAACGGCGTCTGTGGCGTAATTGGTAGCATGTTGGACTGACAATCTTGGGGTCGTGAGTTCAATCCCCGGCATGGGCGCGGTCGAATTTTTTTCAGAAAAAGAAGCCATGCACTATTTCGACATAGTATGCTTACACTATATAAATTCTTAGAACACTATGCGATAAAAGTTGGGTATTGATTATATAGAGACAAACTGACAGGAAGCATAATAATGAACCATATTAATATGCAAGCATTCCAGTGTAGTGCAGATTCATATTTGTTCAGATCAGGACCCCTAGGGGTAGGGTTGGGCTAAAACAGGGATTCATAGTTTTACATGAAAATGTGCAGCAATCTTTTAAAAAAATCATTTTAAGAGTATCAAGACACACCGAACAGCATATATATGCAAATATTCTCCAATTCCACACAGGAATAAACAATCTTTAAAAAGTCTTGTTTTCCAAAACAGTAAGGCCATGTTAGATATATTGATACTGAACCATCCCCATGTTCTGTTTACTTAAGTTTGGTTAAGTCATTACCCCTTGGAGCTAGGGTTGAGGTACAATATGGGGTCGAAATGTTTCTTAGTAGGGATGTCAACGAATATCCGTGTACTCGACTATAATAATAATAATACTACTTTATTTAAAGAGGGTAACTCAATTAGTGCGAGCACTATTCTTCCTTGAGGCCCTCTATAAAATTACAATAATACACAATGAGAAATAATACATTCGACAGTGATATAGCACAATATACTTTAACAATACATGCAATATTAAATTAATGATACAGTCCGCAGATATACATTTTTATGCCCCGCCATGAATATGGCCAGGGCATATAGTGTTTGTCATGTCCGTCTTCCGTCCTTCCGTCTGTCCTTCCGTCACACTTTGCGTTTAGCTCTGTTCAAAGCTCAGTTCCAAAGAAACTATCCAAGATATTTTTATCAAACTTCATATGCTGATAGATATTGATGAGGGCTATGCAACTGCATCAACATTTTTTGACCTTGACCTTTCCTTTGACCTTGACCTCACTTTTCTTAAATTAGTGTTTAGCTCAGTTTTAAAGGTACCATTCAAGATAGTGTTATAAAACTTCATATGCTGATACATACTGATGAGAGCTATTCAACTGCATCAACATTTTTTGACCTTGACCTTTCCTTTGACCTTGACCTCACTTTTCTTAAATTAGTGTCAAACTTCATATGCTGATACATACTGATGAGAGCTATTCAACTGCATCAATATTTTTTGACCTTGACCTTTCCTTTGACCTTGGCCTCACTTTTCTTAAATTAGTGTTTAGCTCAGTTTTAAAGAAACCATTCATAATATTTTCATCAAACTTCATATGCTATTACATACTGATGTAACCTTTTCAACTGCATCAACATTTTTTGACCTTGACCTTTCCTTTGACCTTGACCTCACTTTTCTTAAATTAGTGTCAAACTTCATATGCTGATACATACTGATGAGAGCTATTCAACTGCATCAATATTTTTTGACCTTGACCTTTCCTTTGACCTTGACCTCACTTTTCTCAATTTGTGTTAAAATGTTGCATTACTAATATACCCTTGGCGGGGCATTCATGTCCTATGGACATATTTCTAGTTTTAAATTTAAGTTGATCATTGGTCTATTATAAATTTTCTTGTCTTGATTCTAAAATTTTGAAGTGTTGGGCACATTTTTACATTTAAAGGTAAATTGTTCCACAATACTGCACCCGAATATTGAAAAGAATTTTGAAATATTTTAGTTTTGTGTTTTGGAACACACAAGTCAAAATTAGATTCAGATCTTAAATGGTAGGAATTGGAAGATTGGTAATTGAACATTTCAGACAGGTAGTTCGGACTTGCACCATAAAGCGTTTTATACAACAACACTAACTTATTTACAGCCAATTGTTCATGTACTGACAGCCAATCAAGTTTTTCAAATAAAGGTTTTGATGGCGTGTCATAGGCAGCATCTAGAATACAGCGAGCTGTCCGTTTCTGTAACTTATGAATCCTCTCAAGGCTAGAGGCTGATGCATTTCCCCAAATTGTTAAACAGTATTCAATTGATGGCATTATATAAGCATTATAGAATAACTTTCTTGTACTGATTGGAAGATATTTCTTAATCCTGCGTAATACAGATATCTTTCTAGATACTAATTTACAAACAGCATCGATATGTGTATTAAAATTCAGTGAATTATCAATATGAATTCCAAGTAGTTTTTTATGTGTGACACTCTCAAGAAAGTGGTCTGAAATTTGTAAATTTAGATTTTGGCTCGTCAGATTTGACCGTCTTTGATGTGTCCCTAACAACATGCATTTTGTTTTACCAGTGTTCAAAATCATCTGATTCTGAGAGCACCATGTTTCTATATTGTTTAAGTCAGAGGATAACATATTTTGAATGGAAGAAACATCACTGTCAGAAACGTGTAGAGTAGCATCAGCAGCAAATAAGTCAATGCTTGAATTTTCAATGAACAATGGGAGATCATTAATGTAAAATAAGAAGAGAAGTGGACCTAAAATTGATCCCTGTGGCACTCCTGCTGTGACTAACCGTTCGATCATACCGACTATTGACTAAAATCTTTTTAGTCGGTTATTCGTTAAAAATTTGCTACTTAATAGTAATCTTAAATTCAAGGTAAAAAATGGATCTTAGTTCATTTAACGTATCAGTGTTCAGTAAAACTCAGGGAAAGGCTTAATCGGTTTTCGTTAATTGTTTAAAGGATTTTTTTTGTTCGGCAAACATGCATAAGCATACTTTAAAAGATGTCAGATCTAAATTGTAAAGTTTCAACCTGCAATTCAGTAAGATCTCGTATGATGCAACTATCAATTAATGAAGAATAATTGAATAGCTGTTACAAATTTGTAAATACATGTAAAATGGGGGACAGGTATAAGTGAAATTGAAAGGTGTTTCTTTCATATTAATATCAAACATTTTAAAATTGTATTGATTGTTTGCAAAAAAAAATCATAATTAAAATTTATCGCAGGCTCTCTTTGTTTTTATAAGAATAACGCTTTAATTGTTTAACAATTACGGGTCACTGACGAGACACATTCAAATGGCTTCAGGTAAGGAATCAGTAACGGGTAAATGTACTAGCAGCATGAAAAGAAAGGATAAATGTGAGCTTTTGATATTCTGTATACAGATAAAATGTGCAGTAAATGTTATATTTGAAATCAAATACATTGGATTACTACATAAATGTTAACGATTCAGTAATTGGTTGTATAATGGTGATAGCGTAGATTAATATTGTACAGGCTAGCAGTTTGTTAAAAACAAATAGAAAAAGTGACATGAAAATCAATTTAATTTCAACGAGTACTCGACTATGGTTAGATTAAAGCCTCCGACTATTCAATTAAGCTGTCTGAGTAAAATTGACATCCCTATTTCTTAGGAATAAGAGAAAAAAATTAAAAATGAACTGCAGGATTAAAGTGTGTCATGTGAGCATTATGGCCTATGGGCCTCTCGTTATTAATTAACATCATCTGATTTAATATGTTATACATGTATTTTGTATAGAGGTATTTTAATGCTATTTTACATATTTGAAGTGTAATAATCTAAGAACACTGAATCCTACCATTGCAGTTGTCGCACAGAGAAAGCCCCCTTTTGTAGTCACGGATGAACTTCTTCAGAAACATTTATCATGCCTGCATATAGAACTGGAACCTCGGGAAATTGCGGATGAAATGTTTCAGGCTGGTTACATCTCCGATAAAGACCATGATGCTGTGACTGATCCTGACAGTAAATACAAACGTGTGAAGGAGCTTCTAAAAATTTTAAAGAAAAAAAAATTGTATTCTCATTTTGTGTTTGTCCTGCAGTCTTTGAAGTATGTTCAGGTGCTAGGTACACTAGAAAAGGATAGAAAAATGACAAAGAAACCTAGTAAGTACATATACTTCTCCATAAATATGTCTGTAATCGTGAATAATCATGATGTTTCAAATATGTCTTTCAAAATTTTTGCTGGAATTTTATGACCTATCTTTGATAGCCAGAGTGTTTCGACTAATATAGTTGAACTTTGGAATTTAAACACTGAAATCTCAAATACCATGAATATGTCAAAGTGATTTTGAAGTCCCGATTACTTATTCTTTAATTTTTTAACCTAGATATCTTGAATCCTTGGATATCTTTTTTAAGATAAGTTTTTTCTCAGTCCCATCAAGTTTGAGATAACATTATCTGACTATATATATATTATAAAAGCACGTTTAAAATTTTTTTTAAATCTGAAAATTATTTTAACTATGTATTTCTGGCGATTTGATTGGCATTCATCATTGCCTTTTCCTGTACTATAATTCATCCTCAACATTAAAGAAAATGGGAAATTAAGGAAAGTTAGTATAGAAATGTAAGAAATCAAAACCAACACTCTGCATGGTGTTTATGTGTATTACATCTTTTGAAAAGTAAGCTAGGGGTTGTGCTTTTGTTGTTTAGGATGTGTATCTCATATTACAAGGGGACCACTGTGTAACTTTCATTATCTATTATATGCTCCTATTGCATGATTTGTAATACATTTTGTCAGTTGTGTGAATTTTACAGTGGAGACTCATTAATCTGAATATGTACTTCATCTTCTGGACAATTTTTTTTATACCCCCCACCATCCCCAAAGATATGTACATATGTTTTTCTGTGAATTTGATATATCTATGAATTGGCTAAATGAAAAAGCTACGTTTGGTACAAAGTTTGTATATGACCTTAGGATGTGTCATGGCCTTCACCCAAGGTCATTTTGGAAATTTTAAGGTCACTGGCAGAAAAAGTAAAAAATTCTTGTTTGGGCTAGAACTTTGTAATGGAGAATCATTGGAAGTTCATACTTTGTACAATGTTTGTTTATGACCTTAGAATATGTCATGGCCTTCACCCAAGGTCATTTTGGAAAAATTTAAGGTCACTGGCTAGAACTTTGTAATGGAGAATCATTGGAAGTTCATACTTGGTACAAAGATTGCTTATCACCTGATGGTGTGTCATGAATCAAGGATATTTGATCAAGTTCAATGTCACTTATAGAAAAATGTTTCATTCCTGTCCTGACCATATCTTGCAATGGAGAACCTTAGAGGCTCATATTTATCACAAATACTGCCTATGTTCAGAGGATTTTATTGACCATGACCCAAGCAACTCAAGATTACTGGAGAAAAAGTATTGCATCATTTCTATAACTTGGAAGTTGATACTTCACACAACGATTGCTTATGACTTAAGGGTGTGTCCTAATCTAACCCAGGGTCATTTTGGCAAGGTCAAGGTCACTGGCAAAGAATGTGTTAAATTCATTTCCAGTCTATTACTTTCTAACGGATAAGCATTGGAAGTTCATCCTTCACATAAATATTACTTATGTCTTAAGGATATTTCATGACCTTGACCCATGGTCATTATGACAAGTATATCCATAATATATTGTGAGCTTACTCATAGTACATCTAGTTTGGAAACAGACTTAATATTTATATCTACCAATTATAAAATGTCCATTTCAGTAATCTGTATGCTTCATTAATCTGGATAATTTGCTTGGGAATATAAAAGTCCACTGGGGCTCAACCTTACCACATATTCCAATGCATGCATAACCCTATAAAAAAATAGAAAGTTGATTCATAAATACTAGTTTTAATTATTGTATACTAATGATGTGTGTACTCTGTTTTTAGCTGAGTATGCCACATGCATACAACAAAACTTCTGTCTTCTCAAAGAGGAACTTCCAGACAGTAGAGATGCTAAAATGATGGTGGATCAGATGTATGGCTTTCTAGACCAAACAAACATTTCTGACATTAATTGGTTTACTGGTGCAAGAAAGCAGAAATCTAAACTGCTAAAAATACTTTTGATAAAAGGGAAAGATGCATGCGAGGAACTCTTCAGGGTTATGGAGGTAGATTTGGAGAGAAATGACCTGATTGACAAAATGGAAGAAAAGAGTGCAGAAATGAAAAAAAGAGGTTATTCATGTATTTCTTCTATTATAGACAACATTTCCTATTTATTTATTTTCTTAATTCAAACTTTGAACAAATAAAAAAAATTACTGATTTAATATAATATTTAAATCCCATTCAAATAATAATTAAAACAACATAAAACTATCACTATTACAAATTTTATTTTTTTCTCTCAGAGGTTTTGTTCTCATTCAGTTTTTAGAGCACCTGAACTATGAGCTCAGATTTTTAAGCTTTACTATTTGAATAACAGAAGAGCTTGTGCTACAGAAAAGTGTCAATCATCCATTTATCTAAATGTATATGTATGTATCCAGCTTAAACTTTTTAACCCAACTGAACCAAAGGCCCACTTTGGCTTTCCTGATAAACTTTTTCTCCCAAACTCTTCAACCAATTTCAACTAAATTTGGCACAAAGCATCCTTGGATAAAAGGAATCAAGTTTATTCAAGTGAATTGAACCCGGCCTCTTATCCCCCCCCCCCCCCCCCATGATGATAAAAGTAGCTTCCCCTTTCTGTATAAATATTTCTCCTGCTTTCTCATTTAGTTTTAGTTCTCAGTATTTCATAGTATCAAAGTACATGTACTTATTCCAAAAAAGAATATTTAGTTAATTCTATGAATATGAAGTAATTGTACCACTAGTATGACGTTCATCCTCAGAATTTCTTCAATCATAGGTATGCCTAGATTGGATCCCAAGCTGAGGAGCCTGCGGATCACATGTCTTGAGGATCATGAGGATTTTTTATCAGAGGAACTGGAGCCTCTTGAACTCTGTGACCTTTTGTTTGAGGAAAGTGCAATAGACATTCCTGATCATGATAGAATAACAGAGACAGAAAAATATTCAAAGCAAATCCAACATTTTCTGGAGACAATTAAGAAAAACGAAAATAACTGCTTTCATTATTTCTTACACATTCTTAAAAGTTGTGAATATTGTGAAATTCTTAAGGAGCTTGAGAAGCCTGCCCCAGGAGCTAATGGAGCTGGTAGGTGTCTTCATAATAACTAAAACTTTAGCCATTTATGTCAGATACCTATTGAATAAAGTTAATAAGTGCTTCCTGTGCATTTTTAATGTACTAGTGAATGAGTGAAGATTTTGATCATTCTTGTAATATTTTTAAAAACTTTTTTTGTAGAATCAAATGCAAATTTTGAATGGAGAGCAACACACAGTTTTGCTACAGTAGCATCAGGTAAAGGCTAGTATATATTAAAAAGTATTTAAAATGTAATAGGTCATTTTAGTGACTGGCAAATGTAGCAATTTTATCCTTAAAAAGGGCATTTATTATTAGCATAATTAAGTTTTAGCAGTTTAGGTGATAACTCATTTATTTTCTTTGACAATATCAGTGATTGAATGATTAGCAGCAATTATTGTTTAGTGTGACCAAGACCATCACTAATAATGCCAAAATTAGATTGTTGCAAAAACATCCCTTTATACAATAATTCCCTATAACAGAAATTTACTTATTGCACATACTCTTTCAGAATCTGTTCAGAATAGATCTATAAATATAAGGCTAGCAATGGAAGGTGCCACAGGAAGCCAGGTAGAACAAGCTCTACATCAGCAGATACTCTCTTCAGAGACGAGGATTCTTGAGGAGGCCATTACACATGGTCAGATGAACATTGAAGATGTCTCCTCTGGTTCTGTGGTGATACAGTTAAGGCCGGTCACTGACCAAGCTGTACAGACATTACTCAATGCCAGAGAAAACAACCGACTGGTGGAGCTAATACTGGGAATGATAAAGAGGGTAAATGTACCCAGTGTTCAGAGTACAGAACCGCTGGAGGTCAGGGTACAGGTTTCTTATTCAAACCCCACAGCAGCTAAGCCAGGTAAGTGAATAAGCAAAACAAATTTATAACGCAATGTACAGGTGTAAAATCCAGTTGTGTAATGTCTTTTGTGCATTATAAACTTATCCAGAGAGCTTTAAACATTGGTCAATGATTTCCACTTGTTGCTGTCTTTCAGATATTTCTAAGGCAAAACTTATCAAGGAGAGAATAAACGTTCATAGGAATGAGCTGATATCTGAGCTAGAACCCAAAGCTCTGACTTCTGCATTATCAAAATCAAACTGCTTTGAACAGAGTATGTTAGATGCTATAGAAAAGGCCCCAACATCTCATGAACGGACAGAAAAACTTTTATCATTGATTGAGAATGGGGATTCAAAGACTTTGGAGGCTTTCATTAGTGCATTAAAGAACATAGGGTATTCTGAGATTGTGGAATTAATTGATCCTGCAGAGATCCATAGCAGAGCTGGTGAGTAGCTGTGATTTTTGAAGGGTTACAATTTGTATATACGAAAATATTCTTTCAGAATCATATTAGAAGGACAGAAAAGCTTTGTTTTTTGCATGTTAATTAATGGGTATTTTTGCTTACTATTTTTATAGAAAATATCAGGAAAGTGATTACATCTAACTATAAAAATATCCTGGATGAAATGCAGATTCCATTAGCAAGAGAAACTTTATCTAAATGTATTGGAGATGTTGATACAGTTCAAGAGAAAATCTTACCAAAGAATGGAAAACGCAGGCAGAGAATGAACCATTTCTTACAGTTCATTCTTAAGGAAGATCACAATGTAATTCAATTTGAGAAAATGCTAAGAAATAATGGATTAGAGGACTTGCTGAAGATAAATGAAAATATACATGGAGAGCATATAGCCGCAGAAGACATAGGTAAGTGGAGCAAATTTGGTACAGTTTATAAATGATTTGGAATCAATCACATCAGTGTTGTACATGTACATACATGCAATGGGGTTTTCTTCTGAATTTGACTATGGAATGTTCATTTACCTGATTTATACATAGGGCTCACTGCAGGTGTGACCAGTCAACAGGGGATGCTTACTCCTCCAAGGCACCTGATCCCACCTCTGGAATTTTTAGGGATCATAAGTTTTATGCCCTCTTTAATACTTGTATTGTTTATGGATTTTTTATCGCTGTTTGTTATCCTTACCTTTTTTCATTATAGAGATGACAATTGCTGAAGACCCGTCATCAGAGGGGGTTCTGTTTGAATCCCTCCTCACCCTGTCTCTCACCGGTAAGTCCTAGAAGTACCCAGAAGTTGAGGCAGAAGCCATTGACTTTTATGTAGAAGACATGTTTATAGTTTGGACTCCAATTATTTTATGCATGTATTAAGAAGCATTTCAAAGCACTATGATGTCTAGATAATATTGATAAAAGTAATTAAAGTTATTTTCATTCAGCAACCTGTTGTCTTCTTAAGAAACAGAGATGATTTATAAAAAAAAAATCATCCTCGATTATAGATTACCTATCATGGTTCAAAACAACAAAGTACACATTGCTTTATCAATTTCATACAGTCTAGATTGATTTAATATCAATTTTCATTATATCAACAAGAAAACACTATAGATGGTAGGGTTGATTGTAAAATATTTATGGTTGGATAAAGTGATATGAATGTTGAGATCAGACCTGTATAATAAACATGAAAGGAGAAAAACCCACCGTCATACAAATCAGTTATTAATATGAAAGTAAATGTTATGTTAAGGCTTGTCAGAAATTTACTCTTTATTCTTAGTTGAATAGAACTACATGTATTTTATTTTCAGGGTAAATTAAATTCCCCCCTTCTACCAACATACCAATTAATCACTGACCCAAATATTCTATTGCTATTTCTGTAGACAAAATAATTTTCTCCATTTTTTTTTTTTTAATTTTTTTTTTCACAAGTAAGAAATTGATCCTGATAATTAAATATTTACTTTGATAGAGGAAATAAAATTATTTCCCAACCTACCTAAACGTAGGTCAAAATGATGTTGCAGAAAGGAACAAACAGGTTTAGCTCACCTCAACGAAGTTGGCTTCCCAGGTTAAGGTTTTTGGACCAGTTTTCTTTTCAAGTACTCCTATGGCCTATATTAGTCAGAGATGCATGGAGGATGCTTCTAGTGTGTTTCATTGTATCAGTCAAGGTTTCAGATGCTGCAATTTCAGCTAAAGAATGACCAGGTTAATGTTTTTGGAGCAGGTTAAAGTTTTTGGAGCAGATCTCATTTCCAAGTAACTATAAGTCCTATGTTGACCAAACTTGCATGGATGATACTTCTAAGGATGCACACTACTGGACTTGCTTCGGATGCTGAATCTGACCTATATTTTTCAGATGAGTAACCAGGTTATAGTTTTTGGAGCAGGTGTCATTTCCAAGTAACTATAAGCCTTATATTGACCAAACTTGCATGGATGATACATCTAAGGATGCATACTACTGGACTTGCTTCGTATGCTGGATCTGACCCACATTTTCCGGATGAGTGACCAGGTTAAAGTTTTTCGAGCAGATGTCATTTCCAAGTAACTACAAGCCCTGTATTGACTAAACTTGCATGGATGATACATCTAAGGATGCACACTACTGGATTTGCTTTGGATGCTGGATCTGACCTACATTTTCCAGATGAGTAACCAGATTAAAGTTTTTAGAGCAGATCTCATTTCCTAGTAACTATAAGGCCTATCTGAACTAAACTTGCATGGATGATGCATCAAGGGACGAACAATCTCAAACTTGCTTCGGATGCTGGATTTGACTTACATTTTCTGGATGAGTGACCAGTTTTAAGTTTTCAGATAAGTCTATTCCCAACTAACTGCAAGCCCTATCAGACAAAAATTGCATAAATGTTGCATCTAGGGATGCACACTCTTAGATTATTAGTCCCCTACCGGTGAAACCGGAGGGGACTATAGGTTTCCTCTGAGTCTGTCCGTCCGTCTGTCTGTCTGTCTGTCTGTCCGTCTGTCTAACTGTCCCTCTGTCTGTCTGTCAGTCTGTCCCACTTGGTTTTCCGCACTTTTCTTCTAAACGCTTGCAGATATTGAGCTGATTTTTGGTATGTAAGTGTATCTTGATGAGTTACAGATCAAGTTTGCATTTCGTTCCGCTTCATTGATTTCTGACAGAATTACATCCTTTTCAATTTCTAAGGGTTTTCCGCAATTTTCTTCTAAACGCTTTCAGATATTGAGCTGATTTTTGGTATGTGACTTTACCTTGATTAGTTATAGATCAAGTTTGCATTTTCTCCCGATTCATTGATTTTTGACGGAATTATGGCATTTTCAATTTTTAACGGGAACCAGATTACACTTGCCGGTAGGGAACTAGTATTGATAATGCAATACTCTCAGAATGCTTGTTAGTTTAGTGTGGGACTATGCCTTATTTAAAGACAACATCTGTTGAGGTGAGCTCTGTAATCTCTGATTATCTATGTTTAATTAATGCTTTGATTATCAGTAAACAGATATAATTCTCTCATTGTCATAAGAGTTTAAAATAACTTCTTTTGTCGGAAGAATTTATTGTTAAGAGATAAAAAATTTTATTTATTATCCCAATAAATGTTTGTACCAGCTGAATTCATGTACAGCTGAACAAACATAACCTATTCCATATTTCCAGCCTGATTTCTTTTGGTGACAGTAACAAGTGACAGAGAAACCAAAGAAAAAAGACCAGACCCAATGCTAGAAATGGAAGATCAATTAAAGAAAAGGTTGCAGGAAGAAACAGTAGGAAGAATAGCTGCAAGACTAAGGATGATTGGAGATGGTCTTGAAAGACCGGAGGAGACATTCAGCACACCTGAGACATTCAGCTCACCTGAGAAACCTTTTGAGGGAAATAAGAGCATCAGTTCTTCTTCATCTTCATCCTCTCTTCACTCGATCATATCACCTGATGTGGTGGAAGAAAAAAGCAAAGAAAGTAAATTTACAAAATACTTACCCAGATTCATGAGGAAAGAAAAAGAAGACTCTCCATTAAAGCCATCATCCTCATTTCTCTTTGAATCCCCATCAGGGTCATCAAGTAAAAAACAATTATTTCCTGTAGAAAAGACTCAAGAGTTTCCACATCCATTCAAATCAGCCACTCACACAGGTAACCATGACACAAAACCAAATACATGTACGTCTTTCTTTGTCCTAGCTTACTAGATAATCTTTTTTTTAAATAAAAAACAAGGTGTGTTTGTGAAACGTAGATGCCCCCATATAGCAGCTCATGGTCAAATTTTTTTTTTAGGTCACCTGAGTAAACTCAGTGAAAATTTTGAATTTCATGGCCCTGAGTCAGGAGTTCTAGTGTTAGGGCGGGGCTCTGATTAAATTGTAAAATGGCATTAATTCTTTGAAAATCTTCTTTTCTCCCCCTGTATATAAAGAAGATAAAAGAAGGTGCATGGTTAGGATGTTCAAGGGTGCCTCTTCCAAAATTGTGAATTTCATGGCATCTGGGTTAGGGGTTCTGGTGTTAGGGCAGGGCTCTATTGATCATATAGTGAAAATGCATGAATTCTTTTAAAATCTTCCCCTTTCTCCCTGTAAATAAAGAAGATAAATTAGGTGCATGGTTATGATGATCAAGAGTACCTCTTTCAAAATTTAGAAACTTCTGGTCCCAGGGTGAGGGGGTCTGTGGAAGGGGGGTCTATTGATCATATAGGGAAATTAGGTGCATGGTTAAAATGATCAAAGGTGTCTCCTCCAAAATTGTGACAATCCTGGCCCCAGGGTAAGGGGTTCTGTCGGAAGGGGGGGGGCTCTATTGATTAAATAGTGAAAGTGCATTATTTCTTTGAAAATCTTCTTTTCTGCTCCTGGGCATTAAACCAATGTACTAAGTACATAGTTATGATGAAGAAAGGTTCCTTTTCCAAAATTGTGAATTTCATGGCCCCTGGGTCAGGGGTTCTGGTGTTAGGGTGGGTCTCTATTGATCATATAGTGAAAATGCATAAATTCTTTTAAAATCTTCCCCTTTCTCCCTGTATATAAAGAAGATGAATTAGGTGCATGGTTATGATGATCAAGAGTACCTCTTTCAAAATTTAGAAACTTCTGGTCCCTGGGTGAGGGGCTCTGTGGAAGGGGGGTCTATTGATCATATAGGGAAAATGCATTATTTCCTTGAAATTCTTCTTTTCTGCTCCTAGGTATTTAGCAGGTAAACAAAGTATATAGTTATGATGATCAAGGGCACCTCTTCCAAGATTGTTAATATCTTGACCCCTGGATCAGCGGTTCTATGTTAGGATGGGGCTCTATTGATCATAAAGTGAAAATGCACAAATTGTTTAAAAATCTTCTTCTCTCCCCCTGTATATAAATCAGATAAACTAGGTGCATGGTTATGATGATCAAGGGTGCCTCTTCCATAAATGTGAAATTTGTGGCCCCAGGGTGAGGGGTTCTGTGGGAGGGGGGCTCTCTTGATTATATAGTGAAAGTGCATTATTTCTTTAAAAATCTTCTCTGATTTAGTTGTGATGAGGAAGGGCACCTCTTCCAAAATTATGTACTTTCATAGTTTTTAATGGTCAGGAAAAGTTTGAAATAATAGATAAATGAAAATGGTACAAAATACCATATCTTTGTACAATAAATAGTCTTTAAAGAGCAAGAGAGGCCAATGTGAGGGGGAATGAAATGTGTTAACTGATAGTGTTTTGTCTAGTCCACATGAGGATAGTGACAAATGTGGGGAAGTACAGGCAAATAAATAGATCAACCTTTAAGATTTGTTATCGAGTATTAAATCAATATTTTGCTGATCCCTGATTATCCTTTTTCTCTTGCTTTTCGGCAACATAGCTTTATTCATCAGCTTATTCTGTTTTAATCTATGGATTGTTACATTATACTCAGGTGACCGTTAAGGCCCTTGGGCCTCTTGTGTCAAAAAAAGGTGAATCTCCAGGGCCAAGGTCATGAGGTAAAAAATGATTAATGGTACACAAAGCTAGAAAGGAATTTTAAATTTTAAAATGGAATATATATTTCAAATATGAAAGCCCTAGCACCAACTGTTCAAAAAATTTTGGCCAAGGTTAAAGTTTTTCAAAAGAAATTGAAACTCCAAGGTCACAAGGTCAAACATGTTGGTATCTATAGTAAGGTTTTGTCAAATGGAATGCATATGTAAAATATGAAAGCCTTGGAAGCAACATTTCAAAAGTTATGGGCAAACTTAAAGTTTTTTCTAAAGTAGGTCAAACTCAAAGGTCAACATCACAAGGTCAAAAATGTTGGTACCCAAAGAAAGGTCTTGTCACTAAGTATATACATGTGAACTATGAAAGCTCAGAAAGAAACCATTTCTAAAGTATGACATGGTTAAAGTTGATAAAAGTTTTTCTAAAGTAGGTCAAACTTGAAGGTCAAGGACACAGGTAAAAATGTTAGTACCCAAAGAAAGATCTCAAGTCACAAGGAAAGCCCAGGCTAGCATCAACCATTCCTAAATTATGAGCAAGGTTATAGTTTTTGAGATAATGTGGACAAACCAAATACTGTATGCCCCATAATCTCTTTGCAGTCATACATGTAATAGTTTGTTGTTGTAAATTTGGTTTTGAAGCCTTATGGCTCATGTAAGCATACAGAATGAAAGCTTGTAAATTTACAACTAAAATGTGAAATCTCAAAAAAAAAAATGATAAGGACTTTATCCATGACTTCTACAAAAGGTAATAACAATTTGAAATCTATTAGGGTTAAGAAACAAACAATTTTGGTTTAGATTTGATGATTATTTACCTGTAAATCTTTAGAGCTCTCCCAGTCCTATTTGCTTGTTGCTGCTATTGACTTTGGAACTACTTATTCCGGCTATGCATTCTCATGGAAAGAAAAGCCACAGAAGATTTACACTCAGACCTACAAAAACCCAGAGAAACTTTCTGAGAAAGAGCCAACTGTTCTGTTGTTGGACAAGTCTGAACGAATTGTCGCATTTGGACAAGATGCAGTGGAGAAGTACAAAGAACTTTGTGAGGAAGAACTTCATCATGATTATTTCTACTTCAGCCACTTTAAAATGAATCTTCACAGAGATGAGGTAATAATATTTTTGAAAAACATACATTCTTAACGTTGACATTAATGTTTGACACAATTTTTATTTAATTTATGCTGCATTGCATAGGTTAAAGAATTAGTTTTTTTTACCCTTCATATAGAGCCTGAATAGGAGAACAGTAATTCAAGATGATAAAGGAAAAGAGTGTTTGGCAGTGAAGATCTTTTCTATGTCCATTCAGCACTTCAAGGACAGATTATTGCATGACCTTGACCTTTCAAGGGCATCTTGTTCTGCTGATGACATTCGATGGGTTCTAACAGTTCCAGCCATTTGGGGGGAGCAGGCAAAACAGATGATGCAAGAAAGTGCTTACCAGGTTAATATTCATGCAAGGAAGTTACAAAACTTCAGTTCTGAACCACATGTTAAAGCACACTTTGGGTATTATTTTCAAAGTGGTTGGAAATTCCCTCTATTTCAGATATGTTGATATTAGCTTAGTCATTTGATCATAAATCTATCAGTATGTCAATCTCAGACAAAACATTTTGATATTTACTTCATAGCTCTATTTATTTATGTTTTTCTTAAGCTTTGTTTGTTTTTTGTAAAAGGTAGTATTTAAGTTACTATTCCATGCACAAATTTTCCTTTAATCATCCAAGACAAGTGTTACTTTCCTAAAAAAATCAGATATTTGAGATACATGTAATTGCTTTCCACCATCAGTGAAAACAAAATTCACTTTTCCTAAAAGGCTGCATGCCACACAAAGCATTGATGCATCTAGAGTTTATTGTTCACAGACACTGCAAAGTCTGAAATTTGACTCGGACATTTTTATTTTCAGGCTGGAATTCAGCCCTGTAATGTGATGCTGGCATTGGAGCCGGAGGTAGCTTCTGTGTATGTTAAAGAAATCCAGATAGAGAGACAAGCAGATGAGTTATCCAAGTACAGACCTGGCAAAAAATTCCTTGTCATGGATCTTGGAGGTAAAGTTTTCTACTAGTCAAAGACCAGAATAAGTGAAGCACAGTGAAAGCATCAGTGCAGCTGTATATGTACATGTATGTCTGTCATGCATCTGCATTCTTCAGAATTATTTAAAAAAATTTCAGATTTTTTTTTTGAGATGAATAAATCATAGTTAAAATGTAGAACCTACTCAAAGATTTTTAACAGCAAAAGGTCAATAGTAAATTTGTAGTATACTCTTTTCTAATTAGCTAATTACAAATTAAGTTTTAGGTTTATTTAAAGTTGTCCTCAGTTTGCATACGTTTTATACAGCACTCAAGACAGAAATCAATTTGATCAGTTTAAAACATATTTATTTGTGAGAATTTTATGTTTAAATTTTATTTCCCAAGTTAACTGTTGTGTAGAAAAAGTTCTGGTCAGTAATAAAGGATAACATACTGAATGGAGGATTTAGACAAGAATCATTTCACAAATACTGTATATGTACATTTTGAATAAGATGTTATTACCTTTTGAAAATGCCATGTTAAATTGAAGATTGATAGTGCTTTTAAAGAACTAATTTTGAGAGATTTCTATTGACAGGTGGGACAGCTGATTTAACAGCAATGGAGGTCGCGAGGGATGGTTCCTTAAAGCAGCTTTTCCGTGCTTGTGGTGGGGACTGGGGAGGAAACAAGATCAATGACAACTTTGTTAAACTCCTAGGGGAATTATTTGGGCATTCTGTCATCGAAAAATGCAAATATGAACACAAATCTGACTTTCTAGAAATTCAGCATGATATTGAAGTGAAGAAAAGGAAATTCAGCAGAAGTGACAGCTACAAACCCTTAAGGTTTGAAATTCCGTACTCCTTTGTAGATACAATTGAAAAGCATCATCAAATAGATTTGACAAAATTAGTGGTCAAGTCCAGCTTTAATGGTAAGATTTCCATGCAACATGGAAACAAGCTAGAGTTGACTGCAGAGTGTGTTGAAACCATGTTATTTAATCCTGTGGTAAATAAGATCAAACAGGAAACAGAAGACATCATACAGAAACTGAAAGGACAAATTGAGGACATTATGATGGTTGGGGGGTTCTCAGAATCTAAATTTGTCTATGACACAATCAGAGAAACTTTCCCAAGGATCAAAATTTTGCGGGCCAGTGAGGCTGGGTTGGCCGTACTTAAGGGGGCGGTGCTTTTTGGTCACACTCCCCGAGTCATATCATCTAGGAGGTGTGCTTTCACCTATGGGGTGGGACTTTACAGGTTTTTCTTACAAGGTCACGATCCTGAGCATCTGAAATGTGACTTTGGAGGTCATGGCAACATATGTGTGTTTGTGAAGTTAGTTACCATTGGGGAAGAGGTTGGAATTGGGCAGACATATGAAATAAATGAGGACATTTATCCAGTGAAAAGAGGTGCCACTCATATGTCCTTCAAAATTTATAGATCTACTGAAGAGGATCCAAAATATGTTGATAAGTCCTGCTTACCTATTGGGAAATTAACTGTGAAGGATGTGACTAAGAGTGTGAAGATTTCTCTGTCATTTGGATTAACACAGATCACGGTCACTGCGGTAAACACAGTTACAGGGGAAAATGTTATAGCTGAGCTGGACCTACTCGGGGAGCTGTAGACAATTAATTAAAGAAACCAATTATTCAACTTATGATGAAAGAAAAGTTAGAAACAATTTTTAGCAATTTTATTGAAGAATATTAAATTTTGTAGAAAAATTGGCTATTCTAAGTCATTGGAATAATTTATGCACATGTAGTCACAAAAACCATGGCATTCTGAAAATTCACATTTTATAAAAATAGCATCCAAATTTATGATTTTATGTTTACAGATTGTATTCCATTTTCCACTATTGGATGCACTGGTATGTGCAGCTTTTAAAATCCTATTTTTGATTTAGAATGTTTTCAAACAGTACCGGTAATTGTATTTTTACAATATATTATTTTTTTTGAAAACCATACTTCATGCAGCATACATGTATATATATTATACATTAAATGTGACTGGGCAGCAGTATATTTCAGCTCACACCTTCCAAAAATTTGTTGTACTTTCATTTATTTTTTACTTATCTGATTTAGAGAGTATTTCATATCAGATACGTTAAATTAAGAGATCATTTCTTTCTTAAATGTAGGTTTGTACATTGTCTGTATATATGTCTGTTTGGGAATTTGTATATTAATATACCTTCTTAACATATCCTCAATTCCTAAGTAACTAGATGAAGAAATGAAAACCTTTCAGAATAGCAATTACTGTCTTGCTACAGCTGTGTGATACAAATTTCATGTTTTTCAGTCCCTTTTCTAAATACTGTAGATCAGCTAATTCTCAAGACAACTTATTTGGGCAAGATAGAAATTTGGTATTTATAAGCTACATGTAGAAAAATTTTCCATGTATTTTGGTTGTAATTATCTAAAATACCGTGGATATGTCAAAATGAGATGGAAGTCCCAACCACACATTCTGATATCTCAAAGTTTTTTTTCAGTTTCATTGAATTCAAGAAAACCAGGTTTGACTGTAGTAAACAAAAACAGCAATGCAAGTGTGTCTGTGCCTCTTTAATATGTAATATGGTTGGTTTGCTCATGAAGTCAGTTTTCACTGTTTTAACAAAGGCTTCAGGTTAAGGAAAATTTTATTCTGTTCAACAATTACCAGGGTATTTAATTCTTTTGAGGAAGTATTGGTCCCATTAAAATTCAGTACTGCATACTTACAGCTTGGGGAGCCTGCAGTGCTCAAAATGTTTTTATGAAAACTAGAAATTACTAATTTCTTGTCATAAGAAAATCTATATGTGCATAAATGCTAATACATGTATATATATATATATATATATATATATATATATATATATATATATATATATATATATATATATATATATATATATGTTTGATATAAAGTAAGATATAAGTTTGTTATTTAATAGAATGAATTATGAAAAAAGCACTTTATGTCCATGTAATATTTGCATCCTAAGTTGTGGAACTCATGACCATTGCTAATTGTTTTGTAAAACAATGAAAATAAATATATTCAATTAAATTCAGAAGAAGCTATACAGTTAAGAATGTGGTACTGTAAACCAACTTTTGTATGCAACATTATTTTTACCTGAATTGACAATCAAAAGCCAGTCTTCATGCAACAAATAATATTAACCATGAAATATGGAGATAACGAACAGTATTCAAGCTAGAAGTCCATTAAAACAATACAAATCGGGAGCAGAGCAAACACGGACCTCCAAAAACAGAGGTGGGATCAGGTGCCATGGAGGAGTGAGCATCCCCTGTTGACCAGTCATACCCGCCGTGTGCTGCTTGTCATGATCGGTAAATAATGGAAAAATCCATCGACAATTCAGTGTGTAAATAATGGCCCAATAATTAGTAGGAAAAACGTCAGTCAGCATATGACTTAATGATAGACTGTATTTGCTGACAAGGTCATTGTATCGACCATAGAACTTACGAAATGATGACTTTAAGCGAGACTGTTGATATTCTTGTTTCATCAACTTGTTTGTCAATAACTTGCCTCATTTTAGAAATTATTCATACGTAGAGCATGCTCTTGCGTATCTAAGGTGTCAGTCCTGTTCCATAAACCTTTTAAAGTCTTCAACTGTTTTGCAACCATAATTTTCAATGAACTTTTGCTCCTTGCAATATTTATCAAACAGTCTATAAAAGTTGGTTTTAAATAGTACGTGTATCTCATGTTCAGGGTCAACCCAGTGTCTTAATGTTTTATTTTTGCCATGTGACTACTGATATTAAAATATAAGATTTGTTAAAATTAAATTTTAAAGTTTTATACATGTATCTGTATGATGTTGAGTTGTTACATTTTTTATGTCAACAGGACTATTCAGTAGACTAATATAGATTTCCTTTCTTTCTATCTTTTTGGCTCATGCATATCCAGCACACTAATGATTGATCATTGTTGGAGTTGTCTATCTTGAACCCCCTTCCTCCCCCCCCCCCCCCAACACACACACACTCACCACCACCACTCCTGGAAGATTGTTGAGATCGCAATAATTGAACAGGTTGGTGGGTGGGTGTTCAAATCTATGATGCAATTAAGGAATGTTTTTAAGTTTTGTGTGAGTTATTGGTGTGTAAATCACACAGACTTGTCACGTGGGCATATTTCATGAAAATGGCATTCAAATCAATTTTACAGTTGGCTTAGTAGAAAAACACAGCAAATGTAAATATAAAGGATTGGTGCATGTGCATGCCCAGTTTATGACCTGTGGCTACTTAAAAAATTTAGTTAAGGTCTGACTACATGTCCTTCAAATATCTTTTTCTTCATCTTTAGGTTAAATGCCAAAAATATTTATTATTATTTTTATTTTTTGATTTCCAAACAGTTTTTTAAATGTTTGGAAAAAAAATATGCAAACAAAAAATTGTGAAATCGAATCAGCTATTCAAGTGATTATATAGGACACGGGATTATATTTAGGAAATCCCATCCTCTAGAATCTTCAACAAATGCCCTGGGTAATTTACCTCAATTTTTTGTGAAGAAACTCCTTAAAGTAACAATAATCAAACAAAAATTCTTGGGAAAAAATTATATAGATGGTGTTTTATTGAGGAACATGTCCTCTGACCTCAAGAGCAGTAGAGTTGCTATGCTAATAGACTTTTTTTTCTCTGGAAAAAGCACTGAACTTGCGCACAACAATAAATGTAAATGCAGATATCTTGAAAGAAAAGACAATTCAGTATGGGAGCATCTGTCATGGCTTTCTTTTGATTTTACATTAAACAATGGACAGTGATCGGATTTTTTATTAAATGTCAATGATTAAGCACCATTTCTTGATATGGCATTTAGCACATTACAATTTGTAGAAACAAGGTTATGACAACCCCAAGATGGTGAACAGAAGTTGCCAGCAATGGATTGCTGCTGAATTCTGCAACAAGCAAGAACAAGTAATTGCTGTATACAAACTTCCAGACAGTAATTGATCAATAGAGGGTGGGAGTGCAGATTATGACTTGTGGCTACTTTGAACATTTATTTAAAGGCAGCGGAGTTATCGTACTTCGACAATAATGGCACTTATTGCATACACGGGTTCAAACAGATGGTTTTGTAGTTTGTTAAAGTTTGATGTTTGATCCAGACACCATACCGGATAGGTCCATTTGCAAAAGCTCAACAGCGTGTTCAGAAAAACGCCGTCACGCTAACACACAACACGCCGTCGCTCTAACACGCTTTCAAACAACACGTTGTTGCGCTAACACAACTTGACTCAACATGCCGTCGCTCTGTCACACAACACACCGTCGTGCTAATGCAACTTTACGCAACACGCTGTCGCGCTGTCACACAACTCGTGACGGCGAGTTGTGTGTTAGCGCAGTGGTGTGTTGTGTATCGACGACGTATTGTCAATTAAGGTTAATGTCACTCTGATAAGAGAGATAACTTTCCAAGGAAATTATTCCAAGCAATGCAATGAATTGGCATACCAATAATAAGTTTAATAATGAGGACCATTATATAGTCAACTCATGCAAATCCAAACTAAGTTACAAATATTGATTTCTATTTTCTATTGCTTATATTTTTATTAATTACTTATAATAGTTTACCGGTACCTAAAACATTTATACTCAGTTCCTTTAAACTGTTAAAATTGAGATTTTTCTATCTCTTCATATATAATTCTTTTAATTGTTACAGAAATTTCAGATGCAGACTAACCAGACTTTTTACAATCAATTTTTTTTTCACTAAAAAATATTTTGAAGAACGATACAATATGATGTCGATACGATATATCCCGGTGAGCTTGAAATAAAAGATACCACAGAGTCTGACACATCTGTTTCATATTTGGATATTTTACTAGAAAAAGGCGTTAATGGTAATCTAACAACCAAACTTTATGATAAACGTGATGACTTTAACTTATCAATCGTCAACTTCCCTTATTTATGTAGCAATATACCTTTATCACCTGCATATGGGGTTTATATCTCTCAGTTGATTGGATATGCAAGAGCATGCTTTGTGTATGAACAATTTCTATAACAAGGTAAGTTATCGACAAACAAGTTGATGAAACAAGAATAGCAGCAGCCTCGTTTAAAGTTGTCATTGGTACCCATGGGAATTCCAACAGATTGTTGGAAGACCTGAGGAACTAGGATTTAATTCTGCAGGTGGAAATCCAATTTCTACTTACACCCGTAGCTCCCTTTCTAAGGAGGAGATTCTTCAAAATCATATGTCCGTTTTAGATATTTTTAATATTCCCAACAATCAAAATGAATTTGAATTACCATACCTTTACTGGATTCCTAAACTTCATAAAAATCCTTATAAAGATACATAGCGGGTTCCAGTAAATGTTCTAGTAAACCTCTTTCTTAACTCCTCACTAAAATATTTACTGTAATGATCGAAGGACAAACTTCAGGAGTACTGTACAACAGTATGTTCGAGAAGTGGTATAAATCAGATGTGTATACTTAAAAACTCCAAAGAACTTTTAGAAAATTTGAAATCACAAAATTTTACTAAAATCAAAAGCATTAAAACATACGACTTTTCAACACTTTATACAACCATTCCCCACGATAAATTGAAGTTCAGGCTTTTTGACACCATAGACAGCTGCTTTTTCAATAAAAATAGAACTCGTAAATATACTTACCTTGTCATTGGTCATTTGCAAAATTATTTTGTTAAAAAGCATTCTGATTGTACACGTACTCTGAAGTTGATATTAAAAAGATGCTTGAGTTTCTGATTGACAATATCTATGTGGTTTTTGGAGATCAGATCTTCCAACAATCTGTTGGAATTCCCATGGGTACCAATTGTGCCCCGCTATTAGCAGACCTATTTTTGTATTCATATGAAGCAGAATTTATTCAAAAACTTCTACATGAGAAGAAGAAAACACTTGTTGTGGCCTTCAACTCGACATTTTGTTATATCAACGATGTATTATCAATCAACAATAGTTACTTTCATTCATATGTCGACTTGATATATCCCAATGAGCTTGAAATAAAAGAGATTCTGACACATCTGTTTCATATTCAAATATTTTACAAGAAAAGGGCGTTAAAAGTAACCTAACAACAAAGCTATGTGATAAACATGATGACTTCAACTTTTCAATCGTCAACATCCCTTACTTATGCAACAATATACCCTTATCACCTGCATATGGGGTTTATATCTCTCTACGTATAAACAATTTCTAAAATGAGGCAAACTATTGGCAAACAAGTTGATGAAACAAGGACATCAACAGTCTCGTTTGGAGTCATCATTTCGCAAGTGTTACGGTCGATACAATGACCTTGTCAGAAAATACAACCTATCTTAAGTCAAATGCTGACTGATGTTTTCAATACTAACTGTTAGGCCATTACTTATGCACTAAACTGTCTACGGATTTTTCCCGTTTTTTTCCCGATTATGACAAGGAGCACACGGCGGATTCGACTGGTTGGCAGGGGATGCTCACTCCTCCATGGCACCTGATCGATACAATGACCCTGTCAGCAAATACAATTTATCATTAAGTCAAATGATGACTGACGTTTTTCATACTAATTGTTAGGCCAATATTTACACCCTGAATTGTCGACGTATTTTTCCGTTATTTCCCGATCATGACAAGGAGCACATGGTGGGTGTGACCGGTCAGCAGGGGATGCTCACTCCTCCATGGCAACTGATCCCACCTCTGATGTTTTAGAGGCCCGTGTTTGCTCTGCTTCAAAATTTGTATTGTTTAATGGACTTTTGAGCTTGAATACTGTTCGTTATCTCCATACATTTCATCTATGTATATTCACAAAATACCTCTTCCAGTTTAAGTATCCAAAAAAGTGAAAACATTGTGGTCAAATCTTTTAAAAAAAAAAAAGAAAAGAAAAAAAAAGTCCACATTATAACCCAGGTTGTAGAAATGGGGTAATCCCCTCACCCTAGAACATATACAAAAATATAATCTGGTGCCAAAAAGATGAGGTTTTTGGAGAATGTTTGAGAGAACCCTCCAGGATTATGCCGTTTGATTTACAGGTACTGGAATTGAAAATAGGAATTTTACCGCCATTAACCCACCTACCCCCACTCTGAGTAAGTTTTTGGATATATTTATTTATTTATTTATTTTTGATTGTCTCATGACCTCAGGGTATAGATATTTTGATATGGTGTCAAATTTCACACTGAACTCCTGGAAGTCAACTGGCTGTCTACTCTATCCCCCTGGCCAATTCATAGGCGGTCCCCATGTAATTTCGTAAAGTGGGGGAGACCTTAGTATATATACTTATCATTTCATCATTTGTGAAATTACATGGGGGTGCCTATCCCCAATATCAAAGAGTTTCCATTGTGCTTGATTTTTTTTTTCCAAAAGAGGGAGGGGATCTCGGGAAAATGATGACTATAGGCAAAGTTATATGTAAAGTCAAAAATTGTAAACAGATGGTATAACATGGTAAAGAGGGAGGGGGGGGTAATGTTCTATGATCACAAATGATTATTCTGTTACCGGGGGGATGTCACTTCAGTCACCATTCCAGGATTAATGAATATATATAAACATGTTCTTTGAACGATCTGACCATCATCATTTGTGGACTTCGATTCAGTACTTTTGGTACTTTGATTTAAGGTAAATGCACGGGAATTGACGAACGGTGTCGTCGCTAAACGGAACCTTACGGACCTCTCCGATTGTATGTTTAGATTCGTTCGGTCTGCCATATTACATGTTACCGTGTGAAATTACGAAGACGTGTTCTGAAGAATTTAAGGTATTTTATGATGTTGCACATAAGTTTACTTCCGTACAAAACATCTTTTCACATATAATTCTGTTGAAAATTTGTTTTCAGCGCATAATATAATTGGAAATTGTTTTTATTGCTATAAAGTCAAAACGAAAGTAGGACACACAAAATGACCACTACTAAATGTAATTTAACTAGCTGACACTTGACATCTTGGTTAGAGTACAACAAAACAAATATCAAATCAATCAATTAAGGCAAGATGATTAAGATTGTGTAAAATTTTATAGAGAGTGGTGATCGTATCTGTCACTTTTAATTTATTTATTTTCAATAACATCGGGGATACAGTTTGCCAAATTAAATGAAGGTATCCTGCACATTAGATTTAAATTTGTTCAAGTCATTGTTTTGACAAGTGAAGTTTGGATATGTATATAACTATAGCTGATAAAATGTGTAATCTTTCAATTTCTTTTCTCTAGCAATGAACAAGATTTACCTTTCGCCATTTTTAAAATGGGTGTTTTAGGCCAACTACCAGTTTCAGATAGTGGAGCAATGGGAGACCAAGAGCCTAGTAGCCCAGGTAGAGATTTAATCAGTGGATAAACAAAATTCTTCATAAAGTTAATTTGTACATTTTTTTATGTTTTTGCTCTTTTAAGCCAATATTTTCTATTTTTTACCTGAGCCAGTTAAGGCTCAAGTGAGTTTATAGCATGTTCAATGTCTGTTGTTGTATTTGGTATATGGATTTTCATCTTCTTCTCCAGAACCATATGTCTGATTTCAAGCAAACTTTGTTTCAAAGTATGCTTAATGTAAAGGAATTCCACTTATTCAGATGAGGGGACCAAACACCTTTTCAAGGGGACATAATCAAGGAAAGGCAAAATGAGGGTTGGGTAATTTGAAAATCTGCTTTTTTAGAACCACTGAGCCCAAAAGGATTTCATTTTCTGATATACTTAGTAGTAGTGGTGTTCCAGTCATCGATAATAATCTAAAATCAGTCGATTGCTGGCATAATCCAAGCACTCGATTACAAAATTTTTATTCCGATTAATCGGGTTATTTATTTTATTTTACAAGCGTAATAGTTTTTAAGCCGAATATTCCAGCCGCAACTTGTCTATTAACTTATTTGTGTATCGTAATGGCGATGACGAGCAGATATTGTATTCATACCCGGGTAACAATGCTCATTTCCAGGTATGGAGGTACTTTGGATTCTACAAAATTAACGAAGAACCAGCTGGACTAGATAGAATGTTCTATTGTTAAAATGATATTGTCCTAAGAACTAGAGCTTGTCAGAGACACAGTTAGATTATTCTAACTACAGCTGGACCACCACAGAAAGTAGTTATTCACCCATTCTTACCATTTAATAATCTAAATTGACAGACTTTGTAAATGTTCAATTATAATTGATAATTAGTTAGTTACAGTAGTTCGATCATCGATTATGAAATTCTTACCGATTCCCATCACTACTTAGTAGTATATGTTAAAGATTCAAATTTTGGATGGGAAGAAATGGGAAAAGATCATGGGAAAAAGCCATGTGGCTCTCTAAATACAGAGCATTTTAATAAAGATCATTAAAGAGAGGTAGATGTTTTAGATTACAATACATGTACTAGAACAATGCACTACGTTATTTGACTTATACATAATTTATAGTTTCAGATTCTGGAATTAGTTCAGCTTCCAGTTTATCACCACAAATGTCTCTCATAGAGGGTAAGTCTTACCGCATCACAAGAAACGTAGCTTTATAATTTTTAATTCCATTCAGAGTTGTGTTAGAATTGTGTATGAATGTAACACTATCAAAAAATGCAAAGAAAAGTTCTTGTCCACTGCTCTGTTTATTAATAATTATTCTGTGAATCTATAATAGATTGTCCTTCTAAGGCTGTACAAAGAGGCTACTCATTTTTGCGAGATAGAATACATGAAGAGGAACAGCTGATTGGTTACCTCTGTGTTGTTTGTGAAACACGACAGCTATCAGATGAGGAGAAACTGGAAATGAGGAAAGGAGGAGGATGCCATCTAAAACAAAAACTGATAAAACAACTAGTAAAGAAAGGAGACGAGGCATGCAAAGCATTCTTGGACAAATTAAAACATTTCCACTGCTTGTATACCCAATTCTGTCAAACTATGGAGAGTGAGATGAGAAATGGTAAAAACCACAATTACTTGCATTTTTTGCAGTCTTGTTAGTAGAAGCTGTTCACTATACTGTTAAATTGTTGCATTTTGGGAAAGGATTTTCTAAGTGCTGCTCTGAAGTTATCTCAGTAAATTTTCTATTGAAATGTGTTATTGAATGCTATGATGTATGCTTTTCCACAAAACTGCATTGATACAATTTGGGAAGAAAATCATTGCATTGCAAACAGTTTTGGTAATCAGCTTATTAGGTACAAAGGTTGTTCGAAAATTTTGTGGACTTCTGTCATGACATTTTTACATATACTTATATCCAAATTTGGTAGAAATGTTTCAAAGATAAATTTCAATGATCTGCATTAAAAAATTTAAATATATAATGATGTATTTCAAATGTATTTAAGTTTTAAAACTGCAAAATTGGGGTCACCTAGCAGGTTGAAATTTAGTAATTTGCAAACAACACACTAAATGACATGTGTATAGTGACATCTTTGAAAGATGTTAAAACCAAAAAAAAAAAAAAATTCTAAACCTTAATATTAATAATTGCTACATCATTTCATATACAAATTGGGACTTAACAATTTGTTTTCGTGAAATGAAATCAGTTTCAGAAGATACGTAGTCCTTACTGAAAAAGGCAAAAAAAGATGACATCATGGAATGTCATGGAGCAGTAACTAGTGATAAAATTTTGAGTGTCATTCAAAATTGTTTAAAATTCTTTTTGTGAACAATAAAAAATTTAGTACTCTTGTGTATTAAATATGTTCTTTTATTGGCTATTACAGAATATACTCAATCAACACCTGTTTTAACACCGGAACAGTGGAGGTACCATGAAGATACCTTGATTGAAGAAATGGAACCAAGTCTTATTTCAGATGTTCTTTTTTGTCATTGTGCACTAAGTCTCTCTGATCTTGATGAACTTGAAAAGCATCGTGAAAGAAAAAAGAAAGCCAAGGCAGTGATTGTAAAAATTAGACAGGAAGACAAAATGCATGCACTTTGGCGTGCATTAGAAATCACCAAGTGTTACAAAGCTATTGAACACATCAGAGGCAATGTGTGTGATCAACATGGTTCTGTCCCAAGTAAGAAAGAACTCAGGGGCCCGTTTTACAAAAGAACTTACGACTAAGACCAAAATTTAATTCTGCTTATTACTTCCTATTTTACTTTTGTTTGAAAATGGTTTTAATCTTTTTAAAAAGAACCAAACAGTACATTTTAATTTATGCTAGCAATTTCAAACACAATCATCAATTTTACAAAATTTTACAATCAACTAAAATTTTTGGTCTTAGTTGTAAGTTCTTTTGTAAAATGGGCCTCAGTTCTTTATTTACATTGTTCTATTATTTATAATTTTGATATTAAAAGATGATGTTTTTTTCCTAATTTTTTTAAGTGGACATTATCTTTTTTCAGGTGACTCTGTAAGCTGTGTTAGGTTCAACTACAGGAATCTTTTAACAGAATTTAAAACTGAAGAGAGGAGACAAATTGTATTTGACCATTTAAGAGAAGAAATTTTTCAGCATCTTAATGCATTGCCAAAGGTGAACCATCTGATCAAAACCAGTCTGCGACAAGAAGGAACTGGATGTGAAAGTCTTCTAATGTTTCTAAAAGAAGTAAACAATGGATTTTTAAGACAAATGACAGCAAGGCTTGATCACAGAAGAAAAAATGGTAAAATTCACTTTATAAATGTGGACTCTGGGTATCTGGACATGGATTTAGATCTTGTTATAACCAATATTTGCTAAATTCAAAGTCTGCATTTCACAAGCTGTGAGAGAGTTGATCAGTATTTTAATACAGACTTGCATGTATTAGGTATTTAACATATGTAAGATAAGGTTCATATGATATGGAATTAAATAGGTGTATTTAAATAATATTTAGTAAAAAAAAAAAAAACGAAGCAAAATAATTTCTATAAAAATAAGAAAGTCATTGCACTGCATGCACACATTATGACCAAGCTCAGCTTTAATGTTTTTGATCTCCATTCATTCATTTTACTTTTGTTTAATATTAAATGACCTTTTCTTTCTTATAAGCCATGATGGAGTAAACATTTCTACAAAAGCAACTCATTATTATTTCTAAACACCTTCAATAAATTGTCATAGTGCAAAGTTCTGTACAGATACCTGTGAAAATTACCATTGTTTACCTGGGACTAACAATCATCAGTAGCATGACTATCTCGTTCAAACTAATTGCTTTTTTTACTAATTGGATTTTGTTTGTTTGTTTGCTTAATGTCCCATTAAGAATTTTTCACTCATATTGAGATGCCACCATTTGCCGGTGGAGGGCTGCAAATTTAGACCTGTACTTGGCACTTACGGCCTTTGAGGGATCTTTTTCATGCCAGCACATACTGCTACACGAGACCTTAGTTTATATGGTCACATCCGAAGTACCAGACTCTTTGTCCTACAGTGGATTAAATCTGCAATGTAAAGATCAACTCCTTACTCCGTGGCTCTATAGTAAATGTTCTAACCACTGCGCCAAGCGAGGTGACGGGCCAGATCTTGAATTTGTTATAAGCAGAATCTTGTAAATGGTTTCTCTATAACTGGTGTTTTTTTATTTTTAAGAAAATATTAAAGGATTACTGTAAAAGCAGAATTATTCGTTGGGATTAAATTTTGTTTATTTTGTTGTTAACAATTAGCAACAAAATTAAATCCCACACGAAATTTTTGTATGACTATATATTGAATAGAGCTTCTTTCGAAACAACAAAATTTAATGCCAATGAAACTTCTAATCAACGAAATTTTATCCCCATGAAAATTTGTGCTTCTACAGTAATTTGGGTCTGAAAATTATTCTCACTGTAAGTGGTACCTTGCATTATCCGATCTCACAATACCTGGAGGCCACTGTACACAAACACACTCCCTCAATAAACAATAAAACATAATTTTATTCTGGATCTATGCATGTTATATTTTTAGGAAGAGAAACAATACACAGAGAGCATTCCATCTCCTATGAAAAACTGAGAACTCTGGAAAGCTATCTTCTTGAAGAATTAGAACCAATGCCTGTATCCAATGTCATGTTGGAAGAGCGAGCATTCTCACTGGATATCCATGACTCTATTGAAGAACAAAAAGGGAGACGTAAACGATCTGAGGCTGTATATAATAGACTTTTAACAGACAGGTCTGAGCTGACATTAGAAAGTTTCTTGTTTGCACTGTGGGAAAACAAGTCGGAACATATTTTAAACACATTTAGAAGGGCAAGAGTTGGACAGATTACCCAAACAGAGCAAAGAAACTTAGGTTTGTTCTTAGTATAAGTTTCAGAAGAATTTTTAAGTTTTTAATTTTTCTCAGATTTTTAAGCTTTAAAGTTATGATTTCATGAAATATCATAATGATGAATTTTGTTTTAAAGATGAAGATGATGATAATGAACTCCCTGGCTTGCAGATTGTACCAGTGGGTGGTGGAATGCAACTGTCTGAAGGTAAAACTCTCATAAATAGAATAATATTTACCTGTGTATAATTGAGACTTTGTATCAGTTTGATTAGAATTATGCAGGATATATCATTTAAAAAAATACTTTAGTATTGTAAGGACATTTTTACATTTTTTAGCTCACCTGAGCCAAAGGCTCAAGTGAGCTTTTCTGAGCAAAATTTGTCCTCAGTCAGTCATCGTAGTCATTGTCGTTAAATTTTACAGTTTCATCTTCTCCAGAACCACTGGGCCATTTTCAACCAAACATGGCAAAGAGTATCCTTGGGTGAAGGGGATTCTAGTTTGTTCAAATGAAGGGCCTCATCCTCTTTCAAGGGGAGATAATTAAGAATGAAATATATGAAGATAACGAACATTATTATATAAGTCTATAAAAAGTTCCTATATAATCTATACAAACGCAAACAGTTCATAATACTACATATTCACTGGATTTGAAGTGGTATTCACCGGAGGGTCAGTGCGCATGCAGCGGCATTGTGACGTCACAATTAATACCTAAAACAATGTTGAAAACAATGGTTGCAACGGCCTGAGCCAGCTGTATATATATATGCTGTATATCTGAGCAGGAAAACTTTTAGGCAAATTTCTCGTAGGATTATTTTCCAAACATTTCGATGTCTTACACACAGCAAAAGGAAAACACAGGAGTTATAAGTTATAATCTGGACATTTTTTTTATTTTTCTATGACAGAAGTTCGTTAATGAAAATGGAGTCGTCATGCAGCCTTCAATATCTTATTCATTTAAATCCTGACTATCTAATAAAACAATTATGGACTCTTTCGGTGGTGAATATGGTTTGTTATTCACCAGAAAAATTTCAATATTGACCTAGTCTTCGCCTCGGTCAATATTGAGATTTTTCTGGTGAATAACAAACCATATTCACCACCGAAAGAGTCCATAATTGTATAGTATTCAAGCTCAAAAGTCCATTGAAACTATACAAATCAGGAGCAGAGCAAACACGGACCTCTGAAACATCAGAGGTGGGATCAAGTGCCATGGAGGAGTGAGCATGCCCTGTCAAAGTAAAATTGGGTTGGGTTATTTAAAAATCTTCTTCTCAAGAACCACTGGGCCAGAAAATATGAGACCTATGTGAAAAGCTTTCTGATATACAGTCAAACCTCGTTATCTCAAACTTGAAGGGACCGAGAAAATACTAAAAGATAACCAAGGATTCAAGATATCCAGGGTAAAATACTTAAGGTTTTGTCAAAGGTCAACATGTCCAAAAATTTATTTTTACAATAGCTCCAAAACTATGTGGTTTAGAAAGTTAAAACTTTTACAGTTTATAAATATATCATTGATTAACAAATAGAAAGTATCACTTGATAACAAATACTTTAAAAAAGTATTTATCGAGAAAAAATCTTTTAAAAAAATGCATATATTTTCAAAAAATGCACCTTCTTAATTCTGTACTTCTAGTGAAAACCATCATTGCAGAAATAATATATGTTTATCAATGAAGGGCAAGTTGGACTTTGATAGCCTCTGGAAAGTTGTTTTCCCTGTTTATTTTGTGCAAATGTTAAGATTTGAAACCGAAAGTACATTGCAAATGGCGGATTTTATAGGGGTCTTGTCTTTATACATCTCATGCTTTCAATAACAGCCTTTAAGAGACCATTCACGTCTAACTTGCCCTTCATTGATAAACATATATTATTTCTGCAATGATGGTTTTCACTAAAAGTACAGAATTAAGCAGGTGCATTTTTTTTTTAAAATGTGCAAATTTTTTGCATTTTTTTTTTCTCTAAAAATATTTTTTTTAAGTATTTGTTTTCAAGTGATACTTTCTATCTGTTAACCAATGATATATTTATAAACTGTAAAAGTTTTAACTTTATAAACCACATAGTTTTTGAGCTATTGTAAAAATAAATTTTTAGACATCTTGACCTTTGACAAAACCTTAAGGAATAAGTAGTTGGGACCTCAAAATTACTTTGACATATCCATGGTATTCAAGATATCCATGTTCGAGATACCCAAGTTCAACTGTAGTGTAGATTCAAGTTTGTTCAAATCATGACCCCTAGGGGTACTGTGGGGCCACTATAGATGATCAAAATTTAACCTGGGAATTCATAGGGAAAATTTTTAAAAAAATTTTTCTTAAGAACAGCAAAGCCATGATCAGTCATGACTAATCATATTTATGTGGAAGCATCCTCAGGTAGTGTAGATTCAAGTTTGTACAAATCCTAACCCCCAGGTGAAGGGTGGGGCTACAATGGGCAATCAAAGTTCTACATGAGTATGCAAGGGAAAAATCTTTAAAAAAATCTTCTCAAGAACAGCAAAGCCATGATCACTCATATTTATATGGAAGCATCCTTAGATGTGTGTATTAAATTTTGTTCAAATCATGACCCTGGGTTGTAGGGTGGGACCACTATGGGCAATCAAAGTTTTACATGGATATCAATAGGAACAATCTTTAAATTTTCTTCTCAAGAATGGAAAGCCATGAATAGTCATATATTTGTATGGAAGCATCCTAGGTTGTGTTGATTCAAGTTTGTTCAAATCATGACCCCTGGGGGTAGTGTGGGACTACAATGGGGATCAAAGTTTTACATGGGCATATATATATGTGAAAAATCTTTAAAAATTCTTCTTCTCAAGAACAGCAAAGCCAAGATCAGTCATATTTATATGGAGGCAATTATAGGTAGTGTAGATTTAAGTTTATTCAAATCGTGACCCCAGGATTGATTATTGAAAATGCATTATTTCTTTGAGAACCTTCCTCTCTGCTCCTTGATATTTAGCAGATAAACTAAGTGTATTATTATAATGAGCAAAGGTGCCTTTTCAAAATTTGTGAAATTTGTTGCCCCAGGGTCAGGGTTTTTTTTCAGGGGAAGGGGGTTCTATTGATTATACAGTGAAAATACATTATTCTTCTCTGCCCCTGGACATACAGGAGGCAAATAGAGTGCAGAGCTGTTATAAGCAAGGGTATTTTTACCAGATTTTTGAAATTCTGGACCACTTGGTCAACTGATTTGGTGCAGAGCTATATTAATTTGTATTCTACTGAGACATGTTATTCCCTTTTTCTATTTATCTATGATAAAAAATCACTGAAAATAATTTAATTCAAAGGTCAATTGAATTAGAGAATTATACAAGAAATTTCATAATATATAACACAAAAAGTACTTTCTTAGTTTTTAATGGCCAGATAGACTTGCAAATAATAGATGTATAAAATGGGACAAAAATATCTTATCTTTGTACATTAAATGTACTCCAAAGACCAAGAGAGGCCAGTGCTTCAGGGAATGAGATGGGGTTTAGTAATATTGCTCAATCACTATTGTTTTGTTTAGTCTATGTGGTGATAGTGACAAATGGGACAGGTACAGGCAAGCAAATAGATTTACTTTAAGATTTGTTACTGAGTACTAGACTAATTCTTTTGTCATTAAATCATCCTATTTCTTTTGCTTTTTGGCAGCATAGCTTTATCTATCAGTTGATTTTGTTTTATTTTATACTTCAGTGGATCCTTTATAGTGTTTTATTATTCTCAGGTGACCATTAAGGCCTTCGGGCCTCTTCTTTTCAATATAATCTTGATACACATGTAGATTACACAAAGATGTATAATTCTCTGTGTCTGTTTTTGATTTCTGTGAAGGTTTTGCCATGGTTACTAAAAATAGAAATTTTTGTGAAATTTCACTACTACTGAAATGCTACTTCTTGACATCAGATGAATTTTGTAGGAGGAGTAGGCATTTTGAAAGAATTTTACAGGAATTTTTATTTTTAGTAGCCATGAAAACACTGGTCATCAAAATCAAACACTGATGCAAGGATTTTTGTATCTAAGTGTAGTCTACTTGTGAAGAAAGTTTTATTAAAATCAGACCAAAACTTTAGTAGTAGCAGTAGTAGTAGCATTTTGAAAGAATTTCACAAAAAAATTCATTCTAATAATATTTACCATGTGACACCATTGATTGAAATCAAAATCTGATACACAAAACCATGGTAACACCATTTATTGAAATCAAAAACCAATACACAGAATTTTGTCTTGGTGTAGTCCACTTAATATGTACAAAGTTTTACTAAAATCAGACCAAAACTGTAGGAAGAGTACATTTTGAAAAATTGTTTTCAGCTTAATAGCTTGACAGATGATGATGATGAACATCTCACTATCTTATAAGCTCTTCTGGTCTCTGACCAGTAGAGCAAAAAAAAATTAAGATCTGAGAATATACATGAAGAAAGCTGCAATATATAATAAAAACTGTTAATTTGTACACTGACATAAGCTAAGATATATATGTACTTACCATATTTTTCAGACATTGAATTTTCATCAGATGTTGAGATGATTCTGTCTATTCCTGTGGAGGGAGAAAGAGAAGTTATCCAGCAAGCTGTAGACAGAATAAACAATGATCCTCAGCTAAAAGCGAGGGTGACAGAGACTTCCCACATGAAGATAGACAGGGCAGAAGTGGGTTCTGTAATCCTACATTTAATTCCAGTGACTGATGACGCTTGCCACCGATTTTTAGATGAAAAAGGAAAACATTTGAAGAAGATGGTAGAAAAACTTCTATCAGCTGCTGGAATCAAAGAAGAACAGATTAAAGGGAATATCTCAGTCAAAGTTTTTGCATCTGAGAAAGGTAAGGAGCATACTAATATGCAGCTAAACTTCGAAATCTCGAACACGGATATCTCGAATACCCCGGATATGTCGAAGTAAGGCCGTGGTCCCGACGAAATTTGCTTTATAAATGATTAAAATAAACCCCTCTATGTCGAACACGGTAATGTCGAATACCCCGGTTATCTCGAAGAAAAATTGTGTACCCATTTATTAAAATCACATGCGTTATCTCGAAGTCAGGATAATTTTCCGCTCTGATGATCAAGTCCGTTAGGTAAACTGAATGCTCTATTGATAACACCCACCTGTCTGTCACGCTCGGGTTACCTGTGTTCCTGGGATCAACAGATAATAGCGCGATAATTATACGAAGTGTATGTATGGCTTACCTTGAATGTAATTATGCAAGCCAAAGGTTGTGTGTATTAGTCTAATGCATATACGTGGATGACACGTTCATTGTTTTGTGGCTTGGGTACGTTTATCTTGATAATTAATCGCAATTTAATGCTATGTGAAGTATGCGTGCATACATAGTTTATGCATATGGAAGTGAAAATTATAAACATCGAAGTAAAACAAAATTCTGTAATTTAATGCAATTAGAATTTATTTTCCCTATATGAGCGTGCAGAAATTACAATCGTCCGTACACACCATCATGTGAGCATGTGTCGCAGTAAAAACTTGTGCTGTAGTGCCCTGTCATTCAGTGTTGTTCTGTTGTTAGACAAAAGTGCATGATTTTTCTTTTGTGTTTGATTTTATTATGGTAAAATAATTTTCTTTTAACTGATTTTACATGTATGAACATGTTTTTCCAATAAAAGAAATGTATATTTCGTTTTCGTTATTCTGACAGCGACCGGTTTTAAATTTACAATGCATAGACGATATCCGGTTATGTATACATGGGAAACGATGCTAGCGGTTGACTCTCCGCGTTGGATTATACTTCTGTGCATATTATTCAAAGCTTTTATTTTGTGAATTATAAAGAGGATGTAAAATTTTTTGATTGCTAAATACATGTACATGTATATTAAAGAAATCTTGTACAGAATTTCAAACAAGAAGTATTTCGACATGTTTTTACTATTAAGTACATGTTCACTGCACTAAGTTTATTTGAAGTTCATTTGAATTATAACCCTCGATATGTCGAACCCCTGGATATCTCGAAGTTCATCAACGGTTCCGTCAACTTCGAGATAACGAAGTTTAACTGTAGAAAGAATTTAGAAGGAATTGAGGAATGTAGCAAATCACACATTTTGTTGACATATTGATTGCTTTTATTTTCTCAAGTAACATAAATAAGCTCTATTCATATAAAAAAAAAAAAAAAAAATAAATATGTTGTAATACTCTGTGAAACTGTATATTTATTATCAGAGCACTACTTCAATTTCTTTCCAAGTTCAATAAGCAAGAAAACCATGAAAACCATGAAACATGCCTACCTGAGATATTAAAGACATAAATGATTCCTCAGTCAGATATCACGAGTTCATTCTGCATTGTCTTCATCATCAGAACTCTCTGATTGATCAATTCCAATAAGGGTGTTGATTTTCATTATAGCAGGTGAATTGGATGAGCATGGAATTGCTGAAATGAAAATAAGAGAGAAATGGAACCTTCTTCTTGAGGAACTAGAACCCATCATCCTTGCTGCTAGTTTAAAAACAAAGGGGATTTTCACAGAAGACGATGAAAAGAACTTCATTGATGATTCAACAAGGAGAGAAAAAGTAGAAAAATTACTGATAACATTGTTAGCTAGCAAACGTGAAGATAACATTGACCAATTTATTGAAAGTTTGAATGAATTAGGAAGGGAAGACATTGCTCTAGAAATCAAACCAGAGCCAAACATGCATGAAGAAGCTGGTAAGTTTGCATTCATTTCTCATAGTGGAGGAGTTGAACTATTGCAATGGTGCTGTGGCATCTGTGTTTGTTGATTGATTGACTTTTTAGCTCACCTGAGCCAAAGGCTCGAGTTTTTCTGATCGAAATTTGTCCATTGTCTGTCGTTGTTGTTGTTGTCGTCGTCATCATCCTTGTTGGTGTTGTCGTAAACTTTTCACATTTTCATCTTCTCAAGAACCACTGGGCCAATTTCAACCAAACTTGTCGCAAAGTATCCTTGGGTAAAGGGGATTCAAGTTTGTTCAAATGAAAGGCCATGCCTTCTTCCAAGGGGAGGTAATTATGAATTTGTGAAAAATTAATGGCATCATTTAAAAATCTTCTTCTCAATAACCAATGTGCTTGAAAATGTGAAACTTATGTGGAATCATTGTGAGGTAGTGTAGATTCAAGTTTATTCAAATCATGACCCCTGGGGGTAGGATGGGGCCATGATGGGCAATCAGAGTTTTATATACAGTAGGAATACATAGGAAAAAATCTTTAAAAATCTTCTTCTCAAGAACAGCAAAGCCATGATTAGTCATATTTAAATGGAAGTAGCCTCAGGTAGTGTAGATTCAAGTTTGTTCAAATCATGACCCCAGGGGGTAGGGTGGGGCCACGATGGGGGGATCATAGTTTTACATAGGAATACATTGGAAAAATCAGCAACAGCCATTTTGTGTCATATTAATTCAAAAGCATCCTTAGTAAGTGTAGATTCAAGTAAGTTCAAATCATACCCCCCCCCCCCCCCCACTTTTCAAGACTGAACTGATTTCTGCTTTTTCCTAGCCAAAGTGCTCAGGAGAGTGATGTGGCCCCTGGGCCTCTTGTAATGTAGTGTACTACATATTGTGCCTAGATTTCCTTGACTGAACTTGTCCAGATAGTTGAAAATCTAAATACTGTAAATATACTTATTTTAGCAGTGATTATATATTAGCACCTTTTGTCTTGCATCATTATGTTATCACTACCGGTTATCAATTTAAGTGTTAGATTGTGCTAAATTAATTTATGTTTATAAAGTTTATATGTAATTGAAAAAGCTCTGTAAAAATTTTATACCAATAAATAAAAGTAATTAAAATCTTATTATTAGAAAGCTACTAATTTTGCTTATTTTATGGATTAAAAGTGAATATATACATGTATAAGTATATATAATTTTAGAGAAAGTTCGGAAAGGATTGCTACACAAATTTCGGACAGTTATAGATGAAATGGAATCATCCATTATTGAAGAAACTTTAAAGCGATGTGGTATTGAGTCTGAGGCCAAGCTGAGCTCAAAATTAGGAAAGAGTCGCAAGGAACGAGCTTACAACTTCCTGGTCTCGGTCTTGTTGAATGATATGTATGTTCTGGCACTGAAACATGTATTAGAGGACCAAGATTTGAATGAATTGTTTGAATTGCCAGAAGAAATAGAAAGCTCTTTTGGTAAGCATTTATTTAATGGAAATTATTGTTATGGGATCTGTCTTAATCTACAATTTTTTGAAAGTAAAAGTCACATTATTTTTTGTCTGATAATCAGGAACAAAGCGTAAGCATCCTGAAAATGTTCAAGAAGGAGATATTCTCTTCCAATGTGAATACAAGTTATTGAAGAAGGAGGAAAAAGGTCAGTAGTGGTATTGTTTTGTTAATAGTACAGATTTGTTGCTAACAATCATATTTGATTGCCATTGTATGTCTTAAATGCACTTTTAATACGCTGTGACAAATCTCCAAGGAAAATTTGTAAATGCCTACATAGCTTAGATTAATCCCCTGCAGAAAAATGTACAGCTACAGTATGCAAGAATCCTCGGGTTGTGCATTCATGCTTTTCTTTATCAAATCAGGGCCCTCAAGCAGAAGGGTGGTGCCATAATAGAAGATCAGTTTTAAATTGAATATAAAGAAGTTACTGAGAAAAATATTTTTTATGAGTAGCAGGGCTACCCAATCATATTTGATATGCAAAATTTTTTTAATTATTGACCCAGGGCTAAGATGAGGCTAAAGTCGACAATAAGATTTTATATGATGCACGTACATGTACTGGTGTACAGGGTTTATAAGCCCACCTAATCAAAGCTGGGGGAGCCTATGTAATACCCTCTGCATCAATGTCAGACTGACACTGTCAGTGTTTGCATATCCATTTTAAAGTGTTTGGAGCACATTTCTTATTACATGTAAGTACTTCTATGCCCTATATTGGTCAGATGTGCATGGATGATGCTTTTAGTATGTTTCATTGTACCAGTCAAGGTTTCAGGGTTTCAGATGCTGCAATTTCAGCTAAAGAATAGGTTTGTTATCAGAAAACTAGAAGACCAATCTTGGATGGATGATGCATCAAGGGATGCACACAACCAGAGTTGCTTTAGTTGCTGGATTTGACCTTCATTTTCCAGATGAGTGATTGGGTTAAAGTATTTGGAGCAGGCTCAGTCCAGTGTAACTTTCAAGCCTATCTGGACCAAACATGTTTGGAATTAGCATTTATGGATACACACTATTGGACTTGCTTCGGATCCTGGATTTATCTACATTTTCTGGATGTGACCAGTTTTAAGTTTTTAGGGCAGACTCAATTCAATGTAACTTCAATACCCTATCTGGTCCAAACATGCATGGAATTTACATTTAGGGATGCACACTATTTGACTTGCTTCAGATGCTGGATTTTATCTACATTTTCTAGATGAATATCGAGGTTAAAGTTTTTTTGAGCAGGTCCATTCCCAAGTAACTAAAATACTACTGGAACAAACATGTGTGGATGATACCGTACAGCAGGTTATTTTAGCAGGATGGTAATTTTAGCTTATTTTGGCTTTTTGGTAGTAGCTCGCTAAAATTATAACTGCTGAAATATTCAGTATTCTTCTTAATGCTATTTTGCATAGTGTTGGAACCTTGTGTCTGCTAAAATAAATTATGCCAAACTAATTTGCGTACCTTTGAGCAAGTAAAATGCCAAATTTTTAACCCGCCAAGAAAACCCGCTATACGCTACATCAAGGGATGTACACTAATGGACTTTCTTTAGGTGGTGGATTTAATCTACTTTTTCTGGATGAGTGATAAGGTTTAAGTTTTAGGATCAGGTCCATTCCAATGTTACTTCAAGATTAACCTAGACCAAACGTGCATGGATGATGCATCAAGGGATGAACATTTTCAGACTTACTGTGGAATCATTAGATTTTGTAGTGGCTCAATTTTTGTGGAATTCATATAAGAAACAATTTGTTTATATTTAAAAATATAAAGAAATTGTTTCACACATGTGTTTTATTCTTAGGTAATTAGTTAAATTAGAAAAAAAATAAATTTGTATTCAATGGAATATTCAAACATTACTTTTGAAACATTCAGCTGTTCTAGGCTCAATTGTAATCACACAAGTACAATTGTCCCACTTTGTGAAAGTCGCTTTTGATCAAGTTTGTGTGTTAATTACCTAATTAGCAAAAAAAGGTTTTTAATATGGATGTTTTAAGATCAATCTGTGAATTCTGGTAGTCCCGGTCATCATCCTGTTATCTTAACACTTCGATACCATTGTATTTGTAATGTACGGCCACAAAGCAGTGTGTATACGGGCAACAGAAATTTTAAAAAAAGTTTTATGTTGTTGATTTTCAATTTTTTAATTATAAAGTCTGTACAATGGCCAGAAAAGTTACGCCTTTAAATCAATGCAGTCTTAAGACCACAATTACACTGTCAACATATCACAAACAAAGAAGTTTCTATCATCATAAAAGGAACTTGTTTAAAACATACGCAAACTTTCCAGAGCTATCTTTCCTTTGTAGACATGGGTGAATACACAAAATTAGGTCCCCACAACTTGTCATGATATAAACAAAATTGAATCCATATAATATGGAGATGCTTTAAGGAGGTGAAGGACCTTGGGCTGAAAAAAATCCCGTCATTCAATTTTTTTCATATTTTGTATATTTCTAATTAAGCATGTCCCACATATCTTAAAGCAGTTAAATTATTAGGTTTCTTACCTTATTTTAGAGATATTGATTGATAAATACTACGCCTTAGAGTACCTAAGTGGAGTTTTAATTCTCCATGTTTTCGGGTCCATTACTCTGTCCATAATTGGATTTTTTAAGGATAGATAAAAAATATTGAAGGGGACATGTATCTTTTAAAATATTTCAGAGTATGGATAGGGTTTAAAATTCGAAAAAGCTAATTTCTTCTGTCACACTGCATCTGGATAGGGAAAATTATGTACTTTTTAAGACAACTTAAAGAACAAAAAACTAAAGGATGACTGCACTTAACGCCTGTTTTTGGGTCCTTTTCGATTGCTTCTGTTGCTTTTATATCTAAATCTTATTTCACTTTTGTATGTTTATGAAAGAATCCTGTCAATTTGGAACCAAATTTAAATCTTAAAATGATTTTAGACTGTGATACAATAAAATGATTCAATGTTTTTTGTCCTTGCTGCTTTTCAAATATAGTGAATTTACACTTACCTGCCCTTGATTGAACATTAGATATGCAAGAGAGGTGGGGCTAACATTGTAAGAATGGGTCTAAAATTAGACTTGATAAATAACAATGACATGTTTGGAAAAAAGAACGTGATCACTCTTTCCAATCTCCCTCTCCATTCTGTGTGGCACAAATACACTTCTGACAAAGGTTTCAAAACGAAATTAACAATATGAGCACGTTAATGTGATTAAAGCAGATTTTATATCAATGCCAGATGACTTAACGTGTTCGAACACAATGTCCTAGTTAGCACATAACATGCTACCTTACAAGTCACGTGACGGAATCTAGTATTCACAAAGTTACCTGAGGTAAGAAATCACGTGGTGAATTATAATATTCAACAAGTCACAATCCTTGGTTACAACACAGAAAACGAATGTAAGAAGAAGCAGTTTTTTCTCTTTTTAACCATGAGCGCATATTTGTCTATTAATCTCCTTTTGGCACATTGTTATTTATGCAAATATACAACTACTGTTAAACGTAGAACAATAGACAAACATGCGCTGACTATGTATAAAGTCAGTAAAAAAGTGGGCGTCCTCATTATCGAACGGAGATTCAAGAAATTGTGATGACCCCTGCCTTTGAAAACAGATTCAAACTTCGTAAATACACACTTTTATTAAACGTAATTACATAAAGTTGTAGATTGGATTTTGACCATTCTTGCAATGAAAAGAAAAATGCTTGTTTTGAAAGTTTATTTTGTCGCAAATTTCGCATGTCCTTAAGTGCAGTCATCCTTTGCAAAAAATTCTATCATTCAATATTTTTAAATTTATGTTGAAATGTAAGTCCTTCACATTATTGATTAACTATAAAAATTTCAAATGGTGAAGCTGACCTCAATATTCCACAGGACATCATTAAAGAAGACATAAGCATGACAAAAACGTGTCATGTTTACATTTCTCGAATACGGGAAAAACCAACTATGACATCACACGTAAGCTGAATAACCAAATTAGATAATTTTACATAAGATTTCCGTCATCAGCCATGCAAAAATAATTTTTGTGTTCCCCCTTTCTCAAAATATTTCATCATATACTGATTATGATCTATTTTTACATAATAACACCGCCCCTGTATTCACCGAGTATGATCTTGCTGTACTAACAGATCGTGTATGACGTCATCGACATGTTGGACGCACAGTGTAGAGAAACAGAGGAGTGGATCAATCTATTTCATAATTTGTTAACGTTTACAAGAATGTTAATTTTTTTATTTCTCTGTATTGGTTGGTAGTTAAAGTAATAACAAATTGTCAAAAATTTATACAAGAACTTATGGTTTACACATTTTGCACTTATATAAACAGAGACTATGACGTAGTTAAACAGTCATGTGACCATGTGTCCTTCATCCCCTTAATATCAGAATAACTCACATGTCCCTGCAGTTCTTTAAAACATGTAATAAACAAATGTTTTTATAAGTTGTTTATTCATGGTGGTTTTTTCAGTCTTTTAGGTTCAAGCATAATGTTAATATTTCTTTTAATTTTATCTTCAGATATAGAAAGAAGTGCTGAAGAGATACCTAAGTCATCAAGTTTTCATGAAGAAATGGAATTTAGCAGAGAAACTGATATGACCCCAAAGTCATCAAGTTCTTCTGAGGCAATAGTATATATGAGAGAAACGGAGATGAAGTCTGAAATAAAATCTGACCCATTGTCATCAAGACAGACTGTAAAACAAACCACTGTTTATACCAGAAAGAAAGTCCTACAGCCAAAGAGAAGTCCTGTTCAGCGCAGTCAAGTCCCAGGAAAAATATATGGGCGTCCATGTTCAGAGAAGGGTGAAGGTAAAAGTGATTATATTTATTTTCAATCAGTTTGTTTTCTTTAGAATATGATATTTCAAAAATCCTTTGAGGATTCTTAAGATTTTTAGCTCACCTGAGCTGAAGGCTCAAGTGAGCTTATCTGATCGAAATTTGTCAGTAGTCTGTCGTCATTGGCATTGTCGTTGTCGTAAACTTTTCACATTTTCATCTTCTTCTTCAGAACTACTGGGCCAATTTCAATCAAACTTGGCACAAAGTATCCTTGGGTGAAGGGGATTCAAGTTTGTTCAAATGAAGTGCCATGCCCTCCTCCAAGGGGAGATAATTACGAAATAGCAAAAAATTAATGGTGTTATTGAAAAATCTTCTTCTCAAGAACCAATGAGCCAGGAAAGATGAAACTCATGTGGAATTATTGTCAGGTAGTGTAGATTCAAGTTTGTTCAAATCATGACCCCTGGGGGTAGGGTGGGGCCACAATGGACGATCAAAGTTTTACATGGGAATATAAAGGAAAAATCTTCAAAAATCTTCTTCTCAAAAACAGCAAAGCTATGATTGGTCATATTTATATGGACGCATCCTCAGGTGGTGTAGATTCAAGTTTGTTCAAATCATGACCCCCAGGGGCAGGGTAGGGCCACAATGGACGTTCAAAGTATAACATAGGTGTATATATAGGAAAAATCTTCAAAAATCTTTTTCTCAAGAACAGTAAAGCAATGATTGGTAATATTTATGTGGAAGCATCCACAGGTGGTGTGGGTTCAAGTTTGTTCAAATCATGACCCCGGGGCTAGGGTGGGGCCACAATGGACGATCAAAGTTTTACATAGGAATATATAGGAAAAATCTTCAAAAATCTTCTTCTCAAGAACAGCAAAGTTATGATTGATCATATTTATGTGGAAGCAGCCTAGGTGGTGTAGATTCAAGTTTGTTCAAATCATGACCCCCAGGGTAGGGTGGGGCCACAATGGACGATCAAAGTTTTACATAGGAATATAAAGGAAAAATCTTCAAAAATCTTCTTCTCAAGAACAGCAAAGCTGTGATTGGTTATATTTATTTGGAAGCATCCTCAGGTGGTGTAGATTCAAGTTTGATCAAATCATGACCCCCGGGGCTAGGGTGGGGCCACAATGAAAGATCAAAGTTTTACATAGGAATATATAGGAAAAATCTTTAAAAATCTTCTCAAGAACAGCAAAGCCACTGTTTGTCATATTTATATGGAAGCATCCTCAGACAGTGTAGATTCAAGTTTGTTCAAATCATGACCTCCAGGGGTAGGGTAGGGCCACAATGAAAGTTCAAACTTGTAGAGAAAAATGCCACAGTTAGTCAAAAAATTATGTAAGCATCATTAGTAAGTGTAGATTTAATTTTGTTCAAATCATACCCCCCACTCCCTTTTAGGGGTAGGTTTGGACCACTTATGCATTTTAGCTTTTCAATACTAAACTATTTTTTCCTTTTTTCCTAGCCACAGTGCTCAGATGAGCGATGTGGCCCCTGTGCCTTTTCTTTTATTTAGTATAATTATAAAAAATAATCCCTAAAGAAAATCATAATTTTTCAGGGAGACTTGATAATATTCGTCCATCAAATTTTATTTGATCCAGACACTTACTGGAATGATAGCAGTTTGAATTCATAATGTTTTATTTAGCTCACCTGAGTAGAAGGGTCAAGTGAGTTTTTTCTGATCAAAATTTGTCTTTTGTCTGTCACCATCAAAATTCAAAGGGATATCTTTAAAAATCTTCTTCTTTACTCCTGGACTTCAAGCAGTCAAACTGTTGGCATGATTGTAATAAGCATTAAGCCTTCTACCAAAATTTTGAAATTTATGACCCAAGGGTCAGGGGTTCTGGAGTTGGGTAGGGCTGTAATGATCATAAAGTGAAAATGCATAAATTCTTTAAATATCTTCTCTCCTCCTGTATGTAAAGCGGATAAACTTGGTGCATCGTTATGATGATCAAGGATGCCTCTTCTAAAATTGTGGAAGGACTATATTCGGTATTGATTTTCGGTATTCGCTAATTGCCCCCGAAATAAAACTATGACGGAGAAATCTAAATTTATATTCTAAACCGGGGGATATTTGCAGACTTCAAAGCATTAAATATTTTCATCAGTCATGATGCCATATGTTAGATATGACATCAGAAATGTTACATAAATTCAGACTTTTATGGAGCAAAGATATGCACATATAGCTTTTTATGGCCCCAGAGTCAGGCGTTCTGCGGGATTTCGGAGGGGGGAGGGGGGCTATATTGATTATATAGTAAAAGTGCATTATTTCTTTGAAAATTTTCTCTGCTCCTGTCTGTTAAACAAACAAACCAAGTATGAGGTAATGATGAGCAAGGGTGCCTCTTCCAAAATTGTGAAATTCATGGTCCCTGGGTCAGGGGTTCTGGTGTTAGGGCAGAGCTCTATTGATTATTTAGTGAAAATGCATTAATTCTTTGAAAATCTTCTTCTCTGCTCATGGGTATTAAATAAACTAATTAATTACATAGTTATGATGATCAAGAGTTCCTCTGTGAAATTTGTGGCCCCAGGGACATGGGTTCGGGTGGTATGGTGGGGCTGTATTGATCATATTGATATTATAGGGAAAATGTGTTAATGCTTTAATTCTTTGAAAATCTTCAGCTAAGTGCATAGCTATGATGAGCAAGGGTACCTCTTTCAAATTTGTGAATTTCATGACCTTGGGTCACGGGTTCTGTTGTTAAGGTGGGGCTGTGTTGAAAAGTGTATTATTTCTTTGAAAATCTTCTCAGCTTCTTGGCCTCTCAGAGGCAGAGTAAAAGTTTTAATAAGAAGAGGGAATTTTTACCAGATTTTTGATATTCTGGACCATTTGGTCAAGTGTTCTGGTGCTGGCCAGAGCTCTATTAACTTGTATTCTCCTTTGCCACTCATCTTTGATAATTAAGCACTGTAAATAATGTATTTGAAAGCTTAATAAGAAAATTATGCAAGAACTATATTGTATAATACAAAAAGTTCTTCCATAGTTTTATTGATCAGGTAGACTTATAGATAATACATGTAGATAAATAAAAATGAGACAAAACTAACTCATTATATTAAATGTTCTTCAAAGACCAAGAGAGACCAATGCGATAGGTATAAATATGGTGTTAAATATACAGTATAGAAGTTGTGTCAATAGTCTGCTTGGTGATGGTGATAAATGGGGGCAAGTAGAACTTATGAGTACAAAATTAGGATTTGCAGAATAATGATTATGTGCTTGATAACTGTCATTCAGTCAAACTTGGTCTCTAAAATGTGAATATCAACTGCTATTGTTTTATTTAATTAATTCTTGTTACCTCTTACCATACAGATGAATGGTCAATCGTGGTAGCTCTGGATTTTGGAACAACATATTCAGGTTTTGCAGTTTGGAGAAAAGAAAATCCCTCTGAGATTTACCCTGGAAAGTGGAAGACAAACTCAACTGAAGTGCTGGAATCACTCAAAACTCCCACATCTCTCCTGCTGAACAAAAATAATGAACTTATAGAATTTGGATTTGAGGCAGAGAGAATTTTCAAAGAATTACTGGAGGATGGATGTGATAGTGATTACAGATTTTTCAGTAAATTCAAGATGTTTCTTCACCAGAAACAAGTAAGAATATTTGTTTATTATTATAAAATGTTACTTTGAATTAGTTTATGACCAATAAACTTCGTAAATTGAAAGTCTTTTGCATCACAGACATTTGACAAAGAAATGGAAATTAAAGATCATTTGGGACATTCAGCAAAGGCAATAGATGTGTTTTTTATTGCCATTAAATACCTGAAGGATGAATGCACACTTCTGCTCAATGAGAAAAATATGATGGTTGCTGATGAGGAAATACGATGGATCTTGACAGTGCCAGCGATATGGGATGAATCTGCAAAGCAGTTTATGAGAAAAGCAGCAGAAAGGGTAAATTTCTTTATATATTATATAGATATTCTCTTAATTCAAGAACATCATATATTAGGAGCCCATTCAGGACACATAAATTGCTTATTACAAGTAAATCTGTTTTGGACTTCTACCAGGTATTCAAAAATTTTGCAAACAAGATAAAGGTTAAAGACATGGGCATTTTAAGATTTGACTGTTATGATTTTGTAATGCAGAGTTTTTAAGAGAAAAACAATTACTATTCTTCTACTGTAATGAACTCGTAAATTCCAATCTTCCTCCAAAACTAGAATAGGAGAACTTAAGATTTCTAATTTTTTTTAAAAATTTTGTTCTCAAGAAGAGCAAGTCCAAAGTAAGTTGGAGTATATGATCTTTCATTAACATGTCTAGTTCATAAAAGAATTTTAACATCAAAAATACAAATTCAGTTACTTTATCATTTGACATCATTTGATAAGGATTGTTATATGTATAAGTCTTATTCAATCTACCATGCATGATATATATTCAGAAAATTTAATTTTTTTTCCAATATGTATAATTACAGGCAGAAATTCCATCTCACCAACTGAAACTAGCTCTGGAACCAGAAGCAGCAGCAATATATGTCATTAAAGAATCAAAACAAGTTCTTGGAATAGAGTCCCTTACGACATATCAACCTGGTGCCAAAATCATGTTGGCTGATCTAGGGGGTATGTTTGCTGTAAACGTTTAAATTCTCTGCACAAGAGATAAATTCCTTGGGTCAGAAATTTGTAGTAATTTAGGAGGAAAAAAAAAGACTTTGGTAGCTAAGATTGTATATATTTTTGGTCACATCTGTCATATTTTTTCTTAGATCAATTCTTGCATGAATTTAATGAAGTAGAACCTTTACACTGATATGTAGCATTCTAGTTGCACATATTATAAATAAAAATTTTGATCTGAGATAATCTTTTATTTTCCTTTACATTCTAAGGTGGGACGGCTGATTTCACAGTTCTGGAGTTAATGGAAGACAGGAAGATGAAGCAGTTGTATCGAGCTAGTGGAGGAGCATGGGGAGGAAATATGGTCAACGAAAAAATCTGGAAAATGCTGGAAAATATATTTGGACGTGATGTCATTCTAGAATTCAAGAAGCAAACAGCAGATTACATGGAAATGGAATACAATATTGAACTTAAAAAAAGAGATCTCACTCTTGAAAGTAGATTGCAACTACCTATATTCCCATCCTTTTCTGATCTTTGCAGAAGCTTGAGGGGTAAGACATACAAGAATTTGGTCCAGGAATCACCCTTTGCTGACATTGTAAAGGTTCGTGTTGGGAAGTTGGTATTTGAACCAAAAATGGTGGAGAAGATTTTTGATATGACATTATCCCACTTATTTGTCACAGTAGAAAAAATTCTTGAAAGCCCAAGCACACATGGAGTCAAAGACATTATTCTGGTTGGGGGATTCTCACAGTCAGAGATTATTGTGAAGCAGTTTGAGAAGAGGTTCAGAAAATACAAAGTCATTATACCAACAGATCCAGGGCTTGCTGTGCTGAAAGGAGCCGTGATGTTTGGACAAGACATTAATATCATTACTTCTAGGATAAGTCCACACACATACGGTTTTGATACAATGCAGTATTTTATGACTGGAGACCCACAAAATAAGAGGAAAAAGATTGATGACACTTATTATTGTGTTGATATTTTTGAAAAGATGGTTGCAATCGGTGAATCTGTGGATGTTGGGAAGACAGTTGAAAAAGAAGTTTTTGCAGCATCAGCTGAAATGACAAAAATGGTTTTGAAGTTTTATCAGTCCAATGAGGAGAATCCACAGTTTGTCACTGATAAAGGTTGTGAGTGTATTGGCGAACTGTTGGTGGACATGCCTGATGTTAGGGGTGGTAAAGAACGCTCAGTGTTGGTGTCAATCAAATTTGGGGAAACAGAAATCATGGTATGTGGTGTGGACAAAACAACCGGAAATAGACAGGAAACCAAGCTTGATTTACTGGGAAGGAACTACTGAAATTACTGGGAAATATTCAGATTTCCCACCGGGAATGTTGATATCACTTCAACCTCAGACAACAGAATTAAACAAAAAAAAGTGAATTCCCTTATTTTACAAAAAATTTAAAATGTATTTCCCATCTTAATTCAGTGATATTTTTGTTTGTCAAATGAATATTTATTAACTTAATTTTTTTTCTTTTTACATGAATGTAAAATTTCTATCAATTGACCACATATATTTTTAATTCTTTTGGAGTCAACATTTGATATGAACATTGTCTGACTATGTATACATGTAAAAGTACATGTACATATTCATACATAGAATGATAATCAAGTTTTGATTTTTTTTTTTTTGACTTCAATTTGAGAAAATCATGAAAAAAATGTTTTAACCAGATTAGAGGTTATTGTTTGTGTAGCTAAATAATGTGAGTGAATTTACATTCATGAACATTTTTAAAAATACCATGGTTTTACACCAAACTGTATATGTACTAGTTCAAATACAGTTTTATCAGTTCTTGTTAAAAATACTGTCAATGTATAATAATTTTCTATGTATTTTATTTAGTGTCTTTGGTGGAAAGCAACTTTGGAATCAGCCATATTAAGTGCATTACTAAAATCTTCCATAGGTACATTCAGAAATGCCTGAACCAAATCTAAGCTAATTTTAAAACTTGTCAAAAAATAAATTTCTGCTAAATATGCTTAATATATCTACATGAGAATATTTCTTCAAGGTGAATTGTTTTATGCATAACTACAGCTTTTTAAAATATTATACATTATTTTTTTCATTAACTGGCTCTGGATGACAAGTTGTGTATATTCACATTTATTTTACATTAATTTGAAGAGTATTGTTAACTGCAAATAATAGGTCTAATGAGATTACACTATAAGGTCATTCCAGGTTTTACCTATCTGTGCAGCACCTGCTTATCATTCAAAAACTACTATGAAACATTACCTTCTTATGAATCACAAAAAAGTACTCTGACACACCAATACTGTAAAACATTTGCAGTGTTGACATGGAAACTATGTCATTCAAACAACTTCATTTCACCATTGAGTTTGTTTTCCTCTTGTAGAAAGATATATTTATAAGTATCCAAAATATTGATACTTAGTTTATTCCTTTCTTGTTGAATTTGAATTTCTTAACAAGTATAGATCAAATGAAATGAACTGAATTCAAATTGATATAATTTTTTTTTTATAAATATATATCACTTGTTTGACCACTGCTTTTGTGCCTTTTCTGGTTTGGGGTGACTGAGACCAAGACACACATGGAAGCTTTACATAGAAAGAAAAAATTGGAATTGTAAATTTTTCAAAAATAATACATGTAATAGTAATAAAACTGAATTGAGATTTGATTTGGTTATAAATTAAGAGTCAAAATCATAATTACACTTTGTCACCCAAGTAAAAGAAAAAGAAACATTCTGTATATTTCTCGCAATGTGATTCATCATTATAAAACTGTAAATAGATGTACATGTTATGTATTACATGTATGTATCATTTATTTTTACAATCCACTTAATTAGTATAGCGCTGTAAATTGTCCTTATTCAGTGCATGAAACTCAAGGAAGTTTCATCAACTTTTGAAAATTATGAATGTAAAGAATTTTTTGGTTTGTATATGTTATATTGGTAAACTAGCTTTAACTTTTCACATTGGCAAACTAGTTAGGGCCCTGCAAGGATTTGCGGGTGCCCTATATTAATCACTCTGTCTGTCTGTCCGTCTGTCTGTCCGTCTGTCATTCTTCCGTCCACAAATTTTCTGTTTTTTTCTAATAACTTTTTTTGTAGTTGACCAATTAAGTTCAAATTTGGTATGTTGGTTGAAGAGGCAGTAAGACATATTTTGATGCTAAGTTTGGTTCTCTGTGTCATCCATTTTGGAGCTGGGGTGGTGGGGTAGATTCCTTAACTTTACATTAGAATGAATGCCAGAGCAAAGAGAGATAACTGCTGAGAATGTTCCTATTGTAAACTATGAAAGCTGCAACTAGTCACATGGGATTAATTAACTTTCCTCTTGAAGAAAATCCAAAGCATTATCTGTTTCTGTCAAATTGAGATTAAGTAACACCTCTGTCTGCAAATGAAGTTTGTTTTGAAGTTAAGGTCAATTCTGAATGATGTGTACATTCTCTGAAATGTGGATTTAAATGATATTCATACTTTATTTTGGTAAAATACACAATGAGTTAAGATTTTATTGAGTTCTAAAAACAGGATATACATAGAGATATGGGTTTTTTTTATTATTATTATTATTATTATTTTTTTTTTTTTAATTTATTTATTCTTTTTTTTTTTTTTTTTTTTTTTTTTTTTTTTTTTTTTTTTTGGCTGCTGTATGTAAATTCAAGAATACTATTAATTTTATCACGTAGTCTGATAATAAACTCATTCTATCATTACTGAAAAAGTTCTTATTGTAAACTTGGGAGAAAAGGATGAGAGAGCAGTACAATTAATCCCCTGGGATTAATTATCTTGTCTGGGGCAGAAAATTTTCCAGGCTTATCTTTATTTGTCACTTTAAGATAAATTAACTTTTGTCTGATGTTTGTTTTGAAGTTGAGGTCAAGCCCGGGTGATATTTGCATTCACTGAAGGCTGGCATTTTAAAAAACACATGCTTTATTCTTGTTTAAATGTACATTTAATTGAGTTATTATAGATATGATTTTTTTTACTGCCTTAATATGTAAATATAGGGATACTCTTTACAGGTTGTTGGATATTTATGAATTATCTTGAAATTTTATAAATACAGTTGTTATTGCATATTCTTCTTCATATATTTTTTAATTTTTGTAATCAAAATTCTCATTCTGTAAGCTGCACCCTTATATTGCTACCCCTTGGCGGGGCCCTTGCTGACTGGTCAGTTTTCTAGTTTCTGCTAATTTCAGCCTAATGTTTATTCTACAGAATAAATTGGTTTATAGAAATGATATATACTGTATTTAGGATAATTTTGGCACCCTCAGATTTTGGCAGTTGGAATCTTTGTTCAATCCAGAGAGGTACTGGCTGTGTATTAAAAGTAAGAATGAAATTTAAGAAAGCAGTCCCCCCCCCCCCCCTTTCCAGCAAAAAAGTCTAAAGTGATTTGATTTGTTATTCTGTATATTTTTGAGAGTATCATTTAAGTGGTTGATAAGGTTATTTTATGCTAAAAAAAAAAAATCATTTTTCTCAAAAAACTCTTATTAAGTCTAAAATGCAATTTTTACAATCAGCAATTTTTTTGATAAAAGGAAAAAAATACAATTTTATGCTAATTACAATTGTGTATTTTTAATGAAAACATCGAATTGAAGATCTATTGTATCAACATTTTATATAAATATAAGCTGTTGTTGTAGTGAATTAATAAAAAACGGACCCCAACAACAATTTGGACAAACTATTATAAAAGATGATAACAAAGTGATTCTCTGATAGGATTCATTGACAGCTTACAAAAATCATTATAAAATTATTTTTTGCAAAATATTGCGTTACTTTTTGATACACATTTCTAAACAAACACCCAAGAATGCCTAAATTATCCTATGTTCAAATTATTGTATCCAAATCTCTGATCAACAAGCTGGTAACTGTTCTGTTTTGTTTATGTAACCAAAGTTCATTTATATTAATCATTCATTAATTTTGATAAAAGGTTTATAGCAGATGTTCAAGATGGCAATAGCTTGTTTTCTAATAGGTTTAGAAATGCAATGCTTATCAAAGACATGCATTATTTATCAACTGAATATTGTTATTCCTATGCTTATTAGTCCTGGGAAGCAAAAGAAAATCAACATTTCCTGAGAAAAATATCTTAAAGGGAGCTAAGTAAAACTAATATTTTCTTTTATTGAAAAATCTTTTTATTAACCAAGTATAAGGTGCTAGGTTTGATCCAATAGTACTGAATCCTTATTAATCGAGTGTTATCAACAAAATTTTACATACTAATTCCCCTATCTATTTTGATTTTTGCCTTAAAATTTCGTTCAGTGATATAAAGTACTTTTTAAAATATTAGATAAACACAATATTAGGCTTTGTCAGAATGTTGCCGCATCGTTATGATGTTATTTTTTGGCACTTATTTTCAATTCATCTGCATATCTTATTAAACCTCTCACTGCTTTTTTTTAATCTTTACTGCCATTTTGCTAAAAAAAAAAAAAAAAAAAAAAGTCTTGTTTGATTTGTTGTATTACAATTATTTGGACTTGTCCAAATTTTGTTTCTAAATTCATTCCTTTTTTGCATATATCTTTGTTTAGGATGAACTGAAAATGAGTGCTGCAGAGAAACGTCATAACGACGTCGGTGCATTCTTTCCGTGAGGAATAAACGAAACCCAACGTTGTGTTTATTTTAAAGTTTTAAAAAGTATTGCATATATCTGAAAGGAATTTTAAGGCAAAAGTAAAAATGAAAAGAGGCATTGGTATATAAAATTTTGTTGATAACATTCGATTATTAAATATTTTATAACAGTTTTGACATTTCTTTTGAATCAACTCTCGTATTTTTTTCAAAATTTATTCAGACAAATTAAAACTGTGTTTGTTGGTTGTTGTGCATGAGAACAAAGTGTTCTCTGAGTTTACGTTCTTGGATTCTTTACAGTGTAGAATTCTGTAGATTTGTTATAATTGTGCATATTATCGTAAATAAAGTTTGCAAATTATTTTTATTGCATTTTCCAAAATATCTATTCTTTATCATATGATACTTCACTTTAATTTCATTACCTGGGTTTTAAGACCTTGATCCTATTTATTACTGCGAGTAATTAAGACGGTTTAGAACATACTTAAAGCAAGGAAATGCATATTTATAGTGATGTCGTCTTTTCTGGCTTCAAAAAGGGATGGAGAAAAGATTTAGCTCAACTGATACAATACCACTCACGTTTTGGATGTGACCTTGTTTCAATGTTATGTAACAATTATAGCTCGTCTCGAGTTAGCATCTGCTATATCCTGGTGTTGCATTTTCGAGTTTTTGGAGCTAGTAACTTGGAAGTGCACGAATAAAGCACCTGTGATGCTTCCTACCAATCACAATGCGGAGGCTGCATCTGACCTAGTTTATTTTTTCAAGAGTGACCAGATTTTAATTCTTGGAACAGGTCCATTCCTAAGTGATATAAGGCTTAGCTTTACTTGGCTGATATGACTGATGTCTCTAGGGATGTATACCAGTCACGGAAGCCTAGTGGTAGGGCGTTCACTTCGTGATCAGTAGGCCCGGGTTCGATTCTCTTTTACCCACCACGTCAAACCTAAGACGTAAACATAGATAGTGACTGTTCCTTTGCCAAGTGCCCGGCATTAGAAGTGAAAGTCACGGGTCATTCGGATGAGACTTTAAAAACCTAGGTAGGTGTTGACAAGATAAGAAATTGTCACTGCTCAATGACCGAGTGCCAAGTATATGCCTAGATTTGAAGCTCTCCTTGACATACGGTGATGTCTCTGTATGAGTGATACAACTTGAATGGGACGTTAAACAACATGAATCAATCAATTAATCTAGCCGCTAGCGCACGATATTAGATTTGATTTGGATGTTGTGTCTTACCTACAGTTTTAAATGGCTTATAGAAAACTCACTTATAAGGAAATTTCATTGAAGAGGATTTCTTTTTAATTTCCTGGCGATTTTTCACTGTTTTTTTTTTTGGGGGGGGGGGGTGTTTTGTTTTTGTTTTTTTTTTTTGTTTTGGTACGGATATAAAAAATCTCGGTTATGAGGAAGCAAAATTCGAGGTCCCAGTGATTTCCTTATAACCAAATCTTACTGTATATTGTCTGCACTAGTGACCAGTTTAAAGATTTTTTAACAGACCCATTCCGAAGTAACTTTAAACCCTACTCTGACCAAACATAACTTGTGAAACGCTGCAGGCTGCAAAGATATTTCTGTACCATCAAGTTATTTGTAAATAGCCAGCCTCGCATACATAGAGCATATTCTTGCACATCGAATCAGATGTGTGATCTAAATTTCATGTGCAGGTGAATGGTATATTGCTACACATATAAAGGATTGTTGATTGATTGTATATTGTTTAACATCCCATTCGAGAATTTTTCAGTCGTATAGAGACGTCACCATATGCGGGTGAAGGGCTCCAAATTTAGACCTATACTCGGCACTCGGGGGCATTAAGCAGCGAGGGTTCTTTATCATGTCAACGCCTACCATGACACGAGTTTTTAAGGTATCATCCGGATTATGAGGATTCCAATAGAGTGTTGAACCTTCAAAAAATTACGTAGATATTGTCATTGAGAAACACAGGCATCTTGTTAATATTAACCTTGAAGTATGTGTGTGTAGAATCATAATGTTTTAAACAAAATAAGTGTATATAACCAATGACAAGGTATGCAAAACGAGTTTCATTTTTATTGAAGAAACAGTTCTCCGTGGTGTCAAAAAGTGTGGTCTTTAATTTATCGCGGGGGATAGTTGAATAAAGTGTTGAAATTCGTACGTTTTGTTGCTATTGATTTTAGTGAAATTTTGTGATTTCAAATTTTCTTAAAGTTCCTTTGAGCTTTTTTAGTATTAACTTTTGATTAACACAACTTCTCAAATATGTTGTTGTACTGTACTCTTGAAGTTTCTTTTTCACTGCTGTTAATATTTTAGTGAGGAGTAAAAAAAAAAGAGTCTTGGTAGAACATTTACTGGAACCCGCTTTGTATCTTTGTAAGCATTTTTTGGAAGTTTAGGAATCCACTATAAGTATGACATTTCAAATTCAATAAGGAATTTTGGAAATATCCTCAGGTAGTGCAGATTCAAGTTGTTCAAATCATGTTTTCTTTGGGAAGGGCGGGAGCACAATAGGGGATCAACGTTTTACATGAAAAAGTGTAGGAAAATATCTTTAAATATACAATGTATTTATTTTCAGTAATTTTATTTAAAGTGGGCGCTGTGCTGTGTGCGGTTACTGTACAAAATAATATAAGCTCTGTAGAGCTCTTAAATAGGTCGTGTGAAGGAGTCACCATTTAGTAACTACGAATAAAAATTACAATACTTTTACGAAAATTTGTTTCTAATCAAGTAAATTACATAATAGAAACAATCAAACAGTCTCTTGACCATAATGCACAATAAAGAATTGCAACGTCATTGAATGTCCTGGAGCACAGAGCTATTAAAGAATTATGTGTGCAGACAGGAAAATGCCCGATAGAGACTATTAAAATGTTTTTAGTTGCTGCTGGGGACTACCTAGTAGTAGCTTTGTAAGAATGGAAGGATTAGCGTTTTTGATAATCAACTCCTGCGATACCCCAATACCCTCTTGATAAAGTTATTCAATTTTAAGAAGAAAAAGGACATGAGAAGTCTATGATAGAAATGAAAGCTACATTTGTACATTGTATTTAGAGCAGTGAAAAGGCTTAACATGTCTCTGGAATCTAGGTTGTCACATCACCTAACGTCAAGCGATTGTTCCGTGAATGCTATGACCGCACAGTGAAAACCATTGTATATTTTAAAAATTTTAGCTAATGGACCCTGATTTTTTACATGCTAATAAGCAAAGGAAAAGAATTTAATTAGACATAGGTCATTCTTCAAAGTACACAACAAAATTTTCGTAAATCAATGTTTCCGCGAACTTTTCTAACAACCTTCGTATCAAAGAAAATTTTGTCATGATTGAGATTTAATTTTTCACTTTTTTATTTGTCGCTCAATAGGAATTTTGCTCGCCTTGGTCTTTCGCCATCTTCTTTTGTAGATGACCAATCACAACATGCAAAAATTTACGAGTTATTTCCATTTTTATCAAGGAAGCAGTCATTTATGATGATCACGTCAAAAAACCTGCTCTTTAAAAGCGTAGAAAAGTCATATATTTTGATGGTATTGATGTATGAAAAGTTTTGAGATTTTAAATTTTCCCAAATGTCTTTTGGATTTTTTTTTTTTTTTTAAAGAATCCACATTTGATTTAAACCAAATCTTGAATATGTTGTAGCACAATAATGTACATTTGAAGTTTCTCCTTCACAGCAGTTAATATTTTGGTGAGGTGAAAGGATAGGGGCTTTGTTGAACGTTTACTGGACCCTGCAAATCATCTTTATAAGGACTTTTACGAAGTTTTGATATCCAGATGTAAAATTAAACCAAGTTTTTTTTAGCTCTACTGGTCAGAGACCAGAAGAGCTTATGCGATAGTAAGGTGTCCGTCGTCCGTCCGTCTGTCTGTCTGTCCGTCTGTAAAGAATTTTTCAAAGCGCTACTCCTCCTACAGTTTTAGTCTGATTTCAATATAACTTGGCACACAAGTAGACTACACCAAGATACATAATTCTGTGTATCGGTTTTTGATTTCGATGAACGTTGTTGCCATGGTTACTAAAAATAGAAATTTCCTTGAAATACTTTCAAAATGCTACTTCCCTACAGTTTTGGTCTGATTTTAGTATAACTTAACACACAAGTAGACTACACTAAGATACATAATTCTCTATACCAGTTTTTGATTTCGATGAACAGTGTTGCCATGGTTACTAAAAATAGAAATTTTCTTGAAATTCTTTCAAAACACTACTCCTCCTACACTTTTTGTCTGATTTCAGTATAACTTGGCATACAAGTTAGACTACACTTAGGTACATAATTGTCGTTATTGTTTTTTTTTTTTTTTTTTTTTTTTTTTTTGATTTTGTTGAATGATGTTTCCATGGTTACTTAAATCGAAATTTCTGTAAAATTGTTTTGAAAGGCTTCTCCTCCTACACTTTTTGTCTGATTGCAATAAATCTTGCCACAAAAAGAGACTAAACCAAGGATTATTATTCTATATATTGCTGTTGCAAAGTTTCAAGTCCAAGTGCTACTTTTATCTTCCTTTGTAAGTACAACCAATAGAGCTACAGTCTCGTCAGAGACTTCTGGTTCTAAAATGCAGTTATAATACACTGATTCTCAAAAATATAGTTCGACTCAATAAGCTTTAAATAATATACAGTGTTTTAAGGAATATAACATTATAAACATTTTTTATTTTTCTGTCAGTCACATAAATCAAAGTTGATTGTTGATTAAAATGCAACATTTGTTTGTACGTAACTTCGACAGTTGTCTTAGATTGATTGATTGTTGTCTAACGTCCCTCTCGAGAATTTTTCACTCATATGGAGACGCCACCACTTGCCGGTCGAGGGCTACAAATTCTGACCTATACTCGGCACTTACGGCCATTGAGCAGTGAGGGGTCTTTTTCGTGCCAGCACCTACTGCGACACGGGATCTCGGTTTATACGGTCTCATCCGAAGGACCGGTCTCCACGTCCCACAGTGGGATTCGAACCCGCGACATATGGATCAACCCCTTTCTCCGCGGACAGTTGTCTTAGAAGAAAATCACATCTTAGAATGGAATAAAAATATTAGGTGGATGCTGAAATCATTAAGCGATTGAGGGGCAATATGAAAACCATCTATCCTTCTGTCTTCAATAATTCAAAAGTAAAAAAAAAAATTAGATAGATTACACGATCAATATGTTGGTCCCAGCTGACAAAGTAGGTAACAATACTAACTGTAGACTAGTCTTTATTATCGGCCGCAGGAGCGGCGGATCTAATTGTGGTTTTAGAAAGTGTACATGGGGAAATGAGACGGTATTTATTAGTTCGGTAAAATAATTCGTTAGTGATAACATGTATAAAAATTATGAGTAAAATATTAATATTTTTAGAACTTGCTTTAAACTAAGTCTTTACTGTTGTTATTATGTTTCAATTTCATTCTCATTTCTCATCAGATAATTATTAATTTATGATTTAGGTAATCCCCGACATGAGAGTGTGTAAGATATGATCACAAATATTGTTATGATTTTCCGGATAATAATTACAGTGGCAAAAGTGATGAATATATAAAATTGAAATGTTGGTACAGCTAGCAAAAGTTGTTTTTAATATGCTAATTGAAGACAGTCTGAAATAAAAATGTTCAAGTCTATCTTGTGCTTTTCTTGGACGCGTACTTGTGAAAGTACTTTTTAAAAAAAAAAATATTAGTTTTGTTTGCGGCCGATTTGATGCTTTGCACTCAATTTTACTTGTAAGATTATGTGATCTAACTGTAGATTGGTCTTTATATAAGGGCATGAGATACTAACTGTAGATTGGTCTTTATATAAGGGCATGAGATACTAACTGTAGATTGGTCTTTATCACTGTTTATAAGAGTATCTTAACAGATAAGTTAACTGTAGACTGGTCTTTAATGTTATAAGAGTATAAGAGATACTAACTGTATATTGGTCTTTATAAGAGTATATCAAAAATATAATATATATACTAACTGTCGATTGGTTTTTATAGGATCATGAAATAAAACTGTAGATTGTAATATTTAAAAAAAAATTACCTTGTGAATACTTTCAGTACTTTGATTTTATAAGCTAATTGGAGTCTCACGAAGTTTCAATCGGATTGACGAAGTTGTCCGAATTACCTTGTTTACAGAAATGGCCGAGGATTGCAGTTCGTTTGCACAGTCTTTCAAAATCAAGTGAAAGAGCTATGGGAATTTGTTTTCACGGTGAAATATTTCAAAATTATAGCGTCATTTTTCATGACGCATAATGATAATGTGAAACTTGAAAATTATTTGGATATGCAGTGCTATATAACAAAATTTTAATGCGAAAATCAAAACGAAAGTAGAAATTATAAACATATATTTTGATGTTATAACTGTTAGCATTTAATTATATTCATTCTTGTTGTCAGTAAGTTTATTCATGTGTTCAAAGTGATAAATGTATGACTATTATATCTTACTTAGACACGTCACAGTAGTGTGAGTACTATTATCCAGGACATTGTCCGAAACGTCAACTGACTCAGAGTGGGAACGAAAATGGCTCAAGGATCCTTTAGTGAAAATGGTATTTGGATGAAGTATACGTGTTTTTTTTTTACTAGAAAACTAAAAAAAATCTGATGTAATATTCTCAACCAAAGTTAAATAGTGAAAGAAGAAAAAAATGCCTAGAAAAATATGTGAATATCTGGCAGTCTGAGGGTTATTCCCTTAGAGGTTTATAAGAGATATGTTCTATATTTGTTAAAAAGGTTAAATTTCATGACATTTTATTCAATTAGTATTACAGTATATGGATTCATCATTCTTATTTTTCCCCCTTTCAGAGAGGCCAGTTGAATCTCTCCAAAAATGTGTTTTGTTTCTTCGAGACAATATACACAGAGAGAAATTGTTAATTGATCACTTGCTTGCTGAGTCAGAACTTTCTGATGAAGAGAAACAAGGACTGAAAGAAGGGAAGGATTACATCTGTATTGGGAAGGAACTGAAGTCATTTCTGAGGAATGGACCTGAAAAATGCAAAGAACTTCTAAATGTTTTCAAGCAGACACCATTATTCAAAGAGTTCAAAGAGCAAGAGAAAAAGGAAACTGGTAAAAATGTTTTATATATATATATATATATATATATATATATATATATATATATATATATATATATATATATATATATTTATATATTCTGTAAACCAACTTTTATTCGCGTGCGAGAAATTTTCAATAGGTTCGCGAGAGCCTCGTCATCGCGAATATTTCTCGCTGCGAACCGGTCCTTAAAGTCTCTCTTTCTATTAACAACAGATCAAAAAAAGGCTTAATTGCGAAAATTAATCATAGTGAACTAGTTTATCCCTTGTAAATCGCGAAATAAAGTCGTCGCGAATAAAAGTTGGTTTACAGTATATCACTTTATTATGAGAATTAGAATTTTAATTTGCATGTATACTATCAAAAGTTATGAAGGCTCTAGCTAGATCTGCTTGTGTTACGGGATAAATTTTTGCTGATCGATATTTAAGTTCTGATTTAAAAAAATACTGTACATGTATAAAAATCATTTAATTCAGTCACTGTAAAAGGAGAAGAGAATTTTATTTAAAGTATTTTCTTTCAGTTGAGGCTGAAAAAGAAAATTTAACACTTAACTCTATCAGGGAGCATAGGGAAGTTTTATTGGAAGAGTTGGAACCTTCATTAATAAATGACATTCTCCTTGAGAACTCTGTTATACGAATTGAGGAACATGATGAAGCAGAAAGAGATGTTAACAGGAAAGAAAAATGTCGAGTTGTGTTGTCCCTACCTGAAAAACACCCAGATGTACTGGAGAAGTTTAAGTATGCAATGCAAAGATCCAAATGTCTCCAAGCACTGGATATGATGAAAGGCATTCATACAAAAAAGCCAGGTAATTTTTTATACATTTCATTTAACTCCATGCAATTACATGTATTTCAAGTACTTATTAAGATATGTACCACCTACATTTTATGAAATGGAAGAAAGATATAATATAGAACATATATCACTATGGTATATATACCAGATGCCTGAATGATAAAAACCTTTGCTTACAAGTTTGAACTTGCAATGAATTTTTTTCAATCACTTGTAGGAAAAAGACACAATTTTTTGGTTGATCCAGAATATCTGCATTCCAATTATGAGTTCCTAGTTGATGAGATTGAACCAGGTCCACTTAGTAATATCCTGATAGAACAGAAAATTTTAGATATGAATGAACTTGAGAGAATAAAGAGTAAGCCTTCAAGAAAACAGCAAGCTAAGGGTATCTTACATTGGCTAACAGATAGCTTTGGTAGGCATGACCAATCAGAATCAGTGCTTAACAAATTTGGACATTGTCTAGAGGAGCTGGGATGGGAGGCAGTGATGAGAAAACTGAAAGGGAAAGATTCGCCTGTCGAGGACTTCATAGAATGCCATAATACAGGTGACTAAAATCAAAATGTAGCCATTTTATATACGGTAGGTAGAAAACAAATACTCTGTTTATAAACACACATCTCACATAATTAGAATTTAAAAATTTTTTAAGGTAAAGAAGAGGAGGGATTCATCATTTTGAAACCAGAAGAAACAGGACAGCAGCCTGTTTATGAAGGTATATATTTAATACATGTATTTAAAAAAAAAAGAAAAAAAGAAAGAGATCACTAGTTCTTTGTACAAAGTGTCTCTTCCTCACAAATCAGGTAAAAGAAAGTATACTGCTAAAGATATTTACTACAAGAGAAGAATTTGAATGACTGGAAAAAAAACTTCAATTTATTTTATCACAATATAGGAAAACTTCCTTCCAAGTTGGTCTTTACTTTATCTATTCCTGAGAAAGTTGATCAAAGTAAGGTAGCAGAAGCCATTAAGTTTTTAAACCGAGACACAGAATTATGCACTAGACTCTCTCAACTCACACACATGAAAATCGACAAGGCTGAGGGGTCCCTTGTCCTACACCTGACCTCCCTCACGGAGGAGGCAGGACAGCGTTTCCTGGCTGATGGTGGTCGGTTAGTCAAGGAAGTGGCCACAACTGTGTTAGACTTGGTAGACTTTTCAGAAAAATTATATGATGACAAGAAACCATTGGACATACAAGTAACAGTCTCTGCAGCTGTATCAGATTCCAGCAAAAGAGGTTAGAGAGGCTCTTAGAATTATTTACTTGACTTTTAGTTTGCTGTATTTGGTAATGCTTTTTCAAAAAAAAATCACTCTAGTAGCATCAAACTGTTGATTATTTTTACAGAAGACATATCAAATATTCATCGTAAAATTCAACTGAAAATACAAGAGAACTGGGATTTACTGATTGATGAGCTGGAACCCTGTCTAATGTTATCTTGCTTAAAAAAGAACGGTCTGATGACTGAGAAGGATGAAAGCTGTATTCTGGAGTCAAATGAACGTAGAGCTAGGGTTGTTGCCTTTTTACAGACTCTCTTAAAGACATCAAATGTTGGCATGTTGGATTATTTTGTCCAAATTCTGAAAAAATTGGATAAATCTGACCTTGCTGAAAAATTAGAGTCAGGAGATGTGGACATTGCACACCAAGAAGCAGGTAATGTAGACTCGTCTAACATTCAGGAAGACAAGGGACACGAATATCAATCTCTTTATTGTCGCAACCACCACATCTCAAAAATCCAAGCTTTTTCTTCTGTGTAGCAATTGTGAATAATACATGTTTTCTTGTAATTAAATAGCACACTTTGTGTTTAGAACATTTTTTTTGTTTGATTTTATGAGCTGTGAACATTAACTTATGAATGATGAATTTCTTTCATTGATAGTTTTTATGGATAATTTTGTACAAACATGAATTTTTCAAACATTTGATCTTGAAAATTTCTCTGCAGAAATGGTCAGGAAATGTCTTCTTCTGCATTTTAATGAAGCTTTGGAGGAAATTGACTCTTGTATGATACAGGACACTCTGACAAAGTGTGGGGACCCTGTACCAGATAACATCAGACCCAAGTCTGGCTTCAGTAGGAGGGGGAGGGCATACAACTTTCTTATTTATGTGTTTGGAAGTGATGGACTTGTACTGGTATTAAAGAAGGTCGTTGAACACAGAGGAATGGGACATTTTTTCAATATTTTCCATGCAGACATAGAAGAAAGCACCAAGGGTAACTTACAAAAAACATTTTTGAAATTTTTATTATTATATATTAGGGGTGAAACGACACACCTCCTTCATGATACGGTATGTATCATATAATTTTGTTTGAAGGAAACAAATTCTTGAGTTGTTTTATTTCTTGTTTCAGTAAAAGCAGTAATAGAATTTACATGCAAATTGACTACTTAGGAGAAATTGATTGGATGAATTGACTGTTAATTACATGTATTATTCTACAAATTGTTAGTCTTGAAGAATTGCGTTTTTAATGGAGATTTTGTACTGTGTATCAAACTGACAAAAAATACTGTGTTGAACCATTTCAATGAAAACTTTTTTTTGTAATAATTAAGGTTTCTTCTTCATTTATTTGAACCAAAAATTATTATTTTGCTATCATTTGAAGGTAAAAATACAAGCACTAGTAAGGAGGAATTAAAGGAGAATGTCTTCTTTGACTGTAAATATACATCATCATTGAAAGGTGGGTACATCAAGTTTTCTCTGAGTAGCTATGTAACATTACTGGGTACTTTTCCAGCATACACACTAGACCACCTTGGACTTTTGGTAATATCCAGTAATAATTATCATTATTTTTTAATGATGTACATCCACATCGACAAAAACATATACATGTATATAATAATTAATTGTAAATGTACATACAATGCATTGCATAGTTCTTAGGGCGGGGATGGAAAGGGATAATGTATGTCCTTATGGTCTTGTAACGAACTTCGCAATGACCAAACACACGCCCGGAACACTATATATACTAAGCGCCAAATCACTCGTGCATGCAATAATTACTATGAATAGATTGGACATTTCCGTAAAACAGAGCTCTCAAAAACGTAAAGAAATTCATTGAATTCTTTTTGAAAAACAAAAAGTCAGCATTTTCCAAACTTTTTCACTTTCACTTTCATTGTATTTTGACTAAAGTACATGTATACCTCAGCTTTTACGATATAAGGTCAAGATCGACAGTAAATTATGAACACCATGTAAAGTGTTTTAAGCCCAAGATGCAAGCGTAAAGTTCAAAGTCAACTTGAAATTTAAAACTTGTACAAAAATGTAACACGGTGATTGTGTTCAAGGTTCTTTATTGCAGCCCGGACGACCGGGCTGCTCTATACATATAAGTTTAAGTGTTGGTATATGGAGATTGAGGTGGGAGAAGTTATTCAGAATTAAAGGTTTTCTAAACATTAAAAAGATTGTTAATCAGAATGTTCTTTCCCTTTATAAATTACGAGATACACAATATATTTACTTCCATAAAGTGAATCTGTAAAAATATATATGTTTTTCATATTTAATATATAAAGTTGCTTATCATTTACTATCGAAAAAACGACAGGTCCCTTGTTTTAGAACATCGAATTTTACTTATCGCATAAAAACGTAAAAAAGTACTTTACACAGTTCGTGTTTTATATTCTTTAAGTGAAAGACATTTTTGAAAATAGGTGATGCATGTGTCTGGTTTCAAATTATATTTTATGCAGCCAACATTTACTTGAGGAATTGATAAAGTTTAAAAGGGTATCGTTTTTGTTCAATTTTCATCCGACTATAAGTTTTCAAAATATTCTCGACTATCGTCTCCATCATTTAGACGCATGCCTTTTTCACACATATCGAAGCGGTTTGATGATCAAGACTCATTTCCATTGTTTACTTTATTTATTTCCCGGGCGACAATTGATGGTTACATCAATGTTTTCTTGTTCCATATAGAAATAAATTGACAATGTTTCTGAAATGATATTATAAAAATAAAAATTTCGGTACAATGCTTACAAATCTTTGAAATAATTCATACAGTTGTCAATAACCATTTTCTTTAAATTCATTACTCTTTATGTTATTCATTTCATTATAAATATTATAAAATCATAAAAATCTATACACACAGCTTTCATATATAATAAACCAACACATACCCTAAGCAAGGGGCATATGTGATGTTTACACTTTACAGCATATTACACCATCTGGCTCATTAATGAATCTATTCAAAAATAAAAACACACAAATATAGATATCTACATACTGAAAAACTTGTATGATTATTTTAACCTCATGAGTACTGTATTCTCAACATATAAATAATGAACACTTTTAGACTTCAATGGAGAGACTGTTTACCAATTAAAAATATCTTTAAATTAAGTTCAAAAATACTTTTACATGCATGCTTATAACATTTGCATACTTATTTGCTTAATACATAATGCTAGTTGCAATTATGAATAACAAATTTTCACAAATTCTACTTACATTCATTCTTGATAACTTGCTGCCAACAATGGCTAGGAAAGCACAAGAAATGACCAGCATGCAACAGGATATAAATCATGTGACATCACAAAAAATATTTACAATTATTTCAGAGCTTTTCATAATATAACATTACTATTAATAAGAACTGAAAATAATGACAATTAATAAAAAACATAGGTAATCAAAGATTACGAAGCTCACCTCGACGAATGTTATCTACATGTAAGGCAAATTTCACATCATATTTTTTTCTAGTTAGGGTACATCCCAAGATCAATATCCATGCAAGTTTGATTTAATTATAGATCTGCTCAAAAAACTTTTGACCTGTTTAGTAATCAAGAAAATTTTGGTCAGTTCCAACATCCAAAGCAAGTCTGGAAGTTTTCATCCTTAGATGCACCATCTATGCAAGTTTAATCATAACAGGCCATAATATTATATAGCTACTCCAAAAAATTACCCTGGTCACTCATCTGGAAAATGTACGTCAGATTCAGAATCCAAGGCAAGTCTGGAAGTATCCATCCCTAGATACATCATCCATGCTAATTTGGTTAAAATATGGCTAAAATTCACTCATGTGGAAAATCTAGGTCAGATCCAGCATTCGAAGCAGGTTGGTTAGTGTACATCCCTAGATGCATCATCCATGCAAGTTTGGTCCAGGTAGGGCTTATAGTTACTTGGGAACGAGACTACTCCTAAATCTAAACCTGGTCTCACATGTGGAAAATCTAGGTCAGATCCAGCTTCCGAAGCAAGTGTGGTAGTGTCCCTCCCTGGATGCATCATCCATGCAAGTTTGGTCCAGGTAGGGCTTATAGTTACTTTGGAATGGACCTGCTCCTAAAACTTTAACCTGGTCACTCATCTGGAAAATCTAGGTCAGATCCAGCATCCGAAGCAAGTGTGGTAGTGTCCATCCCTAGATGCATCATCCATGCAGGTTTGGTCCAGGTAGGGCTTATAGTTACTTGGGAATGGACCTGCTCCTAAAACTTTAACCTGGTTAACATCTGGAAAATCTACATCAGATCCAGCATCCGAAGCAAGTGTAGTAGTGTCCATCCCTAGATGCATCATCCATGCAAGTTTGGTCCAGGAAGGGCTTATAGTTACTTGGGAATGGACCTGCTCCTAAAACTTTAACCTGGTCACTCATCTGGAAAATCTAGGTCAGATCCAGCATCCGAAGCAAGTGTGGTATTGTCCATCCCTAGATGCATCATCCATGCAAGTTTGGTCCAGGTAGGGCTTATAGTTACTTGGGAATGGACCTGCTCCTAAAACTTTAACCTGGTCACTCATCTGGAAAATCTAGGTCAGATCCAGCATCCGAAGCAAGTGTGGTAGTGTCCATCCCTAGATGCATCATCCATGCAAGTTTGGTCCAGGTAGGGCTTATAGTTACTTGGGAATGGGACTTGCTCCTAAAACTTTAACCTGGGACGCCGACGCTAACGCCGACGCCGACACCGACGCCGATGCCGGGGGTATAGCATAAGCTCATCTCGACTTCGTCGAGGTGAGCTAAAAAAATAAATCTTTTCAGTAAATACTAGAAATTTAAATCCCATGCTAATTCCAGTGTTATGTGAAATAGTACAATGTAAACAAACCACACTGGTCCAGTGGTAACACTACTTGGCCCAGAGGAAAAGGCCCCCATTTCAAATCCCGAAAAATCCAATACTTATTTTTGTCATATTAACAAATAATAAAATTTTAAATATAAATTTTCTCCCTCTTACAAAAAGTTAAAGTGTATAAGTAAAGAATGTCTTGACATTGTAATGTGTTTAAATGGCCATTGAAAGAAAGGTTGTGATTGGATAGCACCTCTGTTCATTTGGGTAATGGAGTGACAATTAGACAATTACATTTAATAAAATAAAATGCCCAATATTTATTTTTCTTTTTAGAAGGATACAAACCTTCCTATGGATATATGGGACCAGATGTTACGTGGGAAATTAAAAACCAATTGATGTTTGAATTTACAAGAGGTTTGATTTTATACATGTATATCAGACAGTTTAAATAAAGTATTTTAAAAGAATTGTAAAAGTCTGAAAATTACCTACAGGAGAAGAGTTATTCATATGCATGTTCAAATACTAATCTTGCTCACTGCTAAAGGCTGAAAAAATCATTTTAATTTGGTTTTGAAGTAAAAATGTTACATTAAAGATGAAAATATCATTCTTTTAATTTGCCTTCAGAATTCTTAAATATCTAAGTGGATATTGGAAAAAATTACAAATATTAAAACCAATAGCTCCGTTTTTAATTTCATGATATTCATTGTTGTATACAGAGGGAATGACCATCAGAACACATCACAGAGTACCCCACAGGGTCGTGAATGAACACAGAAGGATAATGGAATGTCCACCACAACGATGCTACAGGCGTTACAAAAAAGACAGAAGCATACCAGTGACATTTCCTTCAGAGGGAAAAAGTAGGCTCATTTTCAAACTTCAGCTGATATTAAATTGATTGTCAATTGAACGCACTTTTGATGAATCTAATCAAGGTCCATTGTTTATGTCACAGCCTTATAATGTGGTAAAATATAACACAACATGGCTGCTGGGTTCGATGTTTATATATAATATATAATCTACGATAATGGAATTTATAACATAGAAGGAAGGGTGACCTGAAATATAACAACAGGTATTAAATATCTCTCGCCTCACTCACACTTTTACGCGGATCATAATTTAAATTTTATAAATTTGGATAATTTAGAAAATACTCGATTTGAATAAAATGATCAAAGAGATATTGAATAATAATTGAATCCTTAGAAATAATTTACCAGTTATTTCTTACCGTAAATCCTAGACAAAGTTCACAATTATCGTGAGATAAAGTTGTGTTGGGGAGAGAGAGCGTCTTCTCTCCCCAAAGTCTTAGGTTGGAGTGCTTGAGAATTAGTATTGGCGCGAATGCGCAGGGGACAGAATAAAACCAGTTTGACCACTCACACACCCGTACTCTCACTGACCACTCACCCGTATAAATGAATGAATGAATGAATAAGGCAATGAACGTAGTAAATTCCGTAGTGAGAACGGAATTCACTAGTTACTATAATAATATAATGCCTTAGACAAATGTATGAGTATGATATGAATGATAATTAGTAATATTAATTAATTAATTAATTATAATTCACCCTGTGACATTCTCCTCCTCTTTGAGAAAAATGTGTCCTCACATTTCATCAAATTACATTGTAAAAAATATATATCAACTGAAATAAAAGTATTAAATATTAAAAATATCAACACACATATAATTGATAATTAATGTTTTGCAACATCTTCTGCTCTATAACAGAAAGCATTTTGTATTAGCACAAGCTGAAATACAAAATCATTCAATCAATTCATATCAATGTATTATTGTCATAAAACTGGAATCACGAATGGCTACGCTGAAAAGCAATCCATGATTAATAAAGTATCCTAAAATCTAGGTAATATGATCAACTAGCGATCATGTAAGTCATAAAACTATCAACTATCACATACGTCCTGAAACTATCAACTTTAGATATCTACGTCATAAAACTATATACAACTAACTATCTGGAATATACTGTCTGAAATCTAATCCCTGTAATAATCCTGTGACATTCTCCTCCTACACATACCATACTTGAGCATCATGCTCCCCTACAACCCAATTTCCATATCTATCAGGAGGATTTTTAACTCTTGTGGAACGTCTTATACTTGGTTGAATAGTAGACGGGCTCGATTCACTACCTCGCGACAAATTATCACGCATTTCGGACAAATTTGTACTCGATATTGTGTTAAAAGAAGAACCACTGTCCTGTATTTGATATGCAGGGTCAACGGAAGAAGAATTTTCTAACCTTGACATAGGTCTACTAAAATCTGAAATATTAAATGTGTTAAATGTCAAACCATCTGATCTCATTTGTTCATTTGAACTATTGAGATGAGTATTCTGGTTAACACGTGAAGTGTTATGAACATTTTTACACATATTTGTATTCGCTGGTTTTGTCACCAGTAACACCTCTGATTCAGAATCACTTGATTCAGAATCTGTTCCACTTTCTGTAAACACACTATGTTTTTGTTTAACAGTTTTCTTACTTTTCTCGGTCTTATCATTTGTAAGACAGTCATCATCTGACAAGAACATAAAAGGTAACAGTAAGTTTCTGTGAAGTAATCTTACTGGTCCTTTGCCAGATGACTTCTGTACTTTATAAACAGGAATGTCACTATTGGGAATATCTAACACAACATATGGATCTTTTTCCCATTTATCAGATAGTTTACTTTTTCCAGTCTTTACTAAAAGACGAACTAGAACCCTGTCTCCGATCTCTAACTTTGAGAATCGGACTCTATTATCATAGTTCTCTTTGTGTCTTGTAGTATTTTTTTCGACATTAGATCTTGCGACATTATAAGCAAAGTTTAATCTTTTCTTCAATTTGTCAACATAAGTTTGATGACTAACTGGCTTATCAGACATTTCTGAAGGATCTAAATTTAAAAATGCATCAATGGCCAACTTTGGATGCCAACCAAACATTAAATAATGTGGAGAAAAACCAGTTGTATCTTGTTTGGTTGCATTATAAGCATGAACCAACGGTAAAATATAAGATTTCCAATCATCTTTCTTGTAATTTTCTAAAGTTCCCAACATTTTAAGTAAAGTTTGGTTAAAACGTTCAACTAGACCATTACCCATGGGGTGATATGGTGTTGTACGTGATTTACTCACACCTGCTAATTTACAAAGTGCTTTAATAACTTTACTTTCAAAATTTCTTCCCTGGTCTGAATGTAATCTTTCAGGAAAACTATAATGACATATAAAATTTTCAAATAATACTTTTGCAGTTGTTCTAGCAAGTTGGTTCTTCGTTGGCACAGCCATTGCGTATCTAGTGAAATGATCTGTGATCACCAGTATATTTTCAAATCCACCCTTTGATCTTTCAAGAGATAAAAAATCTATACATAAAATTTCTAAGGGTTTAGTACTTTGAATATTAACAAGATCAGCCCTTGGTGTATCACCTACTTTTCTTCTTACACACCTTCCACAAGTTTCTACTCTGGATTTAATATCATTATCCATTCCATTCCAAAAGAATCTTTGTTTAGCTAACCATAGAGTTTTATCCCTACCTTGGTGTCCTGCATTGTCATGAATTCCTTTAAAAGCTACATCTCTATACTGTGCCGGTAAGACTAATTGTTTAATACTTACCCCATCTTGAATGGTGTTTCTATAAAGTATACCTTTACAAATTTCTAAGTTCTTCCACTCTCTAAGATACTCCTTAACATCTTGACTTTCGTTTTGTAAGTCCTTACCTGTAGGTTTCAATCCAGTGTGTATTAACTCAACTACTCTATTAATGGCTGTATCTTTATCTTGTTCCTCTCTCCAATTGATATTACTGGTACTAAAATCTGTATTCTGACTCTCTATTTCTACATGTTTTAACTGAGCATTCTGTGATAAAACTATACATTCGGCTAAAGGTAGTTCTTCCTTTTCAATTAAAACTGCAGATGTTAAAGCTTTTATAACGTCAGGAAAAACTTCTACCTCTGTTGGTCTCCGTGATAACCCATCAGCATCTCTATTAGATTTGCCAGTTTTGTAAACTAATTTGAAATTGTAATTAGAAAGAGACGCTAACCAGCGGTGCGATGTTGCATCCAACTTAGCTGTAGTTGTTACATATGTTAAAGGGTTATTGTCAGTATAGACCGTAAATGTATTCCCATATAAGTAATCATGAAATTTATCACATAGTGCCCATTTCAAGCATAAAAATTCTAATTTGTGGGCGGGGTAATTGCATTCACTGGGGCGCAATCCCCTACTTGCGTAAGCTATAACCCTGTCTAACCCTCCTTGATTCTGGTATAAAACAGCGCCAAGACCTTCCCTACTAGCATCAATATTTACAATAAAAGGTTGGGAAAAGTCTGCATAGGCTAAAATAGGGGGTGACGTGAGGTTTTCTATTAGGGAATCAAAAGCAGTTTGTTCTGTTTTACCCCAAATCCAAGGTACTTTCTTTTTCTTTGACTTGCTTGCTCTTTTGTTTGTAGGGTGACCCACTAATAAATCATTTAGGGGTTTTACAATTTTGGCATAGTCCTTAACAAAACGCCTATAATAACCAGTGAATCCTAAGAAAGAACGTAATGATTTGATATTTTTAGGGACAGGCCATGTTTTCAAAGCTGATATTTTATCAGGGTCTGTTTGAATACCTTTCTCAGACACAATATGTCCTAAATATTTGACCTCTGACATAAAGAATTCACATTTCGAGGGTTTCAATTTCAAATTATGTTTTTCTAATCGCTTGAAAACACCCTGCAATCTCTCTAAATGTTCTTCAAAAGTAGATGAAAATACAAGTATATCATCTAGAAATATCAAACATTCCTTAAGATTCATCTCACCCATGCAAGTTTCCATTAGCCGCTGAAATGTAGCGGGCGCATTAGTCAAGCCAAATGCCATACGGTTGCATTCATAAAAACCAAGTGGACCAAGCGAAAATGCAGTCTTATGTTTGTCTTCCTCTTTGATTTCCACCTGCCAATAACCAGATCTTAAGTCTAACTTAGAAAAATACTTACTGCCAATTAAAGTGTCAATTGTTTCATCCACTCTAGGAAGATTATATGCATCTCTTATAGTTTTGTTGTTTAACTTCCTGAGATCAATACAAAATCTAAGTGAACCATCTGATTTTCTGGCTAGTACTACGTTTGAACAATAAGGACTCTTAGATTTTCTAATAGCATCAGCATCTAGCATTTCTTTAAGATGATGCCTTACCTCCTCAAACATTGCTGGTGGAATCCTTCTGTATGGTTCTTTAAAAGGAATATTATCTGTTAACTTAATCTCATGTTCAACTAGATCAGTTCTCCCTATGTCCTTGAAAGATGTAGAAAAGATGTGTTTCCACTTGTTAAGAAAATTATGACACTCTTCTGATTGATCTGGGGTTAAGTTATTATGATTAACCTTTATACCTGCATCCACAAGATTAAATGAATTATGGTCCTTAGAATCTAACAATGGTGAATCTAAAGTATCAACCACCTTTGCAGCACTTACATTACAAATGACAGATTTTGGTGCTATTTTAATTGGTTGTGCTGACATATTGCAGACACGAACAGGTACTCTACAAGTTTTGCCACTTTTCATTGTAACAACCCTTGGACATATCAAAAGACTACCATTTTGATTTGTATTAATTTGCTCTGTAATAGCAGTACTCACCTTGTCCATGGTCTTAACTAAACCAGAAATTGTTTTCACCTCGTATGGTGCTACTGTAATGGGATACTTATTTGTGCTTTTGACAGGCATATCACTATCAATGCTTAAATTTGTAAAAGCTAATTCCCATTCATC